TGGCAAGTTCACCGTAAAACACGATCTTGGGGAGGCGGTGATCCTTCATTCTAGAGACGTGCCCTGCCCAGCGCAGCTGCAGTTTCAGCAATATGGCCTCGATGCTGGTGACCCCTGCCTGTTCGAGGACAGTGACATTAGACACATAGTCAGTCCAATGGATGTTTAGAATTGTACGGAGGCAGCGCTGATGAAAGCGTTCCAGGAGTCGCAGGTGATGACGGTAGATGACCCATGATTCAGACCCATATAAAAGACTAGACAATACAATGGCTCTGTAGACACTGATCTTTGTACTTTTCTTCAGGTGTTTATTACACCAGACTCTTTTATGGAGTTTTCCAAAGGCTCTATATGCCTTTGCTATTCTGTTGTCTATCTCTTTGTCGATCGTGGCATCCGAGGAAATGATGCTTCCCAGATAGCTGAACTGCTGAACTGTCTTAAGCTCTGACTCGCCGATGGTAATATGGGGATGGCGATAATCTTCTTGGGGTGCAGGTTGGTAGAGGACTACTGTCTTCTTCAAGCTGACTTCCAGCCCAAAAACCTCAGCCGCCTCCGCAAAGCAAGATGTTAAACGCTGCAGAGCTGCTTCTGTGTGGGCAACAAGGGCGGCATCATCAGCAAAGAGCAGTTCACGGACAAGATGGTTTAGGGTCTTAGTGTGGGCCTTCAGTCGCCTTAGATTGAATAGGCTACCATCGGTACGATATCGAATATAAATGCCATCTTGTTCGTCGAGGTCTGCTGTAGCCCTTTGGAGCATCATGCTGAAGAAGATTGTGAATAAGGTCGGTGCGAGAACGCAACCTTGTTTCACACCATTGGTTATTGGGAAAGGCTCAGAGAGTGCATCACCATACCTGACTTGGCCTTGCTGATCCTCATGTAACAGAATAATCATTTTCAGGAACTTGGGGGGACAACCTAATCGTTCTAAGATCAGCCACAAGCCTTTCCTGCTCACAGTGTCAAAAGCTTTGGTGAGGTCAACGAAAGTTACGTATAACCCCTTATTCTGTTCTCTACACTTTTCTTGCAATTTTGAAATTGTTTTCCTGATATCCAATCTAAACTTCACAGTTTCCAACATCAAACAGCAAGGGTCACTGGACAAGTAGGTGCATTTTCAGTAAATAACATTAACATGATGAGCTGCATACAAACTCCTGAACTAATCAGGTCAGTTGCTCCTATTCTGAATTCTTTTATAAGTCAAGAAAATCTCATGTAGGACATACTGATTTTTCTAGCAGAAAATTTATTAATGAGATACTCTCAATTTTTTTCAAATACTGGAACAACTGTTGCATTGCCAAGTACCCCAGATCACATGTTGCTCTGGACTGTGTCCCTTCAGGCACTTCCAAAAAAACCCAGTTTTAAATTGGATTGTCTGAGAGTGGGATCTGTCAAATATGTGGCTACCTTTGGCAAAACACAGCATTTGGGGGGGAGGGGGGGGAAGGAAAAAAAAACACGCCTTAATCTGACAAAACCAGACTCTCCTTGTAGGTATTATGTGTCTGAAAAATCTACGATAAGGTTAATATGCTTTGTCACTTATTTGGCTTCACTTCTCTGCTATGGGCAAGGCCTGTGGTTTTAAACAATCCTGTTTGTGTGTAAATAAATGCCCCTTTAATTTGCCATAATTTCAAGTATTTTGTTTTGTACTTAGAAATAATTAACATACTTTTTATGATTTTTTTTACTCTCTTTTGCCTTACAGCACGTACTTTCTCTTCCACACACGTGTAACCTCCAATAGCAAATAGCAATAATAACAGCTATGAAGTATGTCCCCAGGGGAGACAATTTCCCTAAAAACCTTTAAAATGTAAATCTATGCATCATTCTCGCCAACATGTATGCTCCAGTAAGTGAAACTAATATTCTATACTTGCCAGCATAATAATCTAAAACTTGAATAAATTCCAAGCACCAAAGTTAAGAGAAAGTTCCTAATTCTTAACTCTGCATGACAACATGCATGGTGTTACCTCCAACTGCATAGTTACTCGCTGCCATCTGATTTTTGAAGCATAACTTGTATGTTGAGGTGATGGAAAATACATTTAATTTTACTGTATACTTCTGCTAATATAACTTCTGGTACATATAGTACAAAAGTATTGTATTCTAAAGAGCTTAATGAAAAATAAGAAAAAAGATGGTGATCCAGCCTTTTTTTGATCAGTATCAACAGAATGCATAACCACATACTTAATATATTACATTAGCAGCTATAGCATAACAGTGCTTTGAGGAAAGCTTATGTTTCAAGTAACTGCTTGCAGTTCTTATTTAAAATCACATGGATAAATGTATGTAGATATATAATTTTTAATGATTTTTTATTTTTAGATTTTTTAGCTTTTAAACACATTTGGATTTGAAATACAAAGTAGGTTCTATTTCTTTACATTTCAAGGACAGCAACTCTCAACATTACACAACATTAATGGCCACACTACTTACACTCATGAAGCCATGACACAATGTAAACATTATGTATACATCACCTAACCCATCCCCTTTGACCTTCTCTTTTTCTGCAAAGGGGCTGGAAAGGTAACTTGGTTTCCTCACTCTGGAATCAGAAAGACGACTATCTTTTCGTCTACTTCATAACACTGATGGTAAAGAAGAAATAATTAAATGCTAATTGGTGATGTCCTTTTAGTTATCTTTCTAAACCTATTAGCAGATATATCCATAAAAGCACTAGTATACTCCAACCCCTAACAGTCTGCTTTGCTGTTAGAACCCTGTCTGCATGACTCTTCATAAAGGGTCATCAGCTACTGTACCTGAGAGCTGTTTTGTGTTACCATGATGCAGACCTCCGTTACAGATGTGTTGTACGTTTACTGAGAGGGCTAGGTTTGTGGGTCCAGCTATGCTAGCATAATTATAGCCATGCAAATATTTTTAATACAGGTAAGGCCTAAGGTAGAATGATATTTTGAAGTTTGGTAGTTATAATCTACTTAATATATACTTCACAGGACTTGAAAAAATCAGAATATAACTGAAAATGTAATTCTACTTGAGAAAAGCAGTTTGCATGTTAAAAAAATAGCTGAAAGGTATATCCCATAGAAACACAAACTGCACTGGGAAGAACTATTACACAGCTGGTGCTGTTACACATGAGGATTAAGGCACCACTGCACATAATTTTGGCCCATTTTCAGCTCCAACTAAACTTAGTAGAGTCACTGTATTTTATTCAGTGGGATGCTATGGTTAAAGCCTCAGCAACAGGAAAAATAACAATAGCAGTCTGATTTTGCATTTATCTCATCTGCTGTGGCTTACTTGCTGAACAACGACACATGCAAACAAATTGTACCTTATTTTTAAGATTTCATTCTGGATTCAATAAAGGGTCATATAACACAGCATGCTGGTGGGACAGTTTATAGAGCATTCAATGCCTCAGCTATAGCAAACAGAGCCTCTATATTTAATTTAGAAAAGTGGTATGCACTCCAGCACATGCTGGATTGAACAATGCAACCTGTGAATAAAATCTTGAATTTTATTTTTTTGTTTTTAACTTAAGAAATGAAAAGAATGACTGTGAAGTAGGTGTAATTACATGCATATTTTAATGTACAGAACAGTAAGAGGTTGCTAACCATTTGGAGTTCTTCAATCTGTTAACTGTAATAAGAAAGAGAAATACGGTTTCAAAGGGATAACTTTTTTCAGAAGTTACTCTTCTAAATTAAAAAAAAAAAATAAATCCATGCAATGTAGAAAGAGCTGCATTTCTTAAAGTTTACATGATCAATATTCTGCTTGTGAAAGTGTTTGTACCAGGATTGCATTTATTGTCTCTCAAATAAATAGGGCAGTATTCCATTATATCTCCAAACCAAAAACCTTATTTAAATTGCCTGTGGGACAACAAAACCCACCTCAAACAACTATTGCTTGAATATGATGATGCTTGCAGTTAAAATCCATTTGGAAAAAGAACCAAACCACATCAGAAGGCAAGCAGAGGAATACTACACCAAGCCCCTACAGAGTCAGGGTCCTTGTGCCCAGCAGAATAGCCCAGATTCCTTTCCCTGTGCACGGGGTTATCTCAACAGAGCTGCATGAGTGCATCTACAACAAAGAATTACCTCCTGGGAAGGAAAAGGGGAGACCATAATCCTAGTAACATCTGCTAGGTGAAACAACGTTAACAAACAGCGAAATACTTCCACCTTTTGCAGAAAGTATTTTTTGTGGTCTTTGCAAACACCCCTGTATCATGTGCTTTATCCTTACAATGTACATATGGTACCCAGCATCTTTATTTTTAGTCAAGATACTAACCAGCTGTTGCTGAGAGGGAGAAAAACACCCATTCATTAATCCTGTGACCTTACTCATAATTTTGCCCGGCTTCATTATGGGTTGTCTGTTGGTTTGTGATGAGTTGGTTTTTTTTTAACATTTCCAAACATGACCCGTTTTCCTCCGTTCCAGCCCAGGCGCACCTTGTTGAACCAAGGAAGGTAAAGCCGGTGGCTAGCAGTGCAGCAAACAGGGGCAGTGCCTCCGGGCTCGCAGGACCAAGCCCAGCCAGAGAAGGCACAGCCCCGCCTGGACGTGGGCAGGGGTCGTCGTGCTGCCGCTGTACGCCCACGAGAAAGCCGAAAGCCGGGGAAGCTGGGGAGGGAGAACCAGGCAGCTCAGCCCGTCGCTGCCCTCCCCGGCAAGGTGTGCTCTCCGCCGTTAGGCCCCGTTTGCCGCCTCGCCTGCAGCCGTGGGGAGACAACCATTGCTGGCTGGGTTGCGACGTGACCCGCCGGCGAGGCAGCGAGCCGGAATGCCCTCGAACGTGTCCCCCGGAGCCCTCTCCCCCGCGTGACGGGACGCGGCCGCAGCCCCGCTCCATCCTGCTGGCTCCGTGCTGAGAGTAGACCGCCCCAGCCAACCGCGGGGGACGCCGCGCCCGGACACCCGCCGGCGAGGGGGTGTGGGCCGGCCCGGGGCGGGGGGGCTGCGGGACAGGATTAGGTTTCAGGCGGCCGGGGCGTGCCTGAGTGCGCTTTCCCCGCGGCGCGGCTAGGTGCCGTTACTTGGGGACGAGAAGGAAGAAGGCGGAGAGCGGGGCTGGGCCGCGGGGGCCGCTGAGCCGCTGGGGTAAGAGGGGCGCGGGGCCGGGGAATGGGGGGAGCTCGCCTGTGCTGACCTACGGGCAGAGCAGTGCGGGGAGGAGCCGCCGCGTAGCTGGAGTTTGGAGCTGCCGTTTAAAACGTGTTTAATTCAAGAAGTGTTATTTATTGTTCTGCTGGTGCGCCAGGGTTTGTAGGGGCCGGGAGGGGGCGGCTGGGGGCCGCGGAGCCCGGGGGGGGGCCCAGTCTGTTGCTCCCCCATCATTCGCCCTGGGCCGAGCTGCCCCCGGGCGGCAGCGAGGGCGCTGGACGCAGGGCCGAGGTTCCGGCCTCGGGCCTGCTGGAGGTCCGCAGGCTCGGGCGGCCTGGTGGGGAGCCGAGCCTCCTCCGGCTGCCGCAGGGAGCTCTGCTCCTCCTCCTTCCCTCTGATCCCCACACCTCCTTTCCTTAACCCCAGCGGTAGTGTGTCGTGCAGGGGAAAGGGCTCCTCACCTGCCGCAGACCTGCGAGCGGCCGCAGCCCTCGCCCAGTGCTTGCGGGCGGCGGCTTGGAGACAAGCTCGGAGCCGGCTGCAGGGCCCGAGCAAGGCCGGCGATTTCCCCCGCGGCGGGTCTGCGGGCTCCCGGTGACTGCGCCGTTACCTATTGCCGTGCGAGTGTCGGCGATTGTCGCGGGTCCGGACCCCGCTGCAGCTATCTGGCGTTCCCCAGATCTGCGTTTAAACGTGGCTGTTTTGGGTGTGATGGAAGTAGAGGGCGAGGCGCGACCCTCAGCTGTGCCCTCGGTGGTGTATCTGGTGTTTGGGTTAATTTTTCTCGTGTGGTATCTGCCCTTGCTGTCAGTGCCTTCTCGCGTTACTGAAAAGATTAATAGGAAGAAAACGAGAAAGAAAAGCCCTCACAAAGCCGTCCGTTTGAACTTGGAGTAGTACCACATGTAACAGATTTGATTTGCTATTTGGCTGAACAATGCTCTATTTTTATTTTTTTTTTTCCTTTGCTTTTATAAACACTGTGTCATCCCTTCATATTTCTGCTTTTTAACATAAGCAGATTTTGTTAGTGTAAGCTGATGAACAGAAAACTTCCTTACTGGCTTTGGTGCCAGAAAAAGTAGCAGGGAGCAGACCAGTGATTAGGCTGAAGGGTCTGAATTCTGCTGTTGAGGAAGTCTATTGTCTAATGCCTTGTGGTTTCCGTATCAGCATTGAGTTTTCCAAGATAACAGCAACTCTTTGGGAGGGAAGAAACTGACCTGGAAAAGGGGAAAGTGGTAAAATCTTTTGGGGAGATGTTATTTGATGCTTCCGTGGAAAATGGAAAGTAAAGTAACATTAGAAGAATGAAGAATAAGAGTATCTAAGGACATATCCATCTTAACTGGCATCATTTTTCATGACAGAGGACATAGCTTTTTTTTTTTTTTAAACCTAAAATTGTTACGCATTTTTAGTACACGTATTTTTTATCTCTCTGTATCTTGTTAATAATAACATGCATGTAGCATTTACTGATTAGTACTGGTGTTTCTAAAATGTCTTCCTTTGTTCTTTCAGTAAGGCTTTTTTGTATCGGGACCGGATACATCCTCCCCTCTCTGCGCGAAAGTGAGCTAAGAAAGTTAAGTCAGTAGCAGCAGCAGGGAAAGGAGAACTGCACTACTCACATACTAATGGATGATCTTTATATTCCATCTGGCTCTGTGTCTGTGAATTCTTCAGATAGGAATGCCGTACAGCTCAGTCTTGCAGATCGCTCTAAATGCTTTTGTTTTAATAGATAGCACTTTAATCAGTGTACTGAGAACCATTGTAAAGAGCTTTTAAATAATCTTCGCGTTTCATGTAAGGAAATTTAAAATTCTGTGAAGTATATCCAGTAAATTTTCTAACTGGCTTTAAATCTGAGTGTGTTGCTGAATCAGTTTAAGCCAATACAATGCCATGCTGGCAATATTCGTATCATCACTGGTAAGGGCAGTTTTGTTTCATTGTTGGCCTTCCCGACAAGTCAGTATATAAATATGCTATTTTTGCCTCGGCAGTATTGGAGTATTTCTTTCTCAGGCTTTTCAGAGCTTGGCCTTGCATCTGAGACACCTTGCACAGCAGTCATGTTACATACTGCTTTTAATGATTTTCTGCTTTTCCTGTATTACTCACCTGTTAATTGCCAGAATGTACAAAGAGAAGTTTGTGTTTTCAGTTTGTAAGGAAAGTGGTGACTCTTCCTTGAAGCTTATCGGCAGTGGGGCTTCTTCCTATTTATTTATTTATGTGTGCTCTTGTTACCTCTGTGAAGAATCTAGTATACATTAAGAGGTGCAACTGTTGTAGGAACAGTGTTTCATCAGGTTTAACTGAGTTTAATGAATATGCTAATCAGCTGCATATGCTGAAAACATAAAGGGGCAATATTAAGCATTCCTGGGTTTCATACATTAATTCAGGATATGTTGTATATATTAAAAAGTTGCTTTTCAGTTTCTGAAGCAAATCCTGTATTTTGAAAGTTAGAAGAAAGTAATGCCAATTAATGTCAATTTAAAATATTTACTGAAAGATTTTGATGTTTTTGTTTCTGTGGTTTTTTTTGCGTTTTTTTCTTTTTTTTTTTTTTTTTTTTTGGGTGAGCAGATGGTCTATTAGTTTCCTTGACCAAGAAAAGAAAAAAAAAAAAAGCCACCAAAAAATCTCACCATAAAAATTTCCCCTACTGTGTTGTTGGTTTTTCAGTACTCTTTACAAATTACTGTTGAATGCCCTGTACACATGCTGATCAGTAGGTGAAAGCATTAAGTATAGTTTGGGCTCATTTCCCAGTTGCAATTATAACTTGCACATCAGCTAACATGATATTATGCTCATGTAGGGCTCCCTACAGTGTTAAAGAACATTATTATTTAAACACAGTGAAGAGATTGCTTGTTCATCCAAAAGCATTGTAAGTTTCCCTAATGCATAAGTGTAATGTGTGCAGAAACCTAAAAATAGTTGAACATTCAAAATTCTGTTTTCATAGTTAATTAAAAATACAAGATGTTTTTCAGCTCTATCACAGTACTTCAACATATAGTGCCAATACAATGATCTGTTTACATCTTTTTGATGCATTCAGTATTGTCCTAATTCAAGAAGCTGGTAACATCACTTTTCAGGCTGCTTATAATCTTATGTATGCTTTGCATTTGTTTCTGAACTTTTTTTTTTTTTTTTCTGCTTTGACTGTTTCAGAACAATTTTAATTAGCATAGGTTTTAAATGTAAATGTCAGGTTTCTCCTGCTTGCCTGTTGTATTCCAGGTAGTCAGTGGACATCTGCTGTTTTCCTTTTGGTGCAGTTCATGTTTATTTTCCTTGTATTAAATCCTTAATTTGAATCAGTTTGCTCTTCTGTCATCCAGAAGCATGCAGTCCAGAGTCTCTTGGCTGATGAAACCAAGTGATTGATGTTAATTTGTCACATTTATGTCCTGTCAGTAAAATGATAGGCTTGCCTTTTTTTCCCTTTCTTCATTTACGCTTTTTATTTATCCTGCTTTCCCTGTCTCTGCTGTCCTGCATTTATCTTCACATCCTTTTACTGCATGCTGAAATATGTGTATCTCATTATGAGTAGCGAAGGCTATACAACTCACGCTACAGTTGTCAAGTCCTTGTAATATTGCTCCTAATCCTAGAAAGTGATTTGGTATAGCTCAGCATCTAAGACTCAACAGCAAAATTGACCTTATGACAGTGGAAGAATATATATATAAAAGTGTGAGCTCTTTGAATTTACTGTGAATGGCTTCTGCTGCCTTTATATTGACAAGACTCCCCGCAAAGAGTTTGGGAATCACTTTAGTTTTCTTCCTAGAAATGGTAGCCAGGAGGTAGGAAGTAACTGAGTGCAAGGGAATAGGTTGTGGAAATCACAGGCAAAGCAGAAGGTTTATCAGTAACTAGTATCTTCCACTTCCTTTGCGGTTTGGTTTCTGTTCCGTGTCAGGCAGTGCTATCACAACATGCCTGTTTGAGGTATAGCCAGAAAGGAGGAGAGGGAAATGGCATGGGTTAAAAATCAGCTATGAAAGGGTATTTCTAGCCCAGTTAAATCCAGGCCCAGGTGTTGAAATTTAGATCAGAAGTTTTGAAATATACTTTTTAGCAGCTATAAAATGCATGCTGTGACTGCCATACTGCTTAATTGAAACATATTTAGTTTTAATCTCAAGTGACTGCTAGCCAAGGTTTGGGTCTACAGATCACTCTTAAGATAGGCATTTTCTCTCTATCCTCAGAGTACTTCAAGTAGTGCATGAGTGACAGAGCAAAGCCTATTACTATGTTTTCTGTCTTTGGCATCACATGTTTGCTAAGCCAATGCTGTGAGCATTAGTGTCCAGAGTATTATCTGAAATGGTTTTGTGAAATAATAGATGCGTTATTTGTCAATGAAACAGAGTAAATTTCATTGCAGGAAGTACATGATCATGTGTGAAAGGGTAGTCATTGGAAGTGAGTCATCTTTCCCTTTTCATGAGTCTTTTGGCTGTTTAAATAAGTGGTTTACATGGTTGCAGTGGAAAGGTGGTGATCAACATAAATTTCACATCTCTCTCTTGAAATTCTAACACCTGTGGATTTGAGTGTTTTAGGAGTGGGCACAAAGAAACCAGAGCTGCAGGATGCCAGCTGTTTTCTGGAAACTGACCTTACAGAAGGGAGCATAAAGAGTGGGGAAATGTGTATATAACACATTTTTGTTTGTTAGCATGGAAAGAATAAAATTTCAGAAGTGCATGTTTGAAAGGGATCGTCTTTAACTTTTGTGCGTGTTTAGTAGAAGACTGTTTCTTACCATGTACCTGTATAAAATTACTTGTGTTTTCTACTTTCCTGTAATAAAAGAGAAGCAAAAAGAGAAGGTACTTTTTTTCCCCCCATTCTTTTTAAGCCACATCTTTCAGGTACCTATGCCTCTAAGACTTGTGAATGTGACTTGTTACTCTTTTTAACAGTATTTCTTCAAGTTGCCAATAACAATGTCTAACTCATTTACTTTGTGTTCTTACTACTGTGAAGAGATTAATGAACTTAGCACTGAAATACAAAAATAGTTAAATCTACTTTGAGCTAAGCTAGTAAGCTCTTTGAGGCATGAACAGTATTTGCATCTTGTATAGAAAGACTGGTTTTGGCTTCAGACTCCTGTGAGACAGGCTGCCAACAGAAGAGAGAATCAGAACTAAATGAGAGAATCAGAACTAAACTTCCCGTTTGTACATCCAGGAGTTTGTGACAGCATTATAAAAATATTTACTACAGCAAATGATAAACCTGTGCCTTTTGGACAAATAATCATGCAGGCCTCCATAATTCTCTGCAGCATTATTGTTAAAATATCCAGAAGCAAACTGATTTAGAGGCCTATAGTGGGAGGTGGTGTTGTGGGTATGCCTCTGTGGTGCATGTTGGGCAAATGAGTTCTTGCTTCCCTTATATTTCGACTATGTTAATGTGCTGCTAAGCTGGTGCTGACAGATCCCACTTGTTATCATGCATGTGGCACAGCAGGAGCAGTCACGTGGCTTTTTGCCATTTCAGGGTGCAGGGAGAGAGAACAGGGGTCATCTTGAACTGTGACATGTAGAGATGCTGGTGTGTCTCAATGCATTGCTTCTGCATCAGAGGAAGTCTTGTGGAGGAAAACATCCTAACAGCATTTTTGATCTTGCTGCTGCTTAGTGCCACAATTGACAAAAGCATAAAGCTGGTCAGCTGAGGAGGGATTCCCCACTAATATAAATGCAAAATAAGGAGAATTAAAACTGAGAATTAAAAGATTGATTTGCTGATACTAAGGTAGCTCTGGAGCAGTATTCCTCCTAAAGCATGAGGTAAATATGAAGTATATAATGAGTGTCTTAGCAGAGCTAAGGACTTCTTTTCAGTGCAGATTAGGCAGCATTATCTCCATCAACAGAGTATATTTAGGACTTGTGTCTGCTTCTAGAAAGCTTCCATTACAATCTTTTGAATTCATACCTCTGGGATTGCACAAAGAGAGTGGTGACCTTGTCTGTACTGTCACTTGCAACACGTCTTTCATAGCACACCAAGAATGAGATTTTTGTCAACGTGAATCATAATATAAAGCAATATCCAGCTACTCTAGGAGATACAGACTTTTTACAGCTGAATCTCTTCTTGAGATTCTTAGTGAGCTAAAGCAGAACAGTTACCCTGTATTTTTCCTGATTAGTTTCCTTAGAAGATGAGACTTGAACATATGATGAGATGTGCTTGAGCATACAGTACTCGTGACAAACCGAACCATTGCACTGAAATGGCTGAAAATACTCCGTATCTTTTGTTTGTAGTTGTTCACAAAGTTCTCTCATTGCATCCACAGCACAGCCCCAAGAGTAGCTATAGAAGAACTGTAACAGTGAAACAAGGAAGAAATGCTTTGCTTGGCAATTGCCATGAAGAAAAACAACTGTGAACATGTCATCTATAAGATGTGAACATGATCTCTATTTGTAGCTGGGGGCTCTGAATTGAAGAAGTGATAGTAGTTTGCTAACCTAGAAAGAAAAGCTATGAGTGATTAAGGTTTGGGGGAAGCCAGCTTGCTCCATAATGTTTATATAATCTCATCCAGCCCTTCCCATGTAAAATAGATGTTTTTTTGTCTTGTTTTCATAGATTGACAAGGTGACAACATAAGATATTTGGCATGGTTTTCAGATCTGGTAATCATGTGCTGGGATTTGTCTTGCCAAGTGAGAAAACAAATTCAGGAAGGCTTGTTTTCATTTATTACTGATTTGCATAATTTGGATTGTGGAATAAGGTTACCTTGGCAAAGTCACATTCCAAGGATTTGAATGTCTGTCCGTAAGTGGTATATTGTCCTAAAAAGGGTGACCAGCAATCCCTTATCAATATGTTGGCAAATTCAAATGCAATAAAATAATCAGATAGGAAGCCTCCTGCGTATTGAAACTAGGGAAGTCTTGGTGATGGAACTTGAAACCCTTTTAAACCCACTTGATTTGTTTTTTTCTGCACAAACTACAAATAATATAGGCTTGTGAAAATGTTCATCCTGTCTCGTGTTCTGTCAACACCATTCTTTTCCCTATCTTTCTCCAAAATTTCAAGAAAAACTAATCTTTCCTGAGTGCTTAAAGATCACAGTGCTCTGCATGTTGATAAGCTCACCAGATTTAAGTTGTGATGCTATACTGAATTGCTTCCCTATTATCAAGATAACAAAGGCACCATTGATAAAATGCACAGTTCAGTTCATACACGTGCAATGATATTTGAACTCCTCACTTCTCAGCTACCTGTCTCCATCAAACATATTCTGTCACTACAGATTTCTGAGCAATTGCAGATACACTGTTGAACTGCACCCCTCCCAAAAAAAACAACAAAACTCCCACCTCCCCTCCCTCCTGCCCCCCCCCCAAAAAAAAACAAAAAAAACCCAAAACCAAAAAAACCCCAAAGCAACAAAAAAGAATAAAGCAAGTTTAGATTTTCTTCCTCTCAGTATAGAATTTCTTGCTGGAAAACCCACACTGACAAAAACCCAGCCGTCATCCAAATCCGAGTCTCGATTCCAGTAGGTGCTAATAGTGGCAGCTGTAGCATGAGAGTCCTGCAAGTCTGTGTAATGTGAAAACTTAAATGACTTATGGGACTTTTCAAAACGTGACTTCAGAAAATGTGCTAAGGCTCATGCACCTGAAATGGTCTAAACAGGGCTTGAAAACTGATCCTGCAGGGAATGTTTTTTGTGAATCACTGAAAAGGAAAGTGATGAAACTGTGTAAAATATCAGTGACAGCTGTGATTCATAGCCTCTGATTAAAGCAGTGCAGGACATGTTATGCAACAGTACGCAGGCAGCAGCTTTGATATGGAAATGTAAAAATAGCACAAAGCATATTCCTAAAGCAATTTTCAGGGAGGTTTTAAGCTCCAAAGTAACTTGGAGTATGTTCAGCTCTGAGGTTATTTTAATCATCCAAGGAGATACTTTTTTGTGGATTGTTATTTTGTGGGGTGTTTTTTTTTGTTTTCAGAAGTCAAGCTTTCTTGTTTCCTTCAGAGCTTAGTGCTTCTGTAAGTGTGACCCTTTTTTCTTTCTGTTATTTTTCAGAGAAATACTGTATTTGCTGCCTCTTACCATTATTGGAATAGAAGTTGATAAGCAGAAGATATGCTGGAAACAATCGGTAATTTTTTTTATTTGTATCACTATTATGATGGCCAAATCAAGTGTGCACAATAGATTTAGGACACTGGTATATACTGCTGAGAGAGGTTTTGTAAAAAATATTTATTGTGCTTAGAAATATATGGTGTATTTGAGGTTTTGTATTTTGTATTTGAAAACAAAAACGGTACCATCATTTGTTTAGTTTGTTTCATTTTTAGCCTGCTGTTTTGATTTCATTGTTTTAATCTTGACTATAATTTTAAAAGTTTGTACAAAAAGGACAAATGTTTTCTATTATGGCTATTTTCAGCACTGTTTGTTTACTGGTCTGTAGCCACAGTTCCTGTAATTGAACTTTGTTACTTGCTTGTATGTGGTTGCTCCTAAACAGCTACTGATTAGGAATGACTATTGCCACAGATACACATCGGGCCCTCCAGGCCATGGAGCGCTTACAGGAAAAACTTCGGGATCGAGGTGACATTGCAAATGAGGAGAAGCTGAGCTTATTAAAATCGATGCTGCAGAGTCCTCTCTTTAACCAAATTCTCAACCTTCAGACTTCTGTTCAGCAACTGAGAGATCAGGTAGGAAAAGCAGCCTCCCAGGTGCAAGAGAATTGCTAAGAAGGTGCAAAAATAGCCTAAATTTAATGTCTGCTAATGCTTCAGGGATCTGAGGAGGATGTACCCATTGACTTTTCGGGGCTTTATTGAGGTCAATAGTTTATGTATGTGCATTTTTATATGTATGCTTGTTACTCAAAATGCACGTGATAGGGAAATGATGATCCTGACTGGGAAGTTAACATAAGGCCTTCTGTCTCTGTCCTTCAAAATGAACATGTTTTCTGTGATTTTTTTTTCCTAGTGTTCTTTCACTGCTCTTTCGTGTCTTACACTGAAATGACAATAGATGAGGGAAGCTGCAGAGTGCTGATTTCAGAAGAATATGAAGATCTGGGTTTTTTTTGTGTAGGAATAAAAGATCAAAGAGAAGCAAGAGCTCATACCTCCCTGCTCAGGGTGTTAAGTAAAAGTATTTCTCTGCATCTCTCCAGTGAGGATGAGAAAAAGGGCTGCAATTTGACTGTACGTTCTTATTTATTACTGTAATGTAATTTCCTGTCAGCGGAATAAAAACTTGAAGAATACAAATGTAGTTCAGTAACTGAATTAGGACTAAAGTGTGTATCTGGCTTTGGAAACAGTTGTTCTTGTTGACTCCTTCAAGATGGGCAGCTCTGTGGCTGGTATGCAGAAATGCCAAAGCCCCTGAACACTGACCTTATCCACAGCATGGAGCTGCATCCAGTCTCTGTACTGCAGCTGGTGAGGAGCCCTCATGATCTTGATGCTACTTCAGCTGCATAGCAGAAGAGCACAGTCTGAATCATATTTGTGCTATTTTTCACAGACAAGAAATAGTTGGAATCGTGTCTATAGTGCTCTGTGTGACTATGTTTGTTACATCTTGCATGTTTAGTATGTAGAGATCTGATAACATTGGAGTGATTTAAAAAATCTAGGAAAAAAAACTGTTCTGAGGATTTGTTTGCTTTGCTACCTGAAAGGGATAATATAACAGTAACATCCAGAAATTATGTGAATTACCTGAATTTAGTGAAAAGGCAAATTAAATTTTCACTTCCAGACATCAGCTGTGAAGTTAAAGGATGCTTCTCTTTTTAAATACAGTCACCCGAATCAGTAAAATGAAGTAGCTGGTACTACAGACAGGTAATTTCCAATGTGTATTTTTTAAAAAGCAAATAATAATTTAACTTCTGCCTTAAACCTACAGGTTTATCTGTGCAGAAGATTTAGTGGCCCATGCATGTTGCATGGTATGTACACAGTCTAGTTGACAGGGGAGCTACTTAGATTCGAATTCCTTTCCTGTCATGTGTTCACAGAATACCCACACATGCAAATATGTTTCTGGCCATTCTTAGATTTGGGTCAGCTCTTCAGAAAATACCTTGTGTTTTCTGTATGGATTCTTCCCTAAAATACAACATGAGATGTCTCTCTCTTCTTTCCTTTATTTACATGTTTATAAAACATACTGAAACAGGACAGAGAATAAAACCATGAAATAGGCAATCATGTTAAAAAAAATAAAAAAATGTGTTTCTTGACATTTTCAAAGGCTTAGTTTTGTTCAAGGATACCCTTTTATTTTCCTCTTATGGCTGGAAAGGTGCTTTGTTCTTGAAACTCTTAAACTACAGGTTGGTGAAGACTGCAAGGCATGTGAATAGTGACCAGGCTTTTCGGCTAAGCACGCGTGTCCGTGGAAGGAGACAAGTGTTTCCCAAGCTTTTGCAGTCACAGCTGTGCTGTGCTGAGCTGTGCAATGGCTAGATATTGCAAGCTTCTACCCACTCAAGACTAAGATGCATAAATTTTCTGATACTTCATGTTAAGCTGCACTGACAGTTGAATGGGGGTCTGTTTCTTCTAAGGTGAAGTGTAAGGGGCAGTCTGTTAAGCTGCTCCTGTATCTGTGAATAATTTATGTGTTTTTAAAGAGCTATAAGACTACTGCAAAATTCTCAGGAAGTCATCTCCCTGGTGTGGGAGGTGGGAAGTATAGGTTGAAAGAGAGGATGAGTGCAGAGAAGGAATATTCACAGTTTACTGTCCGAGTCCCTGCAATCATCCCAGCATATGTAGGTCACTGAGACATATGTGTGGGCATGTAGTGGCCTGAAGAAATTTGAGAGTGTGACATATTCCTGTCTTGAGGCACTGTGTCTCGAAGGCGGAGAGGTGATAGTGCAAGCTCCATCTTTGGTTTGTGCAGTGAGTCTGAAAAATGACCTGGCAAATCTTGTAAACATCTGTTATGTTTTCCTAGCAAAAAATAGGATGCAGATACACAGTTTAGGCAGACAAATATTCCTTGCATTTTAGTGAGAGTTACTACCGTTTTTATGGCCTGAAATAGTAGACTTCCTTTTTGTTTTTCCCCTACAGATAGTGATCTTTTAAGCATGAAAAGAACACCTGAAAAAGTGTGTTTCTGCATGCATGGAGATGTTTTAGGTTTGGTGTCCTATTTCCTTAAAGCTTCTGTGTGTTAATTAGAAATTGATACCTTTTGTTAGCTGGTGCATGCTTAGTAAAAGGCCCTGTAGTTTGCATTTGTGTTGCATATGCAGTGGTGTGGACTGAGTGATGTATTGCTTCATCTAGATGTAGATCTGCAGACTTCATCTAGGCATGATGCTGAAGTCTGCAGATCTGGTGTTTTGGTGCTTGTTGGTAGGGGCTTTATATTGTTGTGGGGTTTTTTTTGTTTGTGGGTTTTTTTTTTTTTTTTTTTCTTAGATGAGCAGGCAGGATTTGTTTGCTCCTCAAATCTGTCATTGTTAAGAACTGGAATGGGAAAAGTCTAGAGACAGCAAAGGGGTATTTTTGTCCTGACTTTGTTGGTCACTTGAGGAGCACTAGGAAAGCAGGGGTTTTTTTGAATTTATTGAATTTATCAATAATATTTGGATCTCCAGGGGTCACTTGCAACCCCAGTGATACTGTGATCCTGTGATTTTCGTTTGTTTATAACATACTTTAAAGAAAATAATCAGATTGTGCTGACAGTCCTCTCCTGCTTCTTTTTTTTCTGTCTCTCCCTTGTCCACCTCTTCCTCCCTCCTCCATCCTACTCAGGGCTCTGCCTGAACAAAATAGCCTTCGCTTGGCTGGGCTGCATTCCTCAGATTTTTTTTGCTTGTGAGTTTGACCATAGCTTCTCATTCACAATGCAGTAGGGAGGATGAGTGCCCCTGCACTGCAGCATGTATTGGGTTGCATGGGATAGCTGGGTGTCAGAGCTGAAGAGGATTCAGGGAAGAATATATGTCAGATATAAGGGAGAAGTTCTTTACTATGAGGGTGGTGAGGCACTGGGATAGGTTGCCTAAAGAAGTGGTAAATGTTCCATCCCTGGCAGTGTTCAAGGCCAGGTTGTACAGAGCCTTGGGTAACACAGGCTAGTGTGATGTGCCTCTGCCCATTGAAGGAGGGTGGAACTAGATGATCTTAAGGTCCTTTCCAACCCAAACCGTTCTATGATTCTAAGAAACAGAGAAACTGTGTCTTTCCATATTGTCTGTAAGCACTTTTTTTAACTCTGTGTTTTGCATTGACTGTAGAGGAGCCCTTTAGTTTCCATCCTGGACCCATTTTTGTACAGCACTGCTTGTTGGTGTTGTGAAACAAAGTGCTTACAGGAAACGCTAATTTGGAATCTGCTTTGCCTGCCCTGAGGAGGAGACATAAAGGATGCACACACATAGCCAAAACTTTTTTCTGTTAACAGCGTGTTAATGTGGATTGAACAGTTATTTTTGCCTTTTCCTCCTACATATACTATTCAGCACTACTTGTCAGTGGTATTTCAACCGTCTTGCAAATCCAGTTTTCAGAATAGTGGAGTTAATCAGTTATGGAAAATATTTTTTAAAAAGATGAACAAATTTTACCTTCTGGTTTGGAAGGCAGAAGGAATGGGAGAATTTGGTCAGTTACTGTATGTTTGCAGTAATGTCCCAACTCATATAAGTATGCAGAAGGGATGAAATATTAGACTGAGAAGGTGGGTACTATATTGCCAGTTTGAACAGGATTTGGTCTATGAGAACATGCACTGTAAACCTAAAGTATTAATTACCATGATTCTACTTCAGTTTTAGCTTAGTGTGAATTTTCTATGAGAGAGAAAAGCATAAATCCCTAAGGAGACTGTCATATCTTAATTAAAGAACTCTTTGAAACTTACATGGAGAAGAAAATGTTGATACTGGGCACATGCTCAGGTGAAATTTAATCTGTCCATCATGGTAATCTGCTGTTTAAACATTATAAACAGTGAAACAAGCAGCTGAAAGCAATCCTCTGTTAAGCAGTAGTAGCATGACATACATAGAACGAAGTACAGGATGGGCACAGAGCTCCTCTACATACTGAGGGTTGTGCTGTATGGGATATTCAGTGATACAGGATGTGTTTTAGGCTCACAGAAGGCATATAATTCATCGTAAGGGCAATGTGTGATATAAGCCTTTTATTTTTGATGTGTAGCTCCATTTTTATCTTTCTTTTTCTTTGCTGTTTGTGCATAAGGAAGGTATTTTATTGTATATCAACAAAAAATAGTATCATGATGTAAACACCATTTGTATCATTCATATTACGATAAAAATGTGACATTTAGGATTATTGCGGCTGTGATCTGCTTTATGTGCATTGCATGATTTTTCCATTGTTGCGATTTGCTCCCTATACATTTCTTTGTAAAACAGTGCCCTATATAAAAGGGAAGACTTTATAAAGAGACTTCCCAGATAAGGATTGTCTCTGTGTTAGCAGTCTGCATACCATATGGTAACATGGAAAAACCTTAAAAGTGAAATTCGTGAAGGCAAGTAGAAGGGAAATAGGCAGTAAGGTGGGCATAGCAGTGGTTCCTTAGCTACGGTTTCTGTGCCTTAAAATTCTGTTTCTGTCCTTTTTTTGTCTGCATGGCTTTTTCTTTGTAAAGCAGAAGGGGTTCTAAGTTTCTCTGCATAGTCTCAAATTTTCCTCTTAGCACTATTGCAGTATTTTTCTTCTTTTTTTCTTTTTTTGTCTTAGGAGATGACTGCACACTCCACTCAAAAGTGGGGAATCATGCACACTTGGATTTTATAGGACGATGAGCGATACCAGTGACCCTTCCCCTGCTGCCATTTTTAAGAATAAATTCTCAGGAAGCTCTTCCCACATTAAAAAGGTCCTGAGACAGAGTAATGTTGTACTTAGAAGGGTACTAAAAGAAATGGAAGGCATTTTATATATTTTTCTCTTAAGTTTAATTACACTAACTGGAGTGAGTTACGCTCTCAGCTGTTGAACCTTGCCTACTTAGTTTGAGGCTACCACTCTAAGGGCTGCACCAAAGAGGTTATGTGAACTTTCACTAATTTGCATTGTACAAAATCAGTAGGTTTGTTCATGCTGTGCTGTTGCTTGAGGTTAACCTTGCTGGCTTTGCCTGAGCAGGTGGTGAGTTCGATAGTGAAGCCTTTCACCAGACAAATTCTGATGATAGTAACCTTCTGCAGCAAGGGCAATTCAGTCCTATTTTATACACTGAGCACTGCAATTTAGAAAATGAATTTATATCCATGACTGACTAACATTTATGATATCAGACCCATGTGCTGTGACCTTTGGGTGCACATGAGATGTATTTTGGGTTTGCATCTCATATACTCTTAAGGCTGCTTTATCTTGCTGTGGAAATGTAAAAGTGCTTTTTTTTAAATAGAAACAGTGCAAGACGGGATAATTAGAGTGGTGTTAGATACTCTTACAAATAAGAATTTGAACCATGGCATTTTTTTTGTGGGAAGGAACATGACAGCGGGATGTATAAGAAGATTTGAAGGTGGAGGAGAGCAAGAAACAAAAAACATTAGTTGACCAAGTTCACTGATACACTTTTATACATTAAAATGTACGACATTGGGAAGGTGGAAGTGTATTTACCTATTATATGGGCTCATTCACATAAGAAGTGTAGTATGGCATAAACCTTATTTGTTTCAAATCCATGCATATAATGTAAGGGGAAATCTTGCATTCATGGAAAGGCAGAATTTGATTATGTCTCTGGGTGTTGTTACATGTTATGAACTGTGAAAAACGATTTATCTACTTGTGCCTTACAAGCTTGTTGAAATAACTGTATGTGATTAAAGAAAGTACTTGCATGCATGTTTTAGGTATTATTATTTATTTAACACATAACCCAAGTGCTTCCTCACAAATATGGACAGCTGACTGTAATTACTGTGTGGTAGAAATCACTCCATTCCAAACATCCCGATTTTCCTCTTTCCATTTTTTTTTTATGGCAGAGCAAGCTATGTGCTGTAGAGGACTTTTCTTCCCAGTGCTGGTTTGTTGTTTTTTGTTTTTTTTCTTTAACTTGAGGGTCTTCATAGGCACAGGCGGTGTTCAACAAATTATGTTTGTTCTATTGTGTTAGATGAGAAGGAATTGTGTGATGGAAAACAATATTGCCCTTGACTAGTCTAGTAACCCTAATGGAAGTAGCATGCTCAAACACTTGAGACTGATGCAGTAGACATTTTAAAATACAACTTCAGTTTTGAAAATTGTTGTTGCTACTTGGAATTTAAAAAATAAGGTTTCAAGGAAGGGGGATCCCAGCCTTTTTTATTGTGGTGCAGAATGCTAAAAAATTTGTGCTGTAAAGCTATGAAAAGTACTTGAGGCTGTGGTCCTAAATTGTGGTTAGTGTGCCAGGTAAATATGAAACAGATTAATGTGGAGTAAAACAGTGCCTGTTGACAGTCAACAGGAAAGTGGAACAACAGCCAAATGAGGGTTCTTGGTTCACCTGAGCTTTATACCACCACCACCACCAGCCAGACAATAGATTTGTCAGCAGAGACATGCTTGAAAATAGGTAATTTATTATGGCTGAGCAAAGCAGGAGAACTTTCACGTTTTCTTTTCTTTTCTTTAAATGAGTGTATTGTCAGGGCTGACTGTGCAAAGGCACAGGTGTGGTTTTTAGATCAACCTGGTGATTTTAGACTTGTTCAGTAATTTTGTATTTAATTGTAGCTCATGTAGAGGGTCACATTGGCAGCCATACTGTGTAGTCATGTAGAAACCCTGACCAGTGAAATTTGTTCCCTGCGTAGCTGGTGGGATTTTTTTATTTTTTTTTTTTTTGTGATTTAAGCCCAGCCGGTAACTCAAAACCACATAGCTGCTCTCTCACTCCCCCCACTTTTTCCTCCCGGTGTTCCTGGAGGGATGGGGAGGAAAATCGAAAGAATGTAACTCCCACGGGTTGAGATAAGTACAGTCCAGTAACTAAGGTATAACACAAATCACTGCTGCTACCACCAATAGTAATAATGATAATGGAAATAACAAGGGAAGAGAATACAACCCCTCACCACCTGCCAACCGATACCCAGCCCAACCCAAGCAGTGATCTAACCCTTCCAGGTAACTGCCCCCAGTTTGTATACTGGGCATGACATGCTGTGGCATAGAATACCTCTGGCTAGTTTGGGTCAAGTGTCCTACCTCTGCTTCCCCCTGGCTTCCCCTTCTCCCTGGCAGAACATGAGACTCACAAAGTCCTTGGTCAGAGTAAACGTTACTTGGCAACAACTAAAAATATTCATGGAATCATAGAATAGTTAGGGTTGGAAAGGACCTTAAGATCATCAAGTTCCAACCCCCCTGCCATGGGCAGGGACACCTCACACTAAACCATGTCACCCAAGGCTTCATCCAACCTGGTCTTGAACATTGCCAGGGATGGAGCATTCACAACCTTCCTGGGCAACCTATTCCAGTGCCTTACCACCCTTACAGGAAAGAATATCTTCTTATATCTAATCTAAACTTCCCCTGTTTAAGTTTGAACCTGTTACCCCTTGTCCTGTCACTACAGTCCCTAATGAAGAGTCCATCCCCAGCATCCCTATAGGCCCCCCTTCAGATACTGGAAGGCTGCTATGAGGTCTCCACACAGCCTTCTCTTCTCCAGGCTGAACAGACCCAACTTTCTCAGCCTGAAAAATATTGGTGTTATCAACATCGTTCCCAGGCCAAAAGTCAAAAACACAGCAGTGCCCCAGCTGCTAAGGAGAAAAATGACTGCTACTGCTGAACCCAGGACTTTTTTTTAATTTTCTTGTAAAAAAAATCATGCATTTGTTTTTCAAAATACCAGGACTGTACAAAAACCTTGTTCATACTTATTTACCTCTACCTTTGTCTTTGAGTACTGCAACCTGCAATGCTGATACGACAAAAGAATTTTAGTCAGAGTGTAGAAAGTAATTTATTATTTTCATAATTTTTGTCATGTTTTGTGCAGATAATTCACAACTTTACATCAATCATAAATATTAATGATAATTTTTCTTTTTAAAATGTCTCTTTAAAATTACAGTTTAGGATTTTGGATATTTTTAACAAGCAGTTGGCCTAGTATGATGCTTTTGGATAAAGAGGAGGTTTCTGCTCTGTCTGTAAACCTATGTTATCATTAATCTTTTACAGGCAAATATTACACTTTCCATACATTCCACTGGTGAATTACCACAACTTCTGCACCATGGTGCCAACACGGGGTCCTTGCCACATAATGAGTCATATCTGTTGGCTCAGCAGAATGGCAGCCCAGCTAATGTGCTGGAAGCATCGGTGAGATCCATTACTCCTCAGATTAATGGGAAGTCCTCTAGTGATGACTTTGAGCAGCTGATCAGAAATATGTCTCAGGTAAGCATGTTGTCTGCTAACCACAAAATGCAGATCACTGTCTGGAAGATTAAAATATAGGTATGTTAATTTAAAAGTAGTTGAGTTGTTAAGCAAACCAGAACTCACATGATACGTTAAAAAACAAGCGAAACAAACAAAAAAAACCTTTTAATTTGAGGAACAATTGGTAAATGAGAAAACAGTTGGAAAGTAGCCTTGACATTGTCACTCCTGAGTTACTGTCCTTGGCTGGGCAGTGTGCCTCTTACAGATCAGCATGCCATTGTCTTTCCTTGCTCATTGTAGGCCTGCTGCTCTGTGCATGACAGAGATGCTTTGTCAGAGCAAGCTCTTTGTATGCATAACTGATGAAAGCTAGTTCTGTGACTTGCTTGGAAGTAAGGTGGAAAATTCCTTTTTGGCCTTGCTATGTCTTGTTCTGTAATCTTACTACTTTCCTGTGGTAGGCAGAAATGGCATTCAGGTTCCTTCAGTGGCTTGGGAATGGCCAGGCATATATTCTAGCGTTTTTCTGGTTAGCCTGTAATAGAGCCAAATAATAGGGGAAGTCTTCTGCTGTTCACCCTGAAGAGCCTTTTTCACAGTCCTGCTTTTTTACTCTTTCTGGAATTCAGCCCTTTTTTCTAGTTCTGCTTGAGACTTGGCCTGTACCCTCTAAAATTTCATGGACATATATATCCTAGTTTAGTCACTACTAAGCCTAAACTTGGTATATTTAGCTGCTGTTTCCTGATTTCTGGGCTGTAATAATCTTTATTTCTCAGATCTCTCATAACTGTTAACTTTCCGTATGATAGTGAGAAGTCTTAACTGAACTGACTGTGTTTCAATTATTAGCTAGTGTAACCTTGTCCAAAACTAATTTCTAAGTTATCACGTTAATTCATACTGCTTTTCAACATTTTTAACATTGTACCTTTTTCTTCTTTTACGGAACAGGGTCGTCTTGTTGAGACCATTGAGCTTACTAAACCTTTAAGTGGTGGTCTGGGCTTCAGTGTTGTGGGACTCAAGAGCGAAAACAGAGGTGAACTGGGAATATTTGTGCAAGAAATCCAGGAGGGAAGTGTGGCACATAGGTAAGATTACAACTGGAATATTTTACCATACAAAGTGCTAACATGACACTGCAAATTCATTGTGTTATTGCTGTTGTTTTTGTGGTACAAGGTCATGTGTCTCTCATGCTCTTAAGCTATGCATTATAGCAGATTTAATATTATTACTTACCTCTCCATTTTATGTAACTCCAGAACAGGGCAATGTATTATCTGTTCAGAGTTTCTGAAAATACAGATGTAGTTCCTCTGTGTTTTTTTGTATAGTATCTCCTTTTCAAGAGGGAAAATGGGGAATTTGCTGTTCAGTGTTACGGCTTTTAAAGCTGAAATACAAATTTTGCTGTCCTTTAATGTACTGGGAAACAACTTAGTGTGAAAAGATCAGTTGTAGCTGGCAGGATTGTTTGTTAGGTATGGTCCCACTCAGCTGTGAAATGCAGCTTTTAAGCCAAGCAAGGATTGACCTAAAGTTGTTGGACTCTTAAAATGAGATATTCAGCTTATGTTACCAGAAAGTCAGCAATAGTAATAGCTTGCAGCAATGGATTTCTGCTGTAAGAACAGCCCAAAGGGGCAAACAAAGTCAGTGGTGAATGGTGGCAGCAGCACTGGTTCACTGCAGTGTGTGTGTGGATTTGCTGATCAGGATCCTGACCAGAGCTGCCTTGTAGTGTACTCTGTATGTTCTGTGGGGCAGCTGAGTAATCCCAGTGCTATTTCTCACTGTGTTGTAGGGAGAAATTTTCTGCTTATTTGTGTTCTGATCACTTCCTTTTAAGAGAGAGCAGAACATGGCCTACAGAATTAATTCAGTCATGAAAAGCGGCATGCTTAATGTCATTACAGTATTTTTTTAACTTGCCTAGCTTCCATTTCTCTTATTCTGTGGAGCTGAGACCTATCTTTACTAAATCAGGCCCTGCTTGATTCACTGGCAAGAAGAGAAACATTCAACAGCTGTTAACAGAGCTCATAAATCAGAAAGGCCCTGGCCCTGAGAGCACCCTGAAAAACAGCTGAGATTCACAAGAGAAATATTATGGGTTGAAACTAAGCAGTGTTTTTCCTGAATGCTGTTGATACCTTGGCTTCTACGCTGTAGGTGCTCACAAAAACTGGCATAATAGAGATCCTTGGTTTTGTTGCTGCCCTTTGTTTTCAAAGCATTGCCACTTTGCTATGTTGAAGACAACACTCCAGAGTTTTTGTTGGTTCTTTACAAAAGTAATAGAAGCAGTAGAGGAAGCAAAAGGTAACTCATCTGTGCAAGCTTCATACAATTCCTTTGAAGTAGGTCTGTGAAAGGGCTCGGTATGTAATTTTACAGTAGTGCTTCGTCAGAAAGTGAAGAGATTGTTTTTTTAATTTTTTTTAGTGTTTCCGTCCCTGTCCCCCCCCATGTAAAAGGGATCTTTTTTATAATTTTCTTTCTGTTACTCTCTCTGCTTCCCCCTCTTTTCTTTTTCCCCTCCTCTCCCTTCCTCCGTCCGTGTCCCGTCGCCTGCCCCCCCCCCGCCCCCTGTTTTGTGCAAAACAAAATTTGTTTCCATAAAATCTTGATGAAAGTGTGTTCCACTCCAAGGTTTGATGAATATTCAGAATGGGTACACTGAACAAAGTGGAGCACTTGGTCTGTTAAGCAAGAGACTCAAAGACGAGAATAAACATAAATTCCCAGGCTATGCTCGGGAGTGGCTGAGATCTAATATGCTTAGTCTCACATGGGGGTATAGGGAGAAGAAAGCTAGCTAGGGGGTAGTAGCTGGGGGAGGGTGGCAGTGGGATTAGCTTCAAAGGAAGTGATCACCAGGGTGCCTCATCAGCTCCTTTCAGCAAACCTGCAGGGAGAGATTAAAAAGGGGGGGGGGGGGGAATAGAGACCATGGTTATTAAAAATACTGGAAAATTGTCAAAATATTGTCATTCCTGTGGCAACACTTCTTTGGTTTTTCTTGTTTGTTTTGTCGTACCCCTTTGCTGTTTACACATACGTGACAGAGATGGAAAGCTGAAGGAAGCAGATCAAATCCTTGCTATTAACGGACAAGCCCTTGATCAGACAATTACACATCAACAAGCTATCAGCATTTTACAGAAAGCAAAAGATAATGTCCAGCTAGTTGTGGCCAGGGGTGCTTTCCCTCAGCTCGTCAGTCCTGTAGTTTCCAGGTCTCCCTCTGCTGCTAGCACAGTTTCTGCCCATTCCAACCCGGTGAGTATACCCCAAATGTCTGTGTATTCAGTTCTGGGCATGTATGTGCTTACTGCATCTAGTATTTTAGTTACTTTTTGCAACTTGTATATACGTTTCTTTCACAGTTCTTGAAGGTTGTACCTTTTCCTATGCAAAGAATAGAAAATACTCAGGCTTGCTGAGAGGGGAGAATCTTGATCTTGTATGAATTTCTTCTCTCCGTCTGCCAAATTCTCTCTGTCCACCAATGCAAATGCAGCATGTTTATGTTACTTTATGAAGCTTTATTTTGAAGTAGCAGTAAACAGGGTCTTTTTTTCTCTTTGCCCCCTGCCTCAGCAACCAAAAGTATTTGAGCCATTGTAGTCTGATCTGCATCATGAGCCTGACGCATGCTTTTCTGTTTCTCTGTTGTCTGTTAGCAGTGGAGTCAAGTAAAACAACGAGAGAGAGTCATCAAATAGCCATGAATAGGGACACGCTTTAGCACTACCAGGAAACGGCTGTGCCACATTTCCTTTCTTTTGAAAACTTTGCACATCTATGTTTAGAGAACATAGCTCAGAAATATGATGATATTAACTCTATTTTCTCTTCCTTGTGTCTTTCTCATGTAATGGCTTGTCCTGGGATGAAATGGCCTATCTTTGGTTTCTTTGGTTTCACTATTCAGTCATCTGTGGCCCTTCTTTAAGGGAGTTAATAATAAGTATACAGCGCAATATCATAAGTATACAGAGTCTGGAAAAATCAGCTATTTTACTGTTTAATCATTAGCATAAGAACTTTAGTGAAGAAATCTCAGAATTATTATTCTCTGTGGAGGAATAAAGCTGATTGACCTAACTTCCTGTCAGTGCATAGGAGAGGCCTGCTCTCTTTTAGTATGCCTGTAACATGCTTCTTTCTGTATGTGATCGCCTCTGTATTCCCTTGCTTGAAAAACATTCCTTTCAAACCTGCCAAAGCTCCTAATTATTCCAAAATAATGACTTATTTTCAAGATCCTATCTGTTGGAGCACCAGCTGTGGTTTTAAATTTCAGTTGTGTTTACTGTGTGGTTTGTTCTTCAGGAGCTTCCAAATGCCCTTTCAGTACCACCCCCTGCAAGCAAGCAAGCAGTTCTTTTTTCAGAGGAGTTCCACTCTTATGTCAGAATGTGAAGCCTGCTGTCAGAGCTACTTCATGATGCCTGTTGACATCATGAAGTAAATCTTTGTTGCAGAGGGGCAGTTCTGCTAATGCTTGCCCTGCAATACCTGGTGCTGCTTCCAGCCTTACCCTCTGAACTGGTTTTATGTTTTCTCCTGTCCTTTGTTATAATGGCTGATGTGAGCATGCGCTTGCCTGAATATTTTCCGGTCCTGTGAGATTTCCTAGAAAGAGTACTTTTCTCACTGATTGCAACAGAGCATGGAGATAGCAGCCGTAGGTTGCTAGCTTAAATTCATTCAGCAAGTTCTTGAAAGGCCTGACCCATGACACAGCTCTGGTTTGTTCCAGAGAAATTTCAGCTGTCACAGAATGAGTAATGTTTTGCTTAAATATTATATAATCTTATACCTAATAGTAACTGTTAGAAAGGTCCTGCGTTTCTGCCTTCCTCCTATCTTCCTTTATTCAAAAAACATATCCAAGTATTAACAGAAGATACTTTGCAAGTTTTAATGTGTATATTAACAGTTGGACTTGATGATCTTAAAGGGCGTTTCCAGTTAAAACAAGTCTGTGATTCTATGAATTTAGTAATTTGCAAGCTTATATTTATTACTTTTAGGTTCACTGGCAGCATGTGGAGACCATTGAGTTGGTGAATGATGGCTCAGGTCTGGGATTTGGGATAGTGGGAGGAAAGTCAACTGGAGTCATTGTTAAAACAATCCTCCCAGGAGGGGTGGCTGATCAGGTAAATTCAACCTACCCTTCTGTTTACTGTTCCATAACGTGTGAAGTTACACTTTACTTCTATAATCATGGTAAATAGTGGTAGCTTTCTTCCTTATCAGTGTAAAAGAGAGAGCAAGCAATGAAATTCATCCTCAGTAAGTGTGTGTTTAGTGCAGAGCATCTGTGCATTTTGAATGTAAAGATGGATTAGGCTCCAAATCACATTTTCCAGCACTTGGTGCAGGTGCATTTAGGCATGTACTGGTTGTAAGCCACGGGTGTGAGGGGACACCACTTACTTGCTCTTCCCTGACACCTATGAAGAGCATCTGCTTCTCTCAGCTGGGCTTACTGAAGCTTGGAACAAGCATGTGGCATCATGCATCTGCTTCAGGACACGAGCTCTGCTCCTGCCTGGGGGGCTCATGAAAATGGAATTTGGTGGTCACAGCTCATTTCAAGCATGTCCACTGGACAAGTATCTAGGGCTAACATAATGATGGTCGAGGATTGAATAGGCACAGAGACTGGTCAGTCTTTCAAACACAGAAGTGTTTAAACTGGTTAACAGGGCCTGGAGATGCGTGTACAAGATTTACTGCTGCACTGTTTCTCTGAGCAGGTAGATGGGTTCTTTTAACAGACCTGTCACTATAATACTTTTAATATGGGCTAAATTCATGTGAAGTTTTTTTATTGATTAGGGTTAAATCAGGAGACTAAACCAGTGTAAAGCAATATAAATAATTGCATCACAGTAAGGAAGAAATGTATTTTATTTTAAAATTACAGTTAATCTTGAAGGCCAGTTTTGAAATAGAAATGCAAAGCTGAATGCATGTTTGTACACTGTCTTTTAGAAGTGTGTTTTGGAAAGGAAACCTGAAGCTCTGTAATCCACATGCAGTTGTTAAATAGGAGTAGGTAGTAACTATAACTGTATGAATTTATTTTTTTTTTTTTCCCTTTGCTTGGGTGACTGCTTGGAAAAGGATGTCCTGTATATTTCTAGCAAAATTCTAGTAAAATTAATATGTCATTAGGCAACCTGCTTTTCTTCTCCATGTTATTAGAATATTGATCCACTATCCCCAAAAATTCTCCTGGTTCGTAGGTCTTAAAAGCGACTAAAACTATGTCTTTCTAGTTGAATGGTGTGTGGGAGAAATGGCAGGATATTAATGATGAAACAAAAAATCTATTATTCTTCCTTCAGCATGGGAGATTGTGCAGTGGAGACCACATCCTGAAAATTGGTGATACGGACCTAGCTGGAATGAGCAGTGAGCAGGTGGCACAAGTTCTGAGGCAGTGTGGAAATCGAGTGAAACTGGTAATTGCAAGAGGTCCTATCGAGGAACCGTCTCCACCAGCAGTCCCTCCATGTACACCAGTATCCAACTCCACGCCAGAGAAGCAGGTGAGCAGCGGTGAATATACTTAACTCATGGCAAATTTGTATCTCAGACTTCTTTTCTTTTAACTGCTATTGGAATGTCTTTCACAATTATGTTCTCAAAAGCCGAAATTTTCTTTACCACTAGTGTTCTCAGCTGACAGTCTGGAAGTGTTTAAATATCATGAGTCCACAATGCAAGGAACTATATGCTTGAAGCCTTTTGGGATCAAGGCTTAGGACTTCCATAAGTATTATCTGAATAATGTCTGGTTCTGGCTTGCTTGTGGTAGTGCAGTACTACAGTGGGAACAACTGAAGCTGTACAGTCCTTTCTTCAGATAGCACAACCTTGCTTTTTAGCATTTCTCTGCCTGCCTGTCTTTTTTCTCTCCAGGAACATTTCTTAATTCGGTATCATTGCAGCTATCCATCAGACTGTTCTCCATGTGCCAACCAGCACAGAGGTGTTGCTTCTTTCCTACATCACCTGCCATTGCTTATTTGCTTGCCATCTACCGAAGAAAAAGCCAGCCACCTGCTACTCTTATTCCCCTGCTGATGATTGTATTCTCTATGCTGTTACTCTTTTACAACAGTCACTCTCTTGAAAAAATGCTGTAAATCTTCTCATGTCCTGTCAGCTCAAAACCTCTACAAAATTGGTCATTACCGTGTTAGTAGCTGAGCCTGGTTTCGTGGGAGCCAGGAACTACAGCTATATGTTTTGTCACATATAGTTATGACCATATACATGTAAATGTGAATATGCAAAATGAATAAGAGAAGAAAAAGGTGGTTGTTTTTGACCTCACAGTTAGATAGAATTTGTGCCTTATAAAGAATTTTTTGGTTTACTTTTTTATGTTTTATCTAGACATTTTCTTCCCAGTTACAATTTACATTTCAGATAGGTCACTTTGAAAGAAAAAAAGGCTTTAACATTTTCCATATGTTTACTATTATTTTTCTTCTGTCATTGTAGTGGTATATGTGGAAAACAAACAAATACTCAATTCCTCTTCTATGGCTAGAAGGCAAAGAAAATTAATCCTAACATGGAGTCCTCTGAGCATTTAAGAGGATAGACAGACTTCTGTGTGTCTCAGCACTCAGAGGCAGGAAAAGATGGTTGTATTTTAGATAAAGGGATCAATATTGAGCCTAAATATTATTAATCTGAAAAGCAGTAATCTCAAAAAAGAAGCTGAATTTGGTACTTTCGTCTGTGTAAATTTCTTCATTACTTGCCTTTCTGAGGTTATATGATGCAGTGTTGAAGGCAGTGTCTGCAGGTGTAAGATTTGTAAGATTTCTTCTGCCAAAGAAATAGTTCAAAGCTACCAGGTAGCAAAATTTGACCTTTTTGCCACCTTACTTTCCATTTCCGTCGTTTTAAATGCTTTGCTCCTGGTACATCTCTCTTGGCTGGAGGCAGGCTATTCTAAGTTTCTGCCTGCACAAAGTCTTGTTCTTGAAGGGCTCAAGATGGTGCTGCAAGCCTCATTAAGGCAGGTTTGGAGTGAAGACAATGTTAGAAATAACTTGGTTTGTTAATTTCTTCCTGGCAAATGCAGGATGAGTAAAGACTTCATAATGCTCTTAAAGATATTATTGAGAGCAGAATGGCTTTCCAAACGGGTGCTTGTCATCATTTCCTCCATAGATGTCTTATCATGTAAAAATTAATGAGGTTATAGAAATTGGAGCAGAAATGTGGCCGTATTACCTGTGGCCAGTATAATCCTCTAGTATCGAGCAGAGAGGCTGTTAAAGCAGTAGGAGTTTATTTTTCTTATGTTTGATTGCTGTTTTGGGTGGAGTTGTTCAGATAAAGAATTGGATAAACAATACTACTGTTTTGTCAAGTAGCATCATAGCTCTCCTGAAGTCTTTTTTTTTTTTTCTTTTTTTTTTTGCACATGTATACTCATCTAGTCAAATTTGGTTTAGTTAGTATCTGGCTCACCGCTGTATTGGCATTTTAAAAAATACTAGCTGCTATTTTGTCATGCAGAAGAGCCAGAATAAAATAGGAGTAGAGCGGGATCTAGATAGACTTGTACTGTATTTATGAATTGCCATTTTAAATGTGTGCTGGAATATTGATGTCCATATATACATACATACAGTGAAATTCAAGCCTTTTATATGTAATTGTATAATCACACACATTAGCTATGGAGGTGGGCAGTTAACAGTTTCAGATAACTAAGAGATGAAAATTTCATAAAAAAAAAAAGCTTTTGTAAAGCTGAAATTAAGTTTTGGAAATTTTGTTCTATTACAGAAGCAATATTGTAGAAATGGGACTTTAGGGACTTGAGTATGTATTGTGCTTTCATTAACTATAAGTAAATGAATTCATTACCCCCAAAATTCTTTGTTATTGAAATTCAGAGTATTTTAGTAGATAGTAGCAGAGATTGTAATTGTTTAACTAGCTGGAGGTATAATTGCTACTTTCTAAAACAGAATATTTAAGTCTTTCAGAATCAAACCTAATTGTGTCACTAGTAATAGCTTTTATTATGTTTTAAACTTGGCATGTGGAGGAAAAGATAGCTGTAGTTATTGAACTGGAATTTTGATGATTAGTGTATAAAACACAATATTGATCTTTTCTTTTTCTTGTTTTTAATAACACAGCAGTCTAAAGGTCCCAGAAGGACTGCAAGCTACATATTCTAGTGTTTAAACATGGTTCACATAACTTGCTGTAGAAAAGATTCGTTGTTAAGTTTGTACAAATTTCACCAGTCTTCTTAATCATCAAATAATGATTTTGTAAGTTAGAGGGTAATATTCCGGGGTAGCAAGGTGGGCAGGGCATGACCTGCATAGCCTTACTATGAGCAATGTTACCTATGTTTAGTTTCTTTGCGGAACACTAAATAAGAGCAGAATCAAAGCTGATGCTTTCTTTTTTACATTTGTGTCTAATGTACACATGAATGGTATCAAAGAATGTGGTGATCTTTAAAGAAGAAAAAAGCTTTTTCTAATCACTCTTTTCTCATTAGGCAGATGCTTCTGTTGATAGCTGTGAAGATGGGGAGAAATTTAACGTTGAACTCACTAAAAACAACCAGGGATTAGGAATAACTATTGCTGGTTACATTGGAGACAAATCGTCAGGTAAGGATTAATTCCTGCAGTTTACTATACAATCTGCTGCATACTATGGTATATGCACATCAAAGACATAATTTTAGTTTTGATATAGCACCTCTAAAAAAACCTTTGCCATCTAAAAGCTTTTAAGGTTTCTAAAGAATGAGGAATTATTTTCCTTTTGTGAGAAGGACATTCAGTTTAGGAGCAGTCAATTTTATGATAATATCTCACCTCAGCATTTTTTAATCAGTTTTTATATTCATTCTTGGCTAAACCTTGTGTTTATATGTTTTTGCAAAACAATGCTAAAATAGATAGAGCCATTTGCATTCAAATTAGCTGGGTTTTTAAAATTACATTTTTATTTTTAAAAAGCTCTTACATGATAATGCATTAGTATTGCAAGTAGTTTTAGAGGGCATTGTTATTATTTTTTAAACAATGTGTATAGTACTGCTGGCAGACCAAGAATTTCTTAGTGACTTCTGGGTATAGTAAATGCTTGTTGACCCCTCAGTTGCTGCAGCCAATAAGTAAGTTTATTTAAATAAATAAATGCAACAGTGTTTGTGTACAGTTGTGTATTTTTACTTTGTAATTTCCACTACATTTTCCAGAAAAATGATCCAGAACTCTGTTAGGCCCCCATTATGGGGGATTTGGCAAAGGCAGTACTGCTAAGAAGGCACAGTTGGTAAATTTCTCAAGAGATGTTGGTTTGACTTATGCCCATGAATGTATTGTTAGAAAAATATGTGAATAGATATATCCCATCTTATAGGCAGTTTATAGGCATAGTTTATTGGCTTTGAGAAGCAGGAACAAATTTTAACAATCTATCCATAGGACAGGATGGTCACAGTTTGTGTAAGTCAACTCTTCAGCAGCACCCAGTTGAATCTGAAAGGCATGTTAAACACGTGGTAGATCTGATAGCATATTTTAATTGATTTTGTGATGGAGTATCACCAGTCTTTGATTTTAAATTATTGTGCTGCATGTAATTGCATTAGAAAACATTCTTGCCTCTCATTCTTTCATGTCAATTAATTTTATGACTTAATAAAATGTGGGAAAATAAAGGCTTAAGAAAAAAAACAGAAAAAATTGTCAATTTTGTGACTTACATGTTTGTAGTCTTATTCTTCCTAAGCTGAATATAATTGTTAGAGGAAAACATATTTGACTCTCGTTCGTGCTAACTTTTATCATATTGAAGCAGTTAAATATTGTTATTTTCTGTATTTGGTTATTCAATCATGCATTTTCTTAAGCAGTTATTAAGTACATAAAAAATACAGAATTTGCCTGGTTAATATACTCAAACTAAATTTTCAGTCCTGCAGTTTTAAATCTTGACTGAGTTAGAGATACATTTTATGTTGATGTTGGTTTCAACATTTAGATTAAAATAAGTTAGAATAGTTCTTCTTTTGCATAAAGAATTGGGATTTTGGCATTGTAAGATTTTGAACAAAATGTGGTCCAATCCTTTTGGAAAATACTAACATATAGATTTTACTTAAAGCAGATACCTTCTTTGTAATTCTTTCCTTATCTTAACTGGAGATTCTGTTTTCTTTCTTTTTGTCCCTTTGGCTTGTGGATTTAATTGGAGATTATTACATTACTTAAATTGTCACTTAACAAATTGATTAATTTATTTTTCTCTTGTTTTTTAATCCTAGAACCTTCTGGTATTTTTGTGAAAAGCATTACAAAGGGCAGTGCTGTTGAACATGATGGCAGAATCCATGTGGGAGATCAAATTATAGTTGTAAGTAAACAGAAAGAAATGAGATCACTTGTCTGCAAAACTCTACTTCTTAAAGTTGTGAAGGAAAGCTTATATGGTACTTGTTTAAAACATTTAGGATTGCTGTTGAAATGGTGAGTCCTTTTGTTGACTATTTGATTGCATTGTGCTACCCATGTGAAACCCGTGTTTCTTAAAAAAAGTCTATATTGCATGTGTGTGTCTTATCAGTAAGAGCTTTAAGGCTGCTTAGTTTCAAAAGGCAAAGACTCAAAGTTTAGTTCAAACTAAGCAATTGTTTTCAAAAATTTTTTTTAAAGTATGGTATTAAAGTTTTAGAGAAATATTTTCAGAGAAAGAAGAAAATATTTTCGTGCATAAAACGTTAGTTGTGTGGTGAAAATCAGTTCATGAATGCAGGAACCACGTTTTCATGGCTGTCATAGGTCTGTCCTTGGATTTATACAAAAGCAGCACTAAGAACAACTTACAGTCTCTCTCAAATTATACAAATATGCCTGCATTTTTGTATGTGAAAGTATATATGGCTTTTATAAGGATTTGAATGCGGAGTATAAATGGCTAAAATTGCATGTTCCAAATTCTGATTTCTTCTTCCTACTGCAGATGCAGAAGGAGAAAAGATATTTGAATGACCTCAGACAACAGAATAATGAATACTTTTAAAATATGGTTTGCTTAATTGTGGTGGAAAAATTAAATAACCTCCTTCTTAATTATGTAATATTTAGACAAGCACCAGAGTTGCAAGAAGTTCAGAGAAGAGCAACAAAATGGTTAGGGTCCAAAGGAAGTAATTCTTCATGCAGGAGGAATTAAAATAATGGAATCTGTGTGTTTCATAGATACGCTGAAACAACTACAGCAGTCAAGAAATGTATTATAATTTTTTTCAGAAATAAAGGTACTGGGGAGGGTGGGTGAGACAGGGAAAGAATAGGATAACATGAAGTTTTCATGGAGAAGGAGAAAAAAAAGTGGTGTCTATCAGCGATAATGGGATGAAATCAAGCAATGCAAAAATCTTGAGTTTCAGAAAAAAAAAAAATTAGAGATAATGTGGTAGCTTCAAACTACTAAATTTCTGTCTTCAAAGAATTAAAATGGTGGACCAGAGATTTACAGAGATTACATCTGGTTGGCTGAGGCAGTGTTTCATTAGGAGGGTGGATTTCACAGTGTGAGGCTTCACTGTGTCTGCGATTACTTGGCCTCAGAATGGCTGTGCTCTCTGTTTTTTCCTGCCACAGCAGATGGATGTGTCTTCCCTCACTCTCCCCTCCCCAGCTCTCCCAGCCATGGCTGTGTTGGTTTATTCACCCAGTATTTTGTCCTTGGAGTTGGGGATGGCTAAAGCAGTCAAGCAGGCAAGCTGCACAATGTGCCGTGCACAGCATGTGCTTCATCCTCTCCCAATTCCCGGCTCCTGGCCCCCGCTGTGGTGAGCGCCCAGAGGACTTTTCCCCACTTTGTTGTAGTACTAGTTGTTATTTAGCTGTGGGGTAGTCCAGTGAAAGTGCTTACTGTATCCAGTGTTTTAAGTCTTCCAGGTTTTTGTTCTTGTCCCTCTGTTTGCTTTGTGCACAGGCTAACAGACTGAGAGGTCACCATATTATTGTCGCCTGGATGTTGGTTTGTTGTGGGTTTTTTTTCTGGGTCGTGTTGCAGGCTGAAAAGCTGCTTAATCCTGCAGGTGGATGGAACAAATCTGCAGGGGTTTACTAACCAGCAAGCAGTTGACGTTTTGCGGCACACAGGACAAACAGTTCGGCTCACTTTGATCAGAAGAGGGCTTAAGCAGGAAAATCATATTCAGCCCCAGGAGGACTTCAGTGCTGCTGTTGAAAAGGACTTACTGTTCCAAACAATGGATAGTAGCACAGCCAAAGGTAATTAAAACTGGCTTTGCTTTAAAGTTGTCTTGAAACACTTTCCTTCTCAATTGCAAACTGGAAATAAAATGGGCCAGATTCATTCGGGGTTGCTATTACTGATGACAGAGCTGTTGTACTTGAGGGGAGAATTTGGTCTACTATGGTTTCATTAATCTTTTAGACACAGTGGTATTATTTGCTACATTTTCAAAGTGAGCATTGAAATCTCTGCACTGCATTGCATTTCTGGATGAATTGCTTCAAGACTTTGATCCTGCAAATCTTCAAATGGTGAGGAGGCAGTGGGTGGTTTATTTGTGCTCAAGGGTGAGAGCTGAATTCAAGAACAAGCAGAGATACCTTCCACAATCAGCGAAAGCAAGTCTGAGTTCCTTTCACTGTGGTGTCAGTTTCGCAAGCTGAAGGTATGAGAGGAGTGGCCTACATCTAGAGGTTATTAATAATCTGATAGGGCATTAACTATTTTATACGCGCAAAGTTCAGAAGCAAATGACCAATATTAAGTTTGCTGCTGCTGAGATTAGTGGAGCCTAATTTTAAACTGTGCATGTCTTGAAGTGTGTATGTCAGATCTTTAAAGTCAGTGTTTGAACAGAATATCTGCACAGAGGCTGGATGCGCAGACGTTTTTCAGTTACCTGTGTTATATATAGGTTGATGTTAGCAGAAATATATGGCAGTTTGTGGAGTGAGTCACAATCCCCATTTTGCACAGGATTTTAAAAGACCCAGTAGTATGTTATATGTACGGCATCTTCTCATTCCCACCTTTAGCAAAAATTGCAGAGGAAACGCTCAGAAAGTGCTGCTTCTCTATCCTAGAGGTAATCAAGACAGCTGACAGCCAGCAATGTACCTAACAGAACACACTGTGGTAGGAGAGGCTTTCTACAAGTAAAAAGTCTGTCAGCTGTAAAGTTGTCCAAGTTTGTAGGATTTTCATTTTTCAGTGTCAGCTTGCATAAAGGAAAAAAGAGGAAGGGAAAAATAAAAAAGTACTGGAGTGCTGAAGAGTGTTATATAAATGTTTTCTTGTACTTACAGTCATAGAGATGCAGCTACTGATAGTTGCACTTTTTTTTTCTTGATTAATTGAAAAATCCACTGGAGAAAGCAAAGCATTAACAGAAGACAAAATGTCTTTAAAACGTGGCATATTTTTTCTTGGCCCCTCATGCCAGATTCCATTTGCCAAACATGGATGCTCTGAAATACAGTGGGAGGGTCAGTGCCCTGAGGCATTCCTGTGAGCTTGATCGATATTACAACTCATAAAATAACTGAAAAGGCTTTTTCCTTTTTTTCCAGGTAACAGTGAAACAGAACAGGGATCCCCATCCCTGCCATGCAGTGCCAGTGTAGTAAATACTGGAGAGGATGTGAAACAACAGGAAACAGGTTCTCAATGTTTTAAGATTTTTTCTGTGAAGATGCATGTGGGTGTGTTTACACAAAGATCAGGTGTTTGTGTGCCTTTCCATCTTTGTGCTGCATAGCTGAGGTACAGCCAGAAAGTGAAAGTAATCATACATATGTGCATGTACATGAGTGCTGTAAGATTATTGACTACTGTATGTGCCAGAAATGTCACAAGCAGTATTCTGTTTTTGCTGCATGCCCAGGTCCCTTTATAGTCAGTTTTGAACTTTTATTCTTTTTAGTCTAGCTGTGTGTTAACCTTTTTCCCTCCTCATTCCCCAGTATACCTTATCTTTCCAACTGCCTACAGCTGCCCATCTGCAGTTCCAGGACTCATGCCTCTTCTGATAAATCTTCCTTTTCACAAAATCCTCACTTTGTATGTATTTAGAATCATAGAATGCTTGGAGTTGTAAGGAATCTTAAAAATCATATACTTCGAACTCCCCTGTCATGGGCCAGGTCTTCTTCCAGGAGACCACGTTGCTCAAAGCCCAGTCCAGCCTGAACCTGAACACTGCTAGGGATGGGACATCCACATCTTCTCTGGGCAACCTGTGCCGGTGCCTCACCTGTCTCATAGTGAAGAATTTATTTCTAAAGTCTAATCTAGATGTATTCTCTTTCTGTTTAAAGCCATTCCCCTTGTCCTGTCACTACAGACTGTTGTAAAAGTCTCTCTCTAGATTTCCTGTCAGCCTCTTCAGGTACTGGAAGGTTGCTCTAAGGTCTCGCCTGAGTCTTCTCTTCTCCAGGATGAACAGGCCCACCTCCCTTAGCCTGTCATATATAGTATCCTATAGTGCTGTGTTTGCTGGATGTTGTGTCTAGATACTGTGTCTTATTGTTTCCTGTCCTAGAATCTGAACAACTGTGAATGAGGGGAAAAGGAGCAGGAGGAAAGTATTCTGTTTTTTTTTCAGCTTGCAGATAAACTTTCGATCAAGTTAAGAGTTGCTGCAGTTTTCTGTGTAGTCTGTCCCTGTATTTTTCACAACATCATTACTTTTCTCCCCATGTTGCCTTCCAATTTTATTGTTGGTCTTTAGCAATTAGAATTATTTCTCATAGTTTGTGTACAAGTATGTGAATCTAACAAAAAAAAAAACAACCTAGGACTTGCATTCTCTCACTGCCCTCTAGGGCCTACAGTTTCAAAAATATCTTTTACAGTTGTGCTCATAGTTTTGAAAATGACACCCTCCCGCAACCCCCCCCCCTCCCCCCCCGATTTTTTTTAAAGCTTTCCTTGGATACTCTCTGCAAAATGCAGAGTCTTCCAAAAGGATCAGTATGCAGGACCCCATATGTAAGTATTTCAGCCATTTCCCTGAATCAATCTGATCAGCCTGCATACGGCCTGGTTTAACAGATGCCTGGGGCATGCATGTAGCTTCTTCGTGTGTTTTGTGCCCCTTATCTTGTAAAGTTGAATTATATTCACTAAACACTGAGGCTAGTTTAAATACACGTCCTTTCTTCCCAGCCATGCATACCAACCCTTTTGACTGAACTTCATGTCCTTCAAAATAGTTAGGTTTTGGATTTAATGCTATTTTGCAAGTTTTTCCTCTGAAAAAGCTAAGCCTGGTAAGAAAAAACATGCCAAGTTTTTGGTCATATTTAGAACAGCTCTGACATCATGGGAATGGTTGTGTAGTCTTGCATGGTTCATATACTTTATCAGTTTTATGGATATATACAGAACATTTTATTTTTTGTCACAGTAATCTCAGACATAACTTTTAGATTTCCAGCTAACTACTACAGAAGAAGCAGCTACAAAGGCAAAGTGGCAGAGGATTATGGGTTCGAATTATGAAATAGTGGTAGGTAAACTTTGATTACTATTATTAAACACCCTTTGATCTGCCCACTTATTATGTTGCTAACATAGAAATGTGTTTGTATTGTATTTATTATTTTATTTATAAAAATCATACATCTTCTTAATCTGTTGATTTTATTTTGATTATGAATTTTTAATACAGTCAAGATTTTTTTTTTCTTTATTGATATTAGGAAAATAATTGCAGGCTTCTTAAATTACTGTTTCTATGAGTATTGCTTCACAGACTTCCTAGTTTCAAGACGATAAGTGTGTACTAGAGAAAAAAGTAATACTTAAGGTGAATTTTGAAGCTTCCTTTGTTAACCAAAGTTGAAATGTCCTACCCGTTCTGCATATTGAATAAAATGCTTGATGTAGTGATTTAAATAGTGCATAAGACGTTTGCTACAGATACAATTGAAAAGCAGTATCTGAGTTTAGGACTTTACGTCAAAATTATATACCAGAACTGTAGTCTCTGCAAATGTATGTATTTTTAGATTTATTGTTGTCATATGCAATTGCCCTTTATTTATGTTGAAGTGATATGTGATCGAAATTTCAATTTTTACCTGCCTCCATTACACATGACAGTATTTCTGGTTTCTCATTTCTGGAATATTTACCTCATTTTATGTAAATTGAAACAGAAAGTAATAGGTATGACTGTAAATACATCAGAAGTAACAATTACTTAATTTTTTTAGGTGGCTGTAGTTAACAAATATAGTGAAAGCAGTGGGTTAGGGATAAGCCTTGAAGCTACAGTGGGACATCATTTCATCAGATCTATCTTACCAGAGGGGCCAGTTGGACGAAGCGGCAAGCTGTTCAGTGGAGATGAGCTGCTGGAAGTAAGAAAAAGTACTACTGTATCTTAGTCTGGATTCAGAAAGGTTTTTGAGCAGTCACTTGCTTCTCACAAGTTACAGCTTTGGGAATGTAGCGTACCGAACTACCTACTAGCTTTAGCAGTCATTTTGTATGTGTTTATGTATATCTGTGTGAATGCATACACTTACATGCATTTCTGAGCTGATAGCTGATTTTAAGATAGTTCAAGGTTACCAAAAATTTATACCTAGCAAAAGCATTAAGATTTAATTGGAATATCCCTATACAGTGTAGGAACTTGTCATGGCTTAACCCCAGCTGGCAACTGAATACCACACAGCTGCTTGCTCACTCCCCATCCCCTCAGTGGAATGGGGAGAAGAACTTGAAATACATAAAACCTGTGGGTAGAGGTAAGAACAATGTAATTTTAATAATGAAAATCACAAAAAGAGAGAACTAAAAAACCCAAATCAACAAACAGCAGCAATGCACAATACAATTGCCAACCACCTGGGGACTGATACCCAGCCCTACCGGAGCAGCGGTTTACCCTTCCGTGTAACTCCCCCAGTATATATACTGGGCATGATGTGCTGTGGTATGGAATACCCCTTTGGCTAGTTTGGGTCAGGTGTCCTGGCTCTGCTTCCTCCCAGCTTCTTGTGCCCTTCCTCACTGGCAGAGCATGAGAGACTGAAAAATTTCTGATCAGGGTAAGCACTACTGAGCAAGAACTAAAACATTGGTGTGCTACTAACATTGTTCTCAGACTAAAGCCAAAACGCAGCACTGCACCAGCTACTAGGAAGAACATTAACTCTGTTCCAGGCGAAACCAGGACAGGACTAAACACTTGTTTGCTTTTCAAAATAATTTTATTAGAGGTAAAATCAGAATTTGTTTCACATGAATGCAAGAAAAATGAAGGGACAAAGTATGGGTGTTTGTAGGGTGGTGTCATGCAATTTATGAGGCTATCCATTCAGTTCGAGATTTACCTTGTGGCTAATTCTGAGCACCAAACTGAGGAGAAATTAGGGGTTGACAATGTCTGTTAGAATGGGTTTTTGTTGTGTTTTATTTCTTTTAAATGAGGTGATTAATGAGGTAGATTTTTTTTTTTGCCCATTTTTGTTCAGTGTGCTTCTAAAGACTGTGTACTTCTATACACTATGTGTTCTTTATTTATTGAGGTGAATGAGATATCTTTGCTCGGAGAAAACCACAAGGATGTAGTCAATATCTTGAAAGAATTGCCTGTTAAGGTGACAATGGTGTGCTGTCGTCCGGTAACTTCCCCCATCACTCTTCCAGAAGTACTGGAGAATCTAAGTCTGTCTGACGTTCAGCTCACAGAAAAGGTATTTTATCTTAAAATATCACTGGGTGGATGACTGTTTCCTTGAGAAAAATCTCATCAAGTTCTTGTACGAGATTAGACTTACAACCAGATAAATCGAATGAGGCAAATTATGTTCATCAGCTGTACTTTAGGCCACCAGTCATTCATGGTAGGCCATGGGGAGAAATACTAGATGCAGGTCTATCTATGTCTAAGTACTTAGCTTCTGTTGTGTAGGTGGGCCATGGGAGTATGGCACACTGCACTGTGAGTTCTTTAGAATATGAATATATTCAGTCTGGTTTTGAACTTTTGGGGTTTGTGTTTGTCAGAACTGTATGTGCATTCACTGGCAGAAACATGTCTGCCACTCATAAGTCCCGATCTCTGGGCAGCATGAAGTATTAAGCATGTCAGTATGGCCTGTAGTATAGTATACAAAGCAATAACATTTGTATGAAAACAGACACAGTTAATCCTGTGTTCTGGACAAGGCATCAAATTCAGTTTAGAAATGCTATGCTTTTCTGTGAAAGCAAGTGAAGAACATACGTGTGTGTATGTATGTGTGTGTGTGTGTTTTCTTTTTAAAAAGTTCTGACTCTTGTCAAAACTGTTATATTAAAAGCAAGGCATATTTTTAGACATACTGTATAATGGTAGATATTTCTTATATATTTGAATACATATACTAATGAAGTTTTCTGAAGTTTTTAGTTTGACAGAAATACCATTTTGTAAATATTTTTCCAGTGAGTACTTTCATGTATTTGTAGCATAGCTGTTTTGTAACAAGAACATATGAATTTTGTGTTTATCAAATTTGTTTGTTAATTCTGCTGAGTACTTTCTGTGTTTAGAGATGCATCACTTAGTTTTTATCTTGTTTATTGAGAAAACAGAGTTTTGTCTCTGCAGATTCACAAAGATTTGTATTTTATTGGTGAACATTCACTTTTTCTTAGGCTCACGTAGACCTTGGATTCATTGGCTCCTCTGACACAGAGGGAACAGCTTTGGAAATAGCTGACGAGGGTCAGAGAATGGAAGAGGTGCAAAGCTCTTCTTTGGCAATGTGGGAAGCAGAAGTGCAGCACATTGAGCTGGAGAAAGGGAGTGCAGGACTTGGATTTAGCATATTGGACTACCAGGTAACTTTTGCACTCCTTTCTTGTTGCAGTTCAGAATACTTTGGATTGGATCCTGCAGTATGATTGAAGTACTTATTTTAAGGGTAAACATTAATGGAAACCAAGCAATACAGTAAAGCTAAATGGTTATCACTATTGGTATCACTGTACTATCTGGCACTATTGGCATCCAACTAGCTATATATTACATATATTTCTTACTGTGTCAAGACTACAGATTGTAATGATAATGGTAATTCTGGTCCAGAAAAACAGATAATCTGTTAATATACTAGGGTCTTCAGAAAGCTAATCTTCTAGTGCCCCAGAGGCAATGAATGATGTAGTCAGGATATTCAGGCATTTAGTCATGTATTTTGCAGCTGCAGCGAAGTACTTAGGGCAAGATCCAATAAAGGACTTAGGTGCTTAAAACAGGATTTACTAAAATCCAGAACTGTGATTCTGAAATCCCTTGCTTAGCTGCTGTCTGTGCAGGACATGCCTAAATGCCCCCATTCATTTTGTGTTTGACTTCAGAATTCCTGAGTATCTCAAGCTGTGATTCTTGGTGTATCTCAATGAACCTAAGTGCCTGTCCCCAGCCTGAGTTTGGTCATGATGCTTGTTAGGATCCTTCTGTTCCTAGTTGTCACAGTGGGTAATTTTTATTCTGACTTTAAGTAATTCCTCTTGTGGTCAGCATAGGCTTTTGCTGTTTAGTGGTGCTGTAGGATCTGGTCCCCTTCCAGGTTTCTGCTGGATCTAGTTCCTAAGGATGCATTCATTTGCATCTGGAGGTCACTTCAGGGTAAAAATTATGCCTGCAGAGCATGGTTTATGCCTCAACAGTATTTTGTATTTGCACACTGATAAAAGTGAAGAGCAGAGTAGTTCAATAATCTGAAGGATTCAGGCATAGTCAATTATCTGTTTTATGAAACAGTGATTACTTTTTAATGTGTTACTTAAGGTGCTCTGGAGTGAGACACCATAGCTGAGCCTAAGTATTTGCAGTCCACGTCAGCACAAAGTGGTGTATGTTTTCTTCAGCCTCTTCTGAATCATTGACACAAATGGTCTTTGTCTACTGAATTTTGTTTGTGGATGGTAATACTGAAGGGTTGTGGGAAATACCTTAAATTGTTGAATATATTTTGCAAAGGGGAGTTTAATCATATCCTACAGCTCTAGTCAGATTTCTGAAACTTACCTTTTTTTTGGTGTTACAATATTTGTGATTTGTCCTATGGTCTTTCTTTTGACATGTGGTTAAAGCATTTCTGTGAAGTTTCTGCTTTCATCTGAGACCGAGGAAGATAAGATTGCAGTGAGATTCATCTTTCTATTTTGCTGTTTCAATCAAATTTTCGATTAATTTTCAATGAACAGTGATTAAAGTTAAGGACAGTTATGTTCCTACTAATATGTTCCTCATGTTTTATAAAATGGCAGGTCTGTAGGAAAGTCTACATAATTTCTTACCCCAGGGAAGGCTATTGCATAAAATACAGAGGTGATTTTTTTTTTTTTCTTTTAAAAAATGTGTTGTGCAGTATCATCTAAAGTGACAACATAAATACTTGTTAAAGTAGTGAGGAAGATGTCAGTGTTCAGGCTTAAGCACTATCTCCATCAATGCTAGTTTTATTACTCCATGGCACTCTTCTTCCTGCATTAACTGCCATGAAGTGTTAAGCATCTTCTCGGTGTCCCTCCCTCTGTCTGTGATTCTCTCTCACACTAGCTTTTAACAGTCTTCCGTTCCTGTGATTTACAGTGCTGCCTTGATGATGTGCATACTTTCAGATGTGCATTTTGGTACAGAAACTTACTACAGCTGCATGTCAGTTTGCAGATGTTTGTTTTTCTTTTGTTATCAGTAAAGCTGGTACATTATTACATTTCTGTTTTTAAATGTGCATGTACACAAGTGAATTACCATGTGTTGGGAGTATTAACATATAATAATGCTCCTTGTGAATGTAATTCTATAGGCATGATGCAAATGTGAGCACCTCTGATAATTGTTATTACAGAATCTCATGTTCCTGTTACTACTGTTTGATGTTAGCACTTTTATATAAATCAGTGCATTGGAGGATGGGGGCTTCAAAGCAGTTTTCTTCTTTAAAAGCAAACACCACTTTGTTGTGTCCTGTTGATTAGTGCTGTATTGGTATATTCCCGTGTCCTGTAAATCATTTGATGAGACATTCATAAGGACCTGCCTCTTAGAAAGTACTTTCTCAGCTGAGTAAAATTGGGTGCCATGGAGTATAAGAGTTACTGAAAATAAAACACCATCTTCCACCAGAGTGCATATGTTAACTTGCCCAGGTCTGCACTGCCCAGGTGTGTTCCCAGACCACTGCGTGTAAGGGAGGATGAAGTCTGCAATAAGTTCACTGAAGTAGCAAGTACTTGAATTTTTGGTGTGTAATTACTCATTACAGTGCAAATAGCACTCTGCAATTTAGCAGTATTTTATGCTGGAGATACATTATGGGACATCACTTAGAAAGGAGTCACAATTTTTACATTTAAGAATTAAAAATAGGTGGGTATAAATGTGTGGGCAGTATGGACAGCAGGGTATGTTCCTGCTGAGGTTTCCTCTGAAGCAGAGCTCCGATTTCTTTGTTGGATCAATAAAAGCTCAACATAAAAATTAAATTTTCAAAAGTGTAAATAAAATTAAATGTTTTTCTTCTTTTAATTAGGATCCTGTTGATCCAGCGAACACCGTAATTGTGATTCGCTCATTAGTTCCTGGGGGAGTGGCTGAGCAAGATGGCAGACTTCTTCCTGGAGATCGGCTTATGTTTGTCAACGATACCAACTTGGAAAATGGGACCTTGGAGGAAGCAGTACAAGCACTGAAAGGAGCCCCAACAGGAACAGTTAAAATAGGAGTTGCCAAACCACTACCTGTAAGGATTTGGGAATTGAATGGGTACTTTTCTTCACTACCCTGGTGCATGATGATCCTGACATCTGCAAACACTCTGTAGGCTTTGGAGTACAGCTGGGTGTCTCAAAACGCCCGAAAGCTGTCTTTAACATGTTCCTATGTCTCCTTGCATGTAGGACTGGCCTGTGTAGTGTATGACTAGTGCAGTGATTGCAGGACCCAGCAGACCCATCTTGTAGCTGAGAAAATGGCAAAGCATCTTTCTACCAGCACAGTCTTTCAGGGCAGAAAATTGCCAGGCATAATATTGTACACTTTACAGGATTCTCTGTGTGAGATGGTGATGTAAAATCATTTTTATGTGATTTGCCTGGATAAGCCAGTAAGGATGCCAGTGGACTAGTATTCCTAGTGTGTTAAATTAAAATCAGTAGAATGGCATCTTAAGAATACCCCTTTGGCTAGTTTGGGTCACATGTCCTGTCTCTGCTTCCTCCCAGTTTCTTGTGCCCTTCCTCCACACCAGCTACTAGAAAGGAGAAAAAAATAACTGTTACAGCTGAAACCAGGACATATACTTGAGATGTCACTCTAAAAGAGAAAGTGCGTGATGGTTTTGTTTCTATTTTTAGCAGTTTGTAAACATGCAGCTTTTGCACTTCAGTATTCCATGTATTATGCTTAATCACTGGCTTCTTTGATTGAATAATCACTGGCTTCTTTGTAGTACTGGATAAAGACACCAAACATCAACTTATGTTGAAAAACTACTGGTATACAGTCAGAATTGAGTTTTGTCCTTTTGAGTCTGTTCTACCTAGCAGATACAGTCTTAAAATACAGATTGTGGATTCAGTGACCAGCAGCTCCTGGGAGGTGATTCTGCCCCTCTGCTGAGACCCCAGCTGCAGAACTGTATCCAGCTCGAGTCCTCTGTACAGGAAAGGTGTGGACCTGTTGGAGAGGGTCCAGAGAAGAGGCACAAAAAAATGATCAGGGGCTGGAGCACCTCACCTATGAGCAAAGGCTGAGAGAGTTGGGGTTGTTCAGCCTGGAGAAGAGAACACTAAGGGGGTACCTGATTGTGGCCTTTCAGTATTTAAAAGGGGCCTGTAAGAAAGATGGGGGAGACTTTTAGCAGGGCTTATTGTGACAGGCAAGTGATGGTTTTAAGCTAAAAGAGGGAAAATTCAGGCTGGATGTGGTTCTGGGCAACCTGATCTAGTTGAAGATGTCCCTGCTCACCGGAGGAGGTTGGACTAGACCTTTGAAAGGTCCTTTCCAACATGAATGATTCTACGATTCAGTCTCCTTGCCTTCTGATAAGATTACTCTGCAGCTGCAAGGTTGTAAAGGCCTCAGCTATTAGGCTCTTTCCCTGGTGGCAGTTTTGGTATATATTTAGTAAGAGCAGAAACTGAAAATGAGTTTTGAATAAGCTGTGAGCTGTGTGGTATAGCTGGACAATCCTTTTTTTTTATGTGGGGGCGTAAAATGAGATGTGAAGCTGAATCAGTTCAGACAAATTGGAAAAAAAAAGGTGTTGCTTTACCTGCCTAATGCTGTGATTAATTCAAATGAACTCTTTGCTCCATTTAAAATTCATTTGCCTCACTGAACTGCAACACAAAACGCACTGTGCACGTCTTGTGTCCTGGCCACTCAGCCAACTCAGAGCTTCGTTCTTTCTGCAGCTTTCACCAGAGGAGGGCTATGTCTCTGCTAAGGAAGATTGCTTTTTCTACGCTGCCCAGTCACTTGAGGAGGAGGGGCCAGCTGATGCAGCCCTCTTCCATGCTGAGCTGGCTCTGGTTAGTTGCCCAACTTACTGAAGATTTCTTAAGTCTTTGCATTTTGTAACAAAAGGGGTTGCTTTGTCACTGCTCGTGCTTATTTTTAGTGTTTACTGTCACCACATTACTCATCCACTGTAGCTGAGATGGAACCTGAATTGCTAGAAACTGGCATCTGGAGATTTTTGCTGTTTGCATGAGCTGTGAATCTGGCCTGTGATATGTTAGTTGCTGGAAAAGAAGGAAGTATTTTGCTGAGATTTTCAAAAGTGCATGGTTATTCACTTTTCCTTGCATGCAGTCAGTGTCCTTTTGAAAATCACACCTTTTGTAGGGAAATGTTCATGTGCTTATTTAATAAATAAATCTTTTTGCCTGTATAGCATAATGCTTCACTTCTCTACATTGAAAAGTTTTTGGAACTCTTTTTTTTTTTTTTGCATGTAAGCCAGCCTTACAAGGAATCCTGCATATCTTCAAAAGCTGCCAGTGCTTCCTTCTAATGTTATTTAGGCTTCAGCATCAATCAGTAATTGTGAGATTTGCAAGGTCAAAAGGTGTTCACTTGTGCTAACAATTCAGCTTACCTGAGCATTCAGTGCCTTATATAGCCCAGAAGTTATCAATAAGAACGCAGATGAAAAAGGCAAGGAAAACACAACTCTACAAAAAAACAAAACCCTAACCAACCAGACAAACCCCAAACCAGAATATAAAAAAAAAAATATTCTGAGAGTAAGTATTCTGAGAATGTCTTCTCATGGTTATTTCTACCAATCTGAATTTGATATTGAAGTTACTTGGCTCTCATTTTTCAGGAACATGGGTAGGAAGCAGTTTCTACTGAACACCAGAACAACTAAGCAGAAAAAAAACACAACCCTACAAAAAATCTGAAATGGATCCTTATAAGGCAAAAATCTCTGAGTTGCAGCTTCCAGGATGTTTGCTATTTTTTCACATTTGCAAAATGACAATCTGGTTTTAGTAGCTTGTTTTTAAACAAAACAGCCTATTTCTTCTGCAGTTTGTTACCTTGGTACAGTAGTTAGAGAGTAGTGTTTGCCTTCTTCTGTTCATTCAGAAGAAGTATGAATAAGCTAGGTTTTACATTGTAAATATCCTTTTATTAAAAATGTGTTGAAAAGATCAGATTAAAAGTTAAGTATTCGGAAATTTTACTTCTATGATCTATACAAAAAATTGAAATTGTGAAAGAACAATGAAAATATATGGCAGATAATGTTAGATTTTCAACTCTGTAAACTAATTAAATGTGCAAAATATGAAAATGAATGTGCAGTCACCAAATTGAAGATGTTTGCAGAGTGCACTCATGAAATACTGTTTTTCATAGATAAATCTGCCCTCAGATTCTACAGGTCTGTCCCAGTTTTTTACAATCCCTTTTTTAGAGCATACATTCGGAAACAATAGTCTGCATTTTCCAGAAGATGAGCTGAGAGTAAGTTACACCAAAGTAGCGGTTTTAATTAGTTGTTAAGGTTTTAAGGTTGAGACAATTAAAAAATGGATCATTTGTACTCCAGAAAAGAATCAGCAAGTTCAATCACTGTAGACTCTGAATGTGATTGTGCTGTGAATCTGACATACAGAATTCATAGTATGATTCACCACAGAGGCACACAAAAAGTACTGCTCATGTCCATGTCTTTTTAAAATTATATTTGTCTTGTAAGACAGGAGCAGTGTCCATATTAGTCTTGCTGTCAAATTTAAAATATTTTGGAAATCATAAAAATAATGTCTTTTTTTTTTCCCCTCATAAATGTATTGGAAAGCATCACAGTTTCCAGAATATTTTTTTTTTTGTACCCTTTTAAAAGGAACTGAACCTGTGAAGTTAGGTGGAGGCGATGCTCCTTACAGGTGGCTCTAATTGAAGCTCATAATTTTTTCAGTGCTAATTCTTGTAAAATTAAATTAGAAAGAAAGAAACAAAAGCCCTAAAGAAGTCAAAATGTTGATGTCAGGAAGCACAGCAGAATTCTCCCAACACCTCATACTTCTATTAGCAGTCATGAGCCTGCCTTAGCCCCGCGACTCATTCCAGTTGAGACTCACTTCAGATATTCTTTGCAACCTCTGAAGATGCAGTAACACAAATTGTAATGGGAAGCAGAAATCTTTCCTACTGTGCTGTGCAAGTAAAACTTCAGTGTAAAACGTGGAGGGGGATAAAGAAATACAAGGAAAGTGTCAAGTCTGTGTAGTGGCTGAGGTGCATGTGTCCAGGGCTTATGTTGTGTGAAGGTAACAGCCTGGCTGATTGAATTGCTTTTATTGTTAGGTGGACTCCAGTGAGGCAGATCTAGTGGATGAGTCCACCTTTGAATCACAGTATTCTCTAGAGAGTGACGTGTTCCAGGCTTCAATGATAGCTGTTCATGGCAGTGCCTGTAGCGGTGAGCAGAACTACACCTTCTGTCTTCCACTGTCAACTCCCAAGGTAAAAAGGAGGATGCTTTTATTGATAAAAAACGTTGATTATAAGTATGAAAAGCCTGTATTATTAGATATGTTTTATATCATCCTGGTTCAAACTGCACTATTTGTTACCAAATTAAAGTAGTTTTCTTTATGGTATAGCTGGTGTCTTTTAGACAGACAGATGTCTGTGTTGAAGAGGGGGACAGCCAGAAGGTTGAAAGCTTGTATTTTTGTTTTCTATAGCCAGATAAAGTGTGGTGAGATGATTGTAGTGTTAAAGCTGTGGTGAGCAGTCTGCTACAAAAACTTAATTGTTATTACCTAAAAGCATAGCAAACAGTGGTAACACAAAATAGCTGCATCATTCTACAGTATTGTAGGTATAAAGAGCAAGAGTAAGTTTTTATCTTAAGCTTTGCTTTTATGCTTCATAGTTGATAAGTTTACCAATTCATTTACTGTATTCTGGAATGAAATGTTCATACAGTTACTGTAATTAAAAATCAATCCATATATTTCAAATCACTGATTGTTAATATTTATTTAAAGGAAGTAAAGGAAGGTAAGTTCTTTAAGAATATTGAGATCAGCATCTTTTTTCTTTTAGTCACATACCCATAATGACTTGTTTGTATCAGAGTTGGTGTTTAATGATTCTTGATGGCTTTCCATGCTCTTTTTTCTTTACAGTCTTGACAATATATAGATTTGTTTTCTTTTGATCCAGAAGTTTCCAAGTAATTTCTCCTAGCAGTCATCTTATGAAGGCATTGTAGGGGTTTCTTCCAGTGTTTGCAGTCTGTGGTCTTGGAATACAATAGCTGCTGCTTCTTCTGCCACACTTGAACTTCAGTAGCTCCCTTTATCCTTCTGGAATATGTTCAGTCGTTCTAAAGCTCTGGTTGGAAAGCTAAATTCATCTTCTAATGGTTTCTCCTAATCCACAGAAGAGCACATCTCTGCTGTGCCAGTGGGACAGATTGCTTTGTTTAGCTCTGTAATTGTTACTTAAATGGATTATGCATTTTGCATGCTGAGAAGCATTTTATGAGATAGAGGCTGGATTTACATTATATGTCATGCTGAGGCTCTAGAAAGTCTTAAGTTATTTTCAGCATTGACTTAAAAATGGCTTCAGTTCTCATGTTTTTTTAAGGATTATGCTCCTGACTTTTCAGTGTTCCTCTCTGTTCACCAGTATGAAGTATTACGTTCTCACTGGGTAACATTTTATACTCTGTGGTTATGAATTACTTTAAAAAGTAAATGTGGCAAGTAAATCTGTTCATTAAAGAAGACTTCTGAAGCAAATGAAGTACTGCAAAAATGCGATGAGGAATGCAGGGGCATTTCAGCTATTTCTGACCTCAGGGCAGTTGACAGGTTCTGAATGCCTTTGGTGTCACTTTTGAAATAAGTGATGAAAAAACTTGAAGTCTAAGTGATGCAAATTCTTTAATGAGGCTGCATGTTGCTACAGTTACAAATTCCTGAAGTCATGTTTGTCTTCAAGAATTACAGCATTGCCTTTTCTTTAAGAGAAACAAAAATTAATATGGGCATATGCTGCAACTTTAATATGTATATGTGGCATGTGGAATAAATATTGGGAATTATAGAATCATAGAATAGTTAGGGTTGGAAAGGACCTTAAGATCATCAAGTTCCAACCCTCCTGCCATGGGCAGGGACACCTCGCTTTGTTCTTGTTTTCATTGTTGTGGAAATGGATACACACCAGACTTAAGAGTATATGTCCCAGCTGTCTTTGAAACCTTACAGAATAAATAACAGTTCTGATGTTTTGTTTTCCAAAAGGTAGGACATTATGTCATTCATTGTATCATGTGGATTAGTTGTATTTAGGCTTTGCTCAATAATCTTCTCAGATGTTACTTAAACCACTTACTTGCAGGTAAGGTTTCTCATGATTGTCTGGGGACATAACAAGCATGTATGCACTTTATGAAAGATGAGAAAAATTAATTCTAATGCCTTTGATAGAAAATGTTGCAAAATATCCCAAAATCCTGGGAGACATGTTTTTTCCACTTTTTGGAAAGGTGATAGAAGAATTAATAGGACCAGTGGATAACAACCAAGACAGATAGAGGTAGACAGTCTTGTGATTACATTTACTACATTTCAGAGAAGAATCCCTAATATAGATACAAAAATCCCTAGTATTGGTACAGTGTCTAAGTCTGTAATATATCCTTCTAATATCTATTGGCTTACATGTTTTTAAAATTACTTAATTTGAAAGCTCAGCTAGAGAATATTTGAAGATTTTTATTTTTTTTCCAGTAGGTTGTGGTTATTAAAATCTCTTAAAATATTTGACATGCAGGACCTTGAAATCTTGAAAGTCAAAACAAATTTTGTGTAGTGAACTTAATCCTAGTAATGCAGCTTTTTGTTAGTGGAGAGCTATTGATGAGTATTAAATAAGAATTTGGCCTTTGCAGTAACCTATTTTCACTGATTTTTGGTATTTTAAAAAAAGAAATTGGCCAAGGAAGCAAGTAAATGTTATAGTAAAATGCTTCATGTTACAACAGATATGTTTAAATTCTGTGTGATTATTTTCTGTTTAAGATTTTACCATGAAATGTAGTTTGTAATGATATTACAAAGTAATGTTGATTGTTCATTGCCCCCTGTGTTTAATAGTCTGTTGGAGAGGAATGTTCAAATGCTGCAGCCGATTTCCATGTGTCTGACAAGAATCTATACAACATGGATCTGAATCAGAAAGAGCAAAAGTCTGTAGCAGGGAATAGCCTGGAAACTGCCACTGGTTTTACTAAAAAGGATCTTCTGCCTCTGAATGTTTCGGGTGCCAACCAAAATGAAAGTGAAAACACAGCAACATGGACTGGATCTCAGAAAACATCAGAAATTGCACTAAGTACAGGCCTTGCTACTACCATGCAGCTTGATCCCACTGGAAAAGTAAAGATTTTTTTTTTTTTTAATAGTCACTAAAAAAAAAAATCTATGTAAAGGCCATATTACATCATAGTATCTCCTCCAGGAATTAACACTGGCCAACAACCATGTATAGTTCTTTCATTATAAATGTACATTAGATGTCATAGCTCACATCAGATTTGTAACTTTCCAAAACAGGAGATAATCTGTGGTGTCTAGATAGTAATCTCTTAGAGTGTCAGCACAGAGGTATATAAAAGTCTGCGGATACCTTACAGCAGTAAACTCTCTTGGACAACCGTGTGCCCTTTGAACATATTCCCTGTTAGCCTCTGCAGAAGAGTGGGTGCATGGCTGTAAACCAGGCTTAGGAAGCCAAGGGGGAGTGGTGTAACAACCTGTATCCTGATGTTTGTGCAAGCCTGTGTGGTTCAGCTCACAAGCTGGCCTCTGACACCACAGTGTGCAAACATAATATTCCTTTATATGACAGTCACTGTGACATGTTTCTTTTTCTTCTGTTCAGTGACTTACTAAGAAACTCTTTAAAGAGCTGCAGTTTGTTGCAACAGTTGTTATTTTAGTACTGCTAGATTGTCAGGCATTTGTGGGAAACAAGTCTGTGAGCTCCTGAATTCAGCCCGCTAATTTCAAGAGTGTTACTGAAGTCCTTAAATTAAAAGCATATCTTACGGTAGATGTACTGTATGACCTGCATGAAAACATCAAATATGTATGTCAGTTTGATCTTTGGTGGACTGACTTTTCCAGTGTCTGCATAAGGCATCTATATTAGTTATGCACCTAGCTTTTGTAGAAGGTATGATTAGTTGAGTTCAGTATGTCCAATTGTATTTTTTATCACAGTATTCTGATCTTATATTATTTTCCCCTGTGTTAGGATCAAGTGCTTTTGATGGAAAAGAGATGCCCTGTAGCGTTGGAGGGAATTTCCACAATCCCAAATTCAGCCAAAAATGTGTATGAGAAGACTATCACTATCGCAAAAGGCAATTCAAGTTTAGGTAAGGTAGCTAACATTTTTGTAACCTTTTCAGGAACATGGCTTTCTGTTTTTCTCAGGTTTTCTGTCTTATTATTAAAGATTAAGCATTTTCCTTTTAGTATGGAAAGCATAACGGGATATTCATTCTTTGCTGCCCTTACCCTGCTTGGCTGGGGTAGCAGTGGATCCATTTTCTGTCACTGTGAACACAGAAGTAAAGTCTCCAGTATGACTGAGATTTTACTATTTTTTTTCTCTGTAATGGAGCTTAGTAATTCTTAAATGTTAAGGTAATAATTTTAGTACATTGTTTTTTAATGTCTATACCTTTATGTAATGTGGGGAAAGAACAAGATACAGCCAAGGAACGTTGTAGGAGAACACTTTGGTTTAAGAGCAACAGAGCAGAGTTTCAAATGTATGTAGACACAAAATGGTCTTGCTCTCTAGGATAGTCAGAAGGGTCTAGCAAGCTGTTAGCTTCCTCGCTACGGATTTATACATATGTTTTAAGTGCCTCAGTATTTCTGAAATTCAGATCATTGATGCAATTAATAGGTTTAACTCAGTGATACTATAATTTTGTAGAGAAATTCAGAGTTTTGAGTGTCTGCAACTTCCAAAGCATACCGAGTAGAGACACATTTTTGAGTGAATAAGCACAACAGATGGAAATGTTTTTCAGAGTCCTCTTGTGGACTCTCATGTGGCCCCAGGCAGTGTGAGGGGGAGCATGGGGATTGCATCCTCCCAGGACAGTTTCTAGAGCCAGCACGAGGGAGGCTTTGTGGTGAGAAGCGGTGGTGCTCACCTCCTGTTCATGGCTGGAGTCTTCATTTACTTTGATTTAGGTTCTGGTGCTGTTTCTTCTGTCCAGCTGCATGTCCTTGAAGACTCTGGTGTTGGTAGGGCAGGAGCTTGTGACGGTGCTGCCTGTTTGCAGTGACTTCGCAAATGCTGTTAAGATGGGTGTTCCACAGAACAGGCTGTTCATGAACAGACACCACTCAGGACTCCCTTGCTACGCAGAGGTGGATGGGATGCTGTGATGTGGTAATTCAGTGGCTGCTTCTGCCTGGTATAAAATACCTTCTGATGGCTGGGTGCTCATTTTGCCCCATATCACCTTGTCCATGATATAGCCAGCCTCCAGACTGGATCAGAAACTGATCTGGTATAAAATCAGCCTCCCCAGAATATGAAGCTCTAGGCAAGGCTGAGATGGGTATAAGTTTTGGCTTTCATTGGTATGAGATATTTGCGTAACTACTGTCTTTAGTGGACTCATTGCTAGGCTGTGTAAAGCGCAGATCACAGACCAGTTCCAGCCATTTGGATTTTGTTAAAAACAGGTTTGTTTGCAGTAACTTCTTAACTTCATAAAGCAGTCTATATGTAGGTGTAGGAGTATTTTAAGTGCAGTGAACATAGAAAGCAAATTTCTTGTCAAGTGTCATACAGCATAAAAAGACAAACTTGGGGCACAGACACACTAGCAGACATTACATGCAAGAAAAGTAAGACTGGCCTCTAATATATACATGGTATGAATGTGAATAGTGCTTTCTCCTGGCTTTTGACTCTGGTCTTTTTCTTCCAGGCTCTTGTGTGCTCTGGCCTGGGAATCTGCCTGGGCACTGCAACCAATTTATACACATGGCTGCACTGCTTTTAACTTTCATTTTTGCAAAAGGAGCTAAATCAAGAGCTGTGAATGATGTTGAGAGCTGCAGCTGCATCAATTATTTCAGTTGAGAGCTGGTACTTCTTTTTTTCCCTTTAAACGGTGTCATCTACAGCTTGCAATAGCTCTTCAAGAGCAGGCATAGCTGGAGCTCTAACCTTTTGATTGTGATTTTTAAAACATAAGAGGATGGAGGACCCACGTGCCAGAAAAGCTGAAATGTCATTGTCCTGTGTGATGCATTTGGCAACTTTGCATTTTAACCTGAAACTGTGGCTGTCCAAAGTGTGACCACATTTCAGCTGTTTTCTTGGTAATTTGCTTTTCTATGCACACTGCCTGTGTTCTGGTGGAGACCACTCTTGTTGCAGAGTTTTGTTTACATTCACCTGTGACTGCAAAACCTGTGTGAGCAGATCTCTCGAGAGATGGTTTTGGAAGGCATATGTGAGTGTAAATGCTGGGGCATCCACTGCAGGATGGCTCTGGTAAATGCCATTGGTGATGTGCTCAACATTGTAACATTACTAATCTGAGAGGTAGGTGACAGGCAGTTTACCTCTACTTTTACTGATAGCAAGGCAATGTCAGTGGCATTGTGTGTCTGTATCACAGATCTGCTGACCCATGTTTAAATTACACCTGACCACAGCTGATACAATTTTCTGGCAAATCATAAATTTCCAGTCAAAGGTTACACCATATTCTTTCATCAGTTTAATATAAAGTACCATCGTGAAGATGGGTTTTGCAGTTTTTTAAAAAGAGAAATGTGAACTTCCACATACCAAAATAGAGAAGCAGATGGATTTCTGTGTCTAGGAAGCTTACTGGAGCGCTCCTTGCTAGTCAGGGCCACCTTTTAGTACTTTAGACAACTATGTTGATCTCAGCTGTGAGGAGTGTGGTGGAGTGGGTGTGAGGAGCCAACACTATTAAGAGATGTTTATTTCCTGGAAGGAGTCCTAAAAAGCACAAATGAATATCCAGATTAGTGTTGTTTTTTAAATGGTTAATTTTAATTTTTTTCTCTGAGAGAGATGTGTATATGCAGATGTTTATATGGTTGGCTGAGTCTGAGTAGACTCAGGGGTTTATAGCTGCCTTCTAAATCCTGTACAGCCAGTCAGTCTCCCAGGGTCTAAGGTCACAGAGTAAAGTGTTCAGTCTCTGTCTTCTGTAGCTGTGTTTGTATATAAATGGTTAGAATTTTTTCATAGTCAGTAGTTTTGCTCTGGGTAGCTTTCATCTTGCACTCACAGTCTGGACAATAAAGTACAGATTCACAGTCTGAACAATAAGGTGAAGACACACAGCTGCACTCCCAGTGCTTGCTAGCCTGATGTTTACCTGCAAAACCAAGAGAACGCATAGCAGAATAGTCACTGCCCCCTTCTCCAGAGGATATTCTCTATAAGGTTGTCTTACTTCAGTGGCTTCTTGTTAGTAGAGGAAAGCTTTAGCACACAAAAAAGGATAAAAATGGGTTTGGCAGTATTAAGGTAGTGGAAGCTGGATCCACTGGCTAGACGTCCAGAGTGATGGCCTTTCGGCTACTTTTCTATTAGGAAAGAGCTAAGAACTTTTCCTGGAACTGTCATCAGGGTTGATTTTGTGAGCATCAACTGTCCTGAAAATAATAGTGAGAACTCATGAGCCTAACAACAGTCACAAAAAACATCCTATTAGTGAAAAGAAAGTGGAGTTGGATGTTGTGTATAAACATTAAGAAGTAATGTCTTGCTGTGCCACAGGTGGAATCATGGTGTATCTTAGGTAGCAGACTGAATCCACCAGTTATGCACAGGCTGTCACAGATGTCAGGACTTTCTTCTAGGCCTAAGCAATAGCCCACCTAGGAGGACAGGAAGGAAACTACTAGGTCAGTGGCTTCTTATTCAGGCTTTTTGTTGAAAATAAGTATGTGGTTGTATTGTCCCCGTGCTCCTGATGAGAACCATCATAAAATGAATTGACATGTGGTGTATAAACTCAGTAAACCATCCAGGAAAGTGTAAATTTTAGAAATTTAGAAACAATTTAATTACCTTTTTTTGTTTATTTTCTGTTTTTTTTTTTTTTATGTTGAGCCTGGTATGTGAAATGACACAAGGTAAAGTAATGATGCTGAGATTGTGATTTGTAACTGCTGATTGGAAAGAGGAGATTGCAAGAGAGTAAGAGCAATGTTTGTAGGCTTGCTGACATTGGCAGGTGAGCTGGCTGGCTTTTGTCTTCCCTGCCATAGGTTGCATTTCTTTTTCAGAGCGAGCTCTCAAAGACATTACTAACTGTTTAATGTGTTCTTCACTGTAGGGATGACAGTAAGTTCCAATAAAAATGGTTCAGGAATGATAGTCCGCAGCGTCATTCATGGAGGCTCAATAAGTCGTGATGGACGGATTGGTGTAGGGGACTGCATCCTGTCCATTAATGAAGAGTCAACCACTGACTTAACCAACGCACAAGCCCGGGCTATGCTAAGAAGGCATTCGCTCATTGGACCAGATATAAAGTAGGTAAAGCTAGATGATAAATTGTGGTAGGAAGAGACTAATAATCAAAATTTGGTTATTCATGGAAGTATTCTAAATAAATTTTTTTGTTTATTTTTACAACTTGGATTTCCCTTTAAGTTACAGCTTCAGATGGATAATTCACCTTCAGATTACAACTTCATGGGGTTGAAAGATAAAATCACTTGTGTGAGAGGCTTCGGATGTTCTAACTAATGTTATCACTGTCACTGGTAAACATGATCGTTAATGCCCTGCCTGGTGATGTTGAAGAAATGGTATTAGAGTTTTGCTTTCATAGTATGACTTTTCTAAAGAAAGTGGGGGTTTCCTCAAGGTGTTTGTGTTTCTCAAAGGTGAACTGTCCTGGCCATTGCACAAGTGATTTAATTTCATGGAAATCTTTCTAATGAATTTTGGCTTTGACTGCCAGACAGAAAGTATGACACATGATGTTAATGCACAAAAGTAAAATTTAAAATGTTTTCAGTACATCTGTGACAAACAGCAGAAATAGTCTATTTTGTGAAGTCACAAGTTTTTATTAGTACATGCAAAGGAGCTGTTGCACTAGTCCATAAATATCTGCTTTTGGGAGTACTACTTTAAACTTGCAGTAATTAATACAAGTTCTGAAAAATATGCTTCCTTGATGAGAAAGTTTCTTCTTCTCAAGTTCGCTCATTTTACAGCACTTTAACTTTCCCTTAAAGTACAATTCTTTCTAGCTGTCATGGTTATGCAGTTAGCTTTACCCACGTACACCATCTAGAAATAAAGCTGTTCCTTAGTTTGTAGACAGTGCTCTAAACACACCAATGCAACTCCAGGAATCTAGTAGCTGTTTTTCTCATACCTGTGGTAATATGGATTGGGTCAGTTCAGTCCCAGTGCCGTTACAGGTAACTGTGTGGTATCTCTCAGTTCAAAATGGGCTGCAAGGCATTTGGTTCTTCCACAGAAGTATTCTAGCTTTGAAGAGACCTGGCATTTTGGGAACAGATAGGCAAAGTATCTTCTTTGTGCATAGTAAGTTAAATTGCCCCATAGTTGTCACAGATTTACGATTATGGTGTAATGCAAGTTTGTTTAAATAATTGGATATGCTCATATAATGAATTACATTATTGTCAATTCTGTAGTCAGTATGAGTCGCTGATAAAATGTGACATTGACTTTTATTACAGGCTTTCAAACTCTATTATACTTCTGACTACCACAACTGAAATCAGTTGGTATGCATGCATGCATGTGTGTATGCATCTGCTTAGATGACACAGCACCATCCTCCTGTGAGGAGTCTTTTTAGTGCCACAGTTACGTATCCAAACACAGGTGTGCTCATTAGTTGTCCTTATCTTCTTATAGCTGCTGCACTTTACACTGTGTGGCAATCAGTTTTGTAGTTTTTTACAGATATGTCAGAAATACGACAATCTTGTCTTAGACGTGAATATTCAGATTTTGCAGAGAAAAGTTCATCCCCTTTCTGAAAGACCTTGCAAAAGAGGGGCAGTTGCTATTCATGTTCTTACTAAGATATTTTGTCTTTCATTTTATATTTATGTTCTTTGGTGCATTCCCGTAAGGATTTAAAAGTGAAGCTGGCTTCTGCGCTTTAAAGAACTGAAAGACCAGAACCTTTGGTAGCACCTAAAGGAGTCTATAGCAAGAATAAGGACAATATTTTTGAGCCTACATAGTTTGATACAAACCTATTCAGGATAATTAAAGTTTTCTGTAATTTGTACTTTCAGGACAGGGCTACAGGATCTCATGAAAAATGTTATAGTAAAAACGTGGGTGATGTCCCAAATATGAAGCATTATCTTATGTCAGATGTTCATGTTTTCCGAGGGAGATACCCAGCTATGTAGATGTTATTTCAGAGCTAGTGTGGTGCACCATTATGGAGGATTTGCTATTTAAGGGCCAGCATTTCTGATGAGCAAGTTGCATCTCTTTGATGTATTCCATGGGAAACAAGGGTGCACAAGCACTCAGATGTGTCTGTCTACATATCATTCCTCTTTATCCATACAGGGCTGCAAAGTTGGCACATTACGACTGAGCTTTTTTTGGGTAGCAAAGTGCCTGTCAAAAAGTGATTAAGTAGAAATATTTTCATTTCAAAGCTTTATTTCACTGGCATACATTATTTGCTGAGAAAATATAAACCTGTTCTTACTTGCCACATAAAGGCTTTATTTTATTGAAGGATATTTGATTTTGAATAGTTCAAGAACCAGAAATATAAGTTTCAGACTAAGGTATTTATTTTTTTCCCCCTTTGTGTGTAGAAAAACAGATGTGTGGCCATACAGAATGCATTCTGTTTCACTTATCAATCCACCTTGCCAGGAGCTCTTATATTTCTGTAATAATAGCCAGTGTTTTGTGCTCAGCAGCAGCTGCTTGTAACATCTGTCAGATAATTACAGAGCTGAATCAGAATTCACCTGCCAAAAAACGTGGGGATGAATTCCTGATCAAGAAAGATAGACTGCAATTCCATTTTCCATGCTTGTTAATAATCACTGCTATAGAAAATAATAAAGAGCAGATGCTTTCTGGGGGAGGTGTAGATGAAGCGGAGGTGGAAGGGGGAAAAAAAGAAAACAAAAGAGGAGAAAGAAAACAGGAAAAAAAAGGAGCTCACACTTTTTAACTACATAAATATTCCTCTCATATTCAGCATGAGACACTTGACATTTGTTAACACCATTGTAAAAAGATACTGCCTCATATGCTTCACATTCTAGATCTTCTCCAGCACCTGCTGATGATCAGGCCCTCTGTTATGTGTGAGTATTGGCGATTCAGACACTCATTATGGCTCTATGTTGCAGTTTGTCTGTAAAATCATTCCATGCTTTTATGACATCCATGGTAATGTCAGGTATATATCCAGATATAGGTACATATTCTCTCTCTTTGTGTGTGTACATGTGGCTGCACGTTAATGTTTATATACATTTCCATTAAAAAGACATGAGTGTGTGTGGGTATATATATATATGTGTATATTGCTTTAACCTTGAAAATTGGAGCATACTTTTAAGACTGGAATGAAAACACCTGTATTGAAAAAAAGTATTGTTAATTTTTTTAAATTTAATCTATGTCAGCCACCCCAGAACATGTTCAGAGCATATGTATGTGTGCGTGTGCGTGTATAAAGGGTTCACAGCTAGAACTTCCATGAGGATGATGTACTTAATATCTGGATTAATCTCAGTGTCATATTTTCTGTGGCACTTACATTTTACTTCATGTATAAAAAGGTTCAAATTAGACCTTAAATGTTAACAACAGTAATTTGTCCTGAGCATTCTTCATACTTTGTTATTTGGTTTGTTAGTGTTTCAAGGTTTTGTGTGGCTGTTCAGTCAAGCATGCGATAAATGTTCCTCTGTACTGCATGCGGTTTTGTGTTTACAAGATATTTTCATATGTACACCATTGGTGTTTTCATTGTCACTGCTTTCACTGCTAGTGCGTATCTCTGCGGGGAGGAGGGTGGTTGTAGCTTTCAAGAAAGAAATCCAGAACACTTTTTCCTTCAAACTGTACAGCTGTGAAAGAGAGGAAATTATTAAACCCTGCATATTCTTTCTCTTGAAATTGTTGACTTTAACTTCTCTTGCAGATAAGAAATGCAACACAATGGTAGAGCAGCCATTTACTTGTTTCCTTGTTTCTGTGTCTTCATCCTTAGATTCTGGCACATGTTTCTATTACTCTCTTCTCTGTGAACATATCAAGGCAATTATCCGCCCCTTTTTCAGGGGCCATTCAGTTGGCTGTGTGGATTCTTATTTCCACTTACAGTACAAGGGTCAACAGAGTTGACTGAAGGAGTCCAACACTTTTTTTTTGTCTGGGCTTCTCATAATCCCAGTCACACACTGGGATTGTTGTTCAGAATATTCAGAATGATGCTGAATGTCTTCAGACCTCACTGTGACCTCCAAGAAGTGAGCTACAGTAGCAATTCAGCAAATGGATTTGAAAATTGTGGCATGTCTGCCCGTGAAGTACTAAACAGCAAAAAAACTGTTAGCAGATCCAAATTCAAGGTTTTTAGTACACTACAACCTCACTGCATGTCTCAGAAGGCAGGGCAGGTTAGACAGCCACTGATCAAAGATGATCTTCAGATACACATATTTCCTAAAACTCTAACTTACAGCAGAACTAGATTTTCCTATATAACTTTCTCATTTCAATAATAACATGAAAAGGAGATAGGGGAGGAGTACAGTCACATCAGTAATGCAGCTTAGCTAATAAAAGCAGTTAGGGAAACCTTTGCAGTTAACTGAACTTTGGAAATCATGAGCAAGAAACAAACGTGAACCCCTACACAGAATACACCTTTTCGTACATTTGACACATGTAATTTAGTTTTCTCTTGTATGTTTTTTTTTTCAAAACACAAGTGTTCATTTTTTTAAATGGTGGAATGGACGTCTTTTCTTCTCAGTTTCTGTGCCGTTCACAGAAAGGGAAGCTTAGCTACCTAAGAGAGATTTTGGGATGTGCTTTTAAGTAGTATATAAAGTTGGTTGACATCATACTTTGAGCCGTACCTTTTGAATGTCTCAGCACAATGTCAGTTACTTATTCATATACCAAAAAAACAACAGGGTATCACAGTGCATATGGTTTGCTTCCTGCTTACCAGATCTGTAATGTTGATGTTGCATAGAAGTATGAGGTAAAAATTACTACTGCCTTTAAAGCTTGACACCCTGTGTAGCTGTTCGCTACATGGTCCTTGCACAGAAGGACTGGACAGGATTTGAAAGATACTGGACACTCCACTGTCAGTGATCACACTCCACTGTCCGCATCCAGGCTGAATCTGGGCATATCTGTTTTATTTTTAGCAGGCTGCCATTCTCCTTAACAGCTGCAGTTAAGCATGAAAGAGATTGTCCAAGCCTCATAGCCAGCAGAAACCTTGCTTGCAGTTCTGGTGTCTTTACTGCAGCTGTCTGTCAAGGGAAAATACATTATTTCCTACATATTTTTATAGGGTGAAGATTAATGAATATGATTGGCATAAAATGATAAATGTAACTAGATGAATGACACATTTTCTTTTATCAAAACGCAGCTTGCACATCTTGTGGCTTTTTTTTAAAGGCAAGGTATTCTTACGGGCTTTAGTGGGTGGTGCTTCTTCAGCAGCATTTGCCCAAAACATAGAATCATAGAATGGTTTGGGTTGGAAGGCACCTTAAAGAACATCTAGTTCCAACCCACCTGCCACAATTAGGGGCACCTTACATTGAGTGTTTTGTGACCATACTGCTAGCACTTTGCTATAGTTTAACGTGTGGAGTTGGAGATGGTTGAGAAATAGTAGTGATTGTTTTCAAAATCTCTTTTTTCCTCTTCTCTCCATTTCCCTGCTAGGGCTTTGCAGAATAAATGCTGTGTATCTTGCATATTTCCCAGTGCTGGGAAGTCCTTAAGGAACACAGATTAGAGTAAGTGACCTGCTGAGTGTTTGTTCACTATTGTGCGTTAATTCCCCAGCATTTAAAGATGAAAACACTTCATGTCAAGCACATAACACCTCTTGTGTTTGAAGGAACACAAAAGCAGTAGAAGGGGAGAGATTTAATGAAGAGAAAAACTGGTGATAGTATGAATGGTTTAGATCCCCATTAAAAGAACTGGAGAGTTCCTCCTATTCAGCACCCTAGGCACTTCCTTAATGACCATCTTCTGCAGTTTTCTGTATGTGGTAAATAGGAGATAGGGAACGTGCTTGGGCACAGATGAAGAAGACAAATAAAGATGATCCTTAGGTTAATTTTGGTAGAGTGTTTTGGAGAGACAGCATTAATCGTCTAAAAGTTTATCTTCTCTGCCTTCTTCTGCTTGCTTTATTCAGCAGAAAACCAGTGAGAGGGGGAATTGGTGGCAGTCAGGTAGTGATGGACAGAAGAGGCCTCAAAGTTAGACTCGGAGCTGAAGGAGATCTCTTCTCAGCAGCTTAGATGTCCTTGTGAAGTGGTCAATATTTTTGTTTTTATTTTTGCTATGTCTGTTCTGTGAGAAAATATGTTCATGTTTCTTTCAACTGAGCTACAGCTAAGCAGACAGGCACTCTTTTGGTGTTCTTTTTCCATCAGCCTTACTTCTTGGCAGACTTGCATCTGATAGCTGAGTTGCTTATTAAACAGGTAAGGGTTTTTAAGAAGACAAAGCATCATTAAAGGTTGGAAATCTAAGTAACCCAGTTTAGATGATGGCGTCCTTTTGCCTGTAGAGTGAAGTTTTTTAAGAAATATTCTTTATGGCTTAATCTTTCTCCTCTTTGTTTCTCCCTCCCCAGCCTATTGGGCCATTTCTGTTCAAGGCATTCAAACAAGGTCAGGTTACACCAGGGCTTCTAGAGTTTGCACATCATTTGGCTGGTGAAACTTAACTGTCTGACTGTTCCAAGCTGGCTGGGAGTGCCTGAAGGGTTGGAGGAAGGAGCTGATCAGGGAATTGCTCCCTGCAGCGCAGGTGGTGTGCTGTAACACATTTGTAAGTCCAGACCCATGCAATGCTTTTCACCAAAAGCATGGAAACCTAAAATAGATAAAAAACTGCCCAGGAAAGCACAAAACCTCCTGCAAGCTGACTTCAAGAAGCATTTTCAGCCAGCATTTAGGATGGTAATGGTGCTTCACATTTCACAGATTGTCAGTGTTTGTCTTTTTTGCACGAGGAATCTGTTTTGATTGAAGCTGGATTGTCTCTATTACACTCTTGTCATTGTTCAAACACCATTTACTTAAAATGGAATGGCCAGCCCTCAGATAATTATGTGCTGTTCAGCTACCTAGTTTGACCATAAATGCATATTTGTTGCAAACTCACAAAGGATTCATACAAACTATTTATTCCCAACATACCAGCACTGTGGCTTTGAAGTCAATGACTCCACGAAGTAGTCTTGAAAGGCTTTCTCATAATCATTCCTCACACACACCGAAGGTAGGACCAGCAGTCCTTGTACAACTTTAACCCTGTCTAATTTTATTGCAGTATTACATATGTGCCAGCAGAAAATTTGGACGAGTACATGGCCAGTTTGGGACAACAAACAGAGGGAACTGTGTCACTTGAGCTTTTGTCTTCACATACTGTTAGGTGAGACTTACTGTTTTCTCGCATAGAACTCTCAGATGTAACACTTCCTGTACACTTTGCACAATTTAGGAAGATAAGTTTTATTTTAGAAGAGCTGAAAGATGGAGAATTTTCTTCAGACCAGCAGCCATTACAATAAAAAGCTGTTCCTATTCATCAGCAGGGAACTCCCAGAGCTTCCAGAACGTGAAGAGGGGGAGGGAGAAGAAAGCGAACTTCAAAATGCAGCTTTCAGTAACTGGAACCAGCCCAGAAAGTAAGTGCAGATCTAGTTGCACAGTATAAAATTTCATCTGAAATGAAAAAAAAAATTGAATCGTGTACTATATTTTAAGATGAGTAAGAAAACAACAGAATTGCTGCACTTATGTATGTTATGCATTGTAGGAGTAATTCACTGTTGATTTTTACTGCCATTGGGCTTAATTGCTGCAATCTTGCAATTTCTTGCTTACTTTAGTAATTTGTCTTTATAGACTGACTCTCCGGGAGGCAGTAAGAAGAGAGAGAAGTATTAAAAGTTTTGATTAGAATCCAAAATAAACAGCAGACACGATTGCAGACTTTCTGAGCAATCCAGTAGATAACGCTCACTGAAAAAAAAACACCCAAAAAAACCCCAAACAAGCCAACTTTCCACAGAGAAGCTGTTTCTGATTTTTTTATTTTTTATTTTTTTAATGTTGTGCAAATCCAGGTGTCTCTGTTGTGCAGCTTTGTCATAATCACAGCAGATTTTCATTTATTTTGATCCTTGTTTTGTCACAACAGGGTTGAACTCTGGAGAGAGCCTAGCAAGTCACTGGGAATCAGCATTGTTGGAGGACGAGGGATGGGGAGCCGCCTGAGTAATGGAGAAGTGATGAGAGGGATATTTATCAAGCACATCTTGGAAGACAGCCCAGCTGGCAAAAATGGGACGCTAAAAACCGGAGATCGGATTGTAGAGGTACCAGCCGAGTGCCTTCTGCTTGCAGTACCCTGGCATCTCAGGAGCCGCTGGGGTGGTCCTGGGCCAACAGCTGTGTAATTGCTCCAGCTGGCACCTCTTGAGCCATACAGAGTGTATATAGTACCATCTGCTGATGTTTGTGTGCAGACAGCTTCAAGTTGAATATACAGCCTAAAGCATAGATGACGGACTCTGTGAGCAAACACATGGGGGGCTACAAAGCCAGGAATTCTGGCTGCCTGTTTTCAAACCAGTGTGTGTAGGAAAAAGCTTAATTTTGGTGAGGCTAAAAGGCTTTACCTTTGCATATTAGCTAATGAATAGCAAATCATGCAAATAAATGCCAAGCTTTTTTCCTAATTAATCTTACTCAGATCACATCATTCTTGTGCAGGAATTAAGGGCGAGAGAGGTTTTTTCCTGCTTACATGACGAGAGCTGGATTTGGTACAGAGGAAGTTAAGAGCATTGTGTCCATGCCTGAGGACAGATTAGCCAGTGGTGTCACATGGAGGAATTTATTGAGATTTCTGTTTGGCTTAGCCAGTCCTGTGTTGATGCAGCCACTTGTGCTTTCTTGTTTAAAGATTTGAAGAATGAGTATACTGAAAGGAGTCTGTCTTTCCTGTGATGATTATCATAAGTCAGACATTACCTCACCTCCAGTGTCAGGCCATTAGGAACTGCACTCCTCTGCACCCTGACGGATGTCCTTAGCTGATTGTCTGTCAGTAAGAATATAACAAACAGGGTGATAGAAGTGGTGATTCTCCCTCTAGCTGAGACTGGGCTGGCTTTACACAGTGATACTTAAACTTCAGTTTGCTCTCTGCTGCAAGATCTTTATAAAGGAACGTGAAATAGTACCCTAATATAGATACGACTTTCTACAGTAGGGTGGAAGATTTTCCAGTGTATAAGTTTGGAGGTGGAATTTCCTTGATAAAAAGTTAAAAAACATTACTTATAGGTGTATACCTGGATTTTTATAAATGCATGCGGTCTCTGACAATGGTGCTTGCAGAAGTTGGAGTTGATGAGTGAAATTAAGTAACTAATACTTTGTTAATGTGTTTCTGAATGGATTATTTCAGTTTCTCAAGTTGTAGCGTATCAAAGCTTTTCTGTACTAGTGCATACAGTATTTCACTCATGGAGTGTCAGAGTGCCTTAGTGTAATTTTTCAGTTCCTTGTAAATGTAGAATTTTCTCTCTCAGATTGGTTTTGTGCTCTTTTTATTTACATTGGATAGTTAAGGTAGAGTTAAGCAATTAAAAAGGTAGGGGTATTCCTTATTCTATAACTTTGTGTTCAAGAATTGCCACTAACAAATAACTTCTCTGTGTTAGCTTCTAGCTCTCATTATGGCCATTATAAAAATGCTTTACTGATACTACCCTCACCATAACATGGCTCTTACTTGCATCGCAAGACAAACTCTTTTACACATCAATGCATACAAAGGAATGAAGAAAAACAACCAATCAAAAATTTGTCTTTCATCATCCTTTGTAAATTGTTTCTTCTAGAAGAGAGAAAGCTTTTCAGCTGATCTGAAAGTTTACCTTCTGTGCGAAGTGTTTAGTAGCTAAACTTGTTTTATCATCTTTGGGAGAAAAAAAAAATAACCCACAAAAAAATCCAAGGGGTTGGGGGGAAAACTACAGTGTACTGACATCATACCCAATAATGAGAGATTCTCCAGCATCTAACAATTTTCAGTTTGTAAATTTCATAATGTCTTGGGAGGAAGCTTATTCCAAGATAGGATTTACAGGAAGCAATATTTGGCAAACGCTACCACTTTCTTCACATTATCTTATTTCCTCTTTATCACATTATCATATCTCTTTTATTATGTTGCTTGTGGGAAAACATATGGAGCCCGAACCAAGAACATTCGCATCCTGGTTTTAAAACCATGGATAATATTTATTTGATGTCCTTTTAGTGCTCTTAGAAATCTCAAACCTGTGTGTGAGGGACCTCAGGCTAAGTCATTAGAAACCTTTGCACCAGTAACAAAGGTTTGGGCTTAGGTTTTAGTCAGAGTTCCCTAACCAAAACACAAAGCTCACTCATGATTCTTGTAGCTTCTTGCAATTTTAAGATGAGGCCTTCCAATTACAGGTGGATGGAATTGATCTCAGAGATGCCAGCCATGAACAAGCTGTGGAAGCCATACGGAAGGCAGGCAATCCTGTAGTCTTTATGGTACAGAGCATTATAAGCAAACCGAGGGTAAGCATAAAGAATATGAAAAGAGATGTTATCCATAGTAGTAGATAAAACAGTGTTGAAGGTGGTGGTGTTTGGGAATGCAATATTTAATCCTTGAAGTTCCATCTCAGCCATTATAGGAATAAATATTTGATTTAAGTATTATTTTCATTTAGAATGAAATCGATTTGGATTTGGAATTGCCCTCCAGCACGCCGTCCTCAAACTATTTTGAAAAGCCTCAAGAAAGATAATTTGTTGGGGGGCAGAGTAGGAGTCTAATAAACCCAACTCTTAGAGATTGGCAGCATGTCCGAGGAACGCATGCAGAAATACAGCACCTGTTAAAAAAATTCATTGGACATTAATGAAAGGACCTAGAAGTACACGAAAGTTTTCTGTCACTAAGCTGCATGGACATTGCAGACAAAAGCTACTGAGTTTTAATATAATTTGCTTGCATCACTAGAAACTAAACTTCCTCATTGTAGAGTCTGTGTAAGCTGTGTGTTTATTTACTAGTTGTCTCATAACTCTTGTTCCCCAGCCAGATTCTCTTTATAGCCCTTCTTCAGCTTCTGCTCACTGTGGGCAGAAAACTACTAACCCCTTTTATCGTCTGTCATCTAAGGTAAAGTTGCATGAAAAGCTCTATTGAATGTTGGTTGTTGACGCTTGAGATACTAAAGTAAGGCTTTCGCATTTGCTGTGATGTGAACAAAACTGCCACTGCTCAGTGTTCAGGCCAGTTTGGGGTGGGAATGATTCCATTACTTTATCACAACTTACTTTCTTTTAGAGAATGCTCCTTTGCTATTTTTAAATATAGTTCTTTCTTCTCAGTATTCAGTTGTTAAGTTTGTAGGGGTTTTTTTGGCTGTTTATTCACAAACCCGTCTTTCTCTGTAAGCAGAAACATTTCAAGTGATCTACTGTATATATGTGTTGCTTTGTGATCTTTGTAAATAGCATTATATTTATTGTCTTCATCTTATGAAACTTGCATCTGTACTTTATAATAAGATCTTACAAGGGAATTTCCTGCCTTCATGTGCAGTGACCCAGATAGCTAGCTGCCTGCACACTGTAGCTATTTTTAATATGGTAGCACCATGTATTTAGCAAGGCAGTCTGTTTCAAATGATGTGTTGCTAACCAGTCAGTTTCTTTCCCTTTGTTTTTTCATTTAGGCTTCTGTAGATGGTAAGAAGATCCTAAGTGTACTCCAGAATAATGCCCAAATAATGCAAATATTGTGAAAAGCTAGTTGATAGTTTTTCTGGCAGGAAGTTACCCATCAAATCTGTGTTTCATGCTGACACTGCTCTGGGTATTTCTGAGTAAGAATTAATCTATGACAATGGTTATGGTCCCAGGTAATTTGCTGGGTTACAGCACTGTGCTATATGAAATGCTACCTAGTTTGTGATACTTCAGCATCCTGGACATATTAAAATGCTGAACAAAAGTTAATTAAATAAAAAATAACAAATATAAAATAAATCCTGTTGTTTTAGGGTTTGTTTTGAAATAACCCAAAACAACACAAAAACCCAACAACCCAGTAACAGGAAAAAATAGCCTTTTTTGTAGCATTTGCTTTTCCTGTCCTAGACTTTTTAAGAAAGCATGCTAAACCTTGCTGTGTTTTGTTGTTGGTTTTTTTCGCATGGTAATCGGTCCATTAAAAGCACATTAATAACAGTGCTGTTTCAAGCATTAGAATTTGAGCTAGCAGTAGTATTTTAGGTGCTATACCATCATGATGAAATACGAAAGGCAAGATTTTTAATTACTGTGGCTGATCTTTTGTTTTCTCTTTACTAGGATTTCACTGGTTATATACAAAATGTTTGTGATGGTTATTTTAGTTACATTAATTTTTACCAAGATTTAATATAAAATTTTATGCAGGTGACAAATGTAATATAGCAGGGTTAATACACTGGCAAAGTACTTTTCCTAAACTTCCTTTTATAAAATTAAAAATCAAATGTGAATCGCATGTGTAAACAGAAAATCTTGTAAGGGAAACTGCCTGTTAACTTTGACTCACCAGTGAAGAAACCTTGTTCATACAATCATAGAATAGTTTGGGTTGGAAAGGACCTACAAAGGTCCAACTGCCCTGCAACGAGCAGGGACATCTTCAAGTAGATCAGGTTGCCCAGAACCACTTCCAGCCTGGCCTTGAATGTCTCCAGAGACGGTGCAGCCACCGCCTCTCTGGGCAACCATTCAAACACAGCTCTACTTTGTCATTGATTAAAATACTGTAGAACCAAGACATATGTTCTTACCAAATTACATTACTTTTTTTTTTTTTTTTCCTCAAAAATGATATTTCAGAATTAATGTTTAGGGAGGCATTTTCTATTTTTAGGAGCATTTAAGAAAACAAAATGGTTTAAAGTAATTTTTAAACAGCAGCATGTATCTGGATTAAATTACTTTAATATAAACATATCAGTTGATACTGCAAACTTTTCACGTTCCTTTCCGTTTACTATGCTTCTTATTTTCCAGCAGTGTTAAACTTAACAGCCCTACAACATTTGGTTAATTGCCAGATGGATACACCTAGTGTAGAAATTACTTTTAAGTATGCATTGAACAGTATTTCCAAATTATTATGCAAAAATCAGAGCTGTTTCCTTTTTATTAAACAGGTTCTGATCTCAAAATAGAATACAGAACAAAAGCTGCATGAGCAATATTAATACTTTAATTATTTTAAAGTCCTTTAATTTTGTCTAAATATAAAAACTAATTTTGTGTTAAATAACAATAAGAAAGTTCCTTGTGTTGTCTTCATGTATGTGGTCTAGGAGAATACTAGGGAATTTAGTCTCATTAAATTATAAATTCAGAAAATTATATATGCATGCAGACACGTAAAAAGTGATCTGTAAACGTTGTTATTAAATATGAAGTCTGTTTAGACGTGCCTAATATTACTAAACCTTCTCTTTTGTGAGACAGTGAGTGTGTTACCACAGGAGCTAAATCAAATAATGAGAATTAATCAATGGCTTTCAAAATAAAACTAAATTACTGCATTATTACAAAGAATTGTGTTTATTCTAATTGGGAAACCAACAACTTTGTAATTAACTAATGTATAAGAGTATCCCATATGCTGAGATGCTTGGACAAAACAGTACAAATATCAAATATTAGCAAGCAATTTTTTTATTATTTATGCTGCTGAATTCTGCACTTTGTGCACTTTGTAGGCTAGAACAGTTAGGAAGAGGCTTTTCGTTTATGGTCTTCTAAACATAGCTGATGAAAACACCGAACAAATAGAGTTTTGCTTACCTTCAGATGTCTGTAGCGCAGTACAGAAAGCAGACTTTGTCTGGATAGCACAAACAGCTAACTAAATACGTGTTGTTTTGTGAGTCAGTAAGGATTCATGTAAAATTGTGTTTAGTTTCTATTATGTTTACCTTTTAGAACCCTTCCCTGCCTTTCCCGCAGAACAGTCTCTTCTGTAGGCCAGCTGTCTTCAGCAGCACTAACCCGTTTGCTGATTCTTCTCAGTTCAACACTGACAAGGTTGGATGATGACACACTGCCTTTCACTCACCAAACGTTATATGTGTGCTTCTTTGCCATTAGTATGTCTGCATTTAAATTCTTTTATACCATTTTGGGTGAAATACTGTGCTGATGAGAGTGCAATTTCTGTGTTGTGAATTAAAAAGCCACAGACAAACATGCCCATAGAAAGTTTTGAAGAAGTTAAAAAAAAATGCCAGCTCCATTAATCATAGCCACTAAATCTGATACAATCAGAGCTACCAAAGGAGTAGGTTTTCAATTACAAAATTAGACCCTGTGGTTTATGAAAGAGATCTACCCGAGTGTAACTCTCTCATCAGCATGAAGTGTTTTGCTGCTGTGTACTTCCATTTTCTTTTCATGTGGTTAGGACTTTCCAGGTTTGATATCTCTTTTTGTTTTTGCATTAGGAAAAAAAAAATAAAAATCCCCAAACAACACTGACAGCTTTCATTTTGTGATGCTGAAAATATTTTTCTTCTGCTTATTTAAAACTATTTTAATGCACCATAAATAGGATGCTGACATCTTTGGAAATATGAAAGAATTGGTTTGTTTGTTTCCTGTGGTTAGTGCTTACTGCATGTTACTCATATTGGGAACAGACTTAACCTCTAACACAGTAATAAATAAAAGCTTCATTCTTATGTGCATGCATTTCTGAATTAATAAAATAATTCGTAACTGGTTATACATCTTGGGAGTGAGTGTGCCCGTTGTCTGTTTTCTCATGTTGTCAAATGCGTTGAATGTATAACAAGCATTTATGATACATGGTGTATAATTGCATGTGTATTTTTGAAATCTCTCTGTGCTTGCTGCATTTCTGAGGAACAGGAGTAGAAGTGTAACGTAAATGATGGCTTGTACTTTCTATATTTTCAAAATATTTTAAAAAAATGTGCATATTTGTAGTGAAAACGTAATGTTTTTGAAGGTTCTGCATAATTCCTTTTTTAACATTAAAATGGTGTTTTGTTGTCTCTGTCCGCTTCTGCTGAACTAAGGTTCATGTACAGTAAGAAACTTTGCTGAATCAGGGTCTTTAGTAACCCCTAAAATACTTTTGTTCATTTACAAATGAGTTAATAAAGTTGCTGCAGTTAGTAAAATGAATCCATGAGTTATTCATTAATAATGTTGTGTATTGCTAAAGGTGCTGTAACATGGATTACTGTTTTCTGTTACTGTAGGAGGTATCGAATCCAATTAGAGTTACCTTCCGTTGTTCCCCAACTAACCCTTTTGCTCCCACACCGTTCAAGGTTTGTCTTGATTCCAGTGAGTGGATCCCGCCGTATGTGTGCTGTACATTTGTACATGGCCTGTGATACGTTTCTTCCTCTGTGTGTGCCTCCTTTGTTGCAAATGCTGCTCTACATTTCCGGTATTTGCTTGGCTGTGATCAGTGACCCTGGTAGCCAAATGGGTTCATGCACTGTCTGGTGCTTTGCGTTTTAAATGAAATACTGTGCCATTGACCACTGAAAGTATTTCATGAGTTAAAGCATTTTAAGTTTTTCATGCGTGGCCCGATTCAGGGAGCAAAAGTCTTATGTGTGTGCAAATTGTTGGGGCCAGCCTCTGCTGCTGATGGTGCATGCGTGGCAGGCTGTATTCTGAAGGCAGGACATGGTCCCCTCCACCCAAATGCTATTGCAACACCCTTTTTATGCTTCTTACAAAGGAGGTTTGCTTTTACTATTTTTTCAGCATTTCCTTGAACATCAGACATGTTCAGATTTGTGTACTCTTGCACACTGGTACAGAAGGAAACATTTTATTGTCAGATCGTGGTTCATAAATGGTAATCTGTCAGCCATAGATCCACACGTTATAGATCTTCCAGAGGTTTTGACAGCAATTTTTTGTTCTTTTTTTTTTTTTTTGGTCATGTTTTCTTTGATTTTGCAAAGTTCTTGGGCACTGTCATTTACCAAGAATACCGCCAAAGTGGTATATTAATTTTCATTTTATAACACAGAGACTACTGTAAGGTTTGCTGATCTGTTCTGCTTTCACCCTCTATTTCCTCATTTTTTAATGTATGTAATGTAGGTTTCTAGTTAAAACTCCAGGAAGCACTCTGAAAAATCTATGTTTCTAGAGCTGCTCTCCCCTTCACCCCTTCTCGATGTAGAGGTCTGTCACCAAATTCTCTCCATGGTGGATACGTGAATTTTTGATTATGAAAAATTGCCGTGAATGTTACTAAATGCCGTTTCCATCCAGCTCTTATTCTAATGGGTAACAGTGTCTTTGCTAGAATGATAAGCATGTTTTAGAATATAACCTGTATAAACTGTAAATAATGCCTACATGATGTTTTGTCATACAGTGTGTCAGCTGATGACATTGCCTTAAATTTCAAGCACAGATCAATGTGACTGATATGATACAAAAAATCATATAGCATTTATATGCTTTTTTTATAAAATGATTGGCTTGGGTGCCATATTAAAACGTACCACACTTTTGACATTTAATGACTTCTTAGTTAAGCTCCTAGGACAAGTTCCTGAATTCAGTGGTGAATGCTCCATCCCTGGCAGTGTTTGAGACCAGGTTGGACAGAGCCTTTGGTGACATGGTCTAGAGTGAGGTGTCCCTGCCCATGGTGGGGGGTTGGAACTGGATGATCTTAAGGTCCTTTCCAAACCAAGCCATTCTATGATTCTGTGATTCTATGAAAATAATTTTTTTTTTTTTTTTCGAGCAGAAGCAGAATGAAGGAACAGAAATAGGGCATTTTCTTTAAAACTTTCAGGTATACAGAGAATGAAGGTAACATTTTCCTTGGGAGATGGGACCTTCCTTAAATTTTGGTATGACTGAATTGGTCACCTTCTATATTTTTTTTTCCCCAACGCCTTTAATTTAAAGCAGATTAGAGTTTCCCAAGGTGTATGTTGTTACCCATTTCACTGTTTCCTCTGGCGAAGAAGTCTCAGTGTTTTCAGTACCCAGAAGCACCATGTGTTCAGACTTAAGCTAATGGACTTAATGAAAGCTGAAATGGTGAGAACAGGCCTATGGAGCTGGGGCAACACCTGAAAATCCTAGTGTTGGAAAAATACTTTGTTTTCAACTAAAGACCTTTTGGTTTTTACATCAGCTGCTGATCTGCCAAGTGTCAAAATCCCTTGGTCTCTCGAATATGCATAGGCTTCAGAATGATGATGCTCAGATACAAGTTTCATATTATGTGTTTATTGTGAGCAAGCCATAATGATAAAAATTACAAACCCTTAGCCAAATCCCTAATCAGACTCATATTCCTCAGGGAACTGACTTGAATGGAGGCTTGCCAGATTCTGGATTTGGGTGTTTAACCATTATATTGCAGTAGTCATGTAGTAACAATTTTAAACTTTTTGTGAATATGGATAGACCATGTGCATGAAGACCAAAAGTATTTGTCTCCTTCATAATCTAATATGTATCCTCTTTTGTTTGTTCTCCCCCATGCAGCTTGTAGGAAACGAGTAAATAAGACTGAAAAAGTCCAGATATTGTCTGTTCCTTTTATTTTAAAATTGTCCTTTCACTTAATATGCCAGTTATTTTCTCTTTTTTTCTGAGGGCATTTTTTGAAAGCACCAAGTGCTTTCTTTCCTTTCCCTTTCCTCCTGTTTGGCTTCCAAAGCATATGATAGAGAGAAATTACGTGCAGTAGCTTTTAAAAATAAAATTAAGTAGAAGTCTCTTACAGATATGGCATTAAAAAAAATTGAGTCTTCATTAGAGATTTTTTGTGAAATGTAAAGTGGCACATAAAACTTTACTGAATTGGGCTTTTATTGTGAGGTCTGTTTGCTTCTGAATACATTTTGGAGTGATATTATCTCTTGCCTTGCCTGGTGTTTGTTTCAGTCTTTGATCTCTTGCAGCCTTTCTGTGCCCTATTACTAATTTAGAATTCCAGCTGCTTGGTATTTAAACTTCAAAGCCATAGTCATTGCCATTTGACTTATTTGTATACTAGTTTGCCCTACACAGAGCCTGCATCTGCTTAGTCTCTGTGTTTTTCTTATTTTCCGCAGGTATTTGGTCAATCTGATTTAGAACAAGAAAAGACTTCACTGTGTAACTTGCCTGTGCCCCCACCTTCCACATTTTCAGGAATGAGCTGTGATGTCGCACAGTCATCTTCTAGCACAGTCCCAGAGGATGGGCATAAAGAGGATGAGTTCGGTTACAGCTGGAGTAAGTTTATCCTATATGAGAATGTTTTAAATACTCAGTATTGAAATAGCACCGTAGCAGAAGGTACGGGGGGATGCAGTTTGAGCTACTTCATTTTATGTGCTTTCTGTTTTGGGTGTTAGGTGTGCCTGTCAGTTTTCAGCTGTGCTTGGTCAGATGCACATAATGAAATATAAAACTAATTTGTTTGTCTTCATTGCATTCCAAACTCTGTTTTCCTTCATGGTCCAAATTCATTGTTTCACATGTAGGATGCCTCGAAGATTTTCAGTGTACTTTAGGTAACTGATGGCAGTAATTGGTGTGATAGCTTTTGTTACCTGAAATTGTTACTGGAGGGAAGACTATTGCATTCTTTGTTAATTTATTTTTTTTAAGGGAGATTTTAATCTTTTCTGAAGTTAGAAGGAAAGCAAGGAACTAGAAGTATTGTTATAAGTCACCTAAGGCTTAGCTTAAAAGAAGGTGTGGTGGGTGTGCACTTAAAATTTTCTCGCCCAGTTTGGTATTCTATAAGATACTGCCCACTGGACACTGATCTTGACTCTGTAGGTGACTTGTGAACCTCTCCAATGTAAATCCAACTTCTGCTGCCCACACTTTTACATTTAGAAAAGATTGTGCAGCGCTATGGAAGTCTGCCTGGGGAGCTACACTTGATTGAACTGGAAAAAGGAAGAACAGGTCTGGGACTTAGTCTTGCTGGTAACAAAGACCGATCCAGGATGAGTGTCTTTATAGTGGGAATTGATCCAAATGGAGCAGCTGGTAAAGATGGCAGGTTGCAAATTGCAGATGAGTTACTAGAGGTGAGTTTTTGCAATTTCTACTGAAATCCAACTTAAAAAATGCATTAAAATATTTGATTCTTGCTGGAGGGTGGATGTTCCTCAGTGGGCTTTGAAATCCCCCGCGTTATCCAAGTTGACATCACAATGCTACCAGATTTTCATTCCATTGTTTGCCAGATAGTTGCAGTTGGTTATAGTAATACTAACATATGTGCTTTTAAAATGGACAAAAATGAGGGATGACAACAGTTTCTGGGTTATGGAGATGTATGGAAGGGCAATATATTGCTGACTATGGGAAATAATTAACAGTCCATTAGTCCATGCATCTGTGGAGTGTTCCAGATTTTCCAATTACTTCTCTGTCTCCTGGAAGTATGATGATAGAATATTTTTATATTGTGTAACATATACAGTGGAATTTAAATTGTAGAAACAGGAACAGATCCATCTGTATTATGGACTTTTATCTCCTGACACTTTGGCTCTGTTTACTAGTGGCCTTATGGGCAGACCTAACCACTGAAAGTGCATTCCCAATATGTATATGAGCATAAAGTCCATTTTTATATCACCACAGTTCAGCTGATGATAGTTGCAGGTGTATTCTCTGCTATAGCTTTTCTGATGCTTTCTGGTAGCAGTAGGTAAACATTACTTCACAGAAGTGTGTTGTGTAAATTCAAAACTTCACGGAGGTGTTAAGAGGTTGTGCTGGCAAGATGGTACAGGGAGGCAGTGGTGAGACTGAGGAAAGCTTGAGGGAGACACAGAGAGTGTAAACAACGTAAGTTGGCAGTTGCAGACTAGGAGTCAAAATAAGAGATTTGTGGCTCTGTGGACCCAGTCTCATGGAGGGACCTAATAGCTACAGGGTCCAGTGTTACTTGCTAGATGGTTCTCTTGAATCAGTTAAATGCATATGGGGTTTTTTTTAAACCTTGATGTTGCAGATACTGAGTATCCTCTGGACCCATTGAAACATGTCTGTCTGAGTCTGCTCTCATGTGATTTCTTGCTAACTGTCCACGCTGTAAAACCGATGCCAAGAAATTGTCTCAACCTCCTCTGAGAAGGAGACATCTGAGCTTGCTCCTTATGTTCCTAAATAGCTATCCCTCGGCTGTGGTAGGCCATGCTCCATCTGTCAGCTGACAGTCTTACCTGGTTCTTCAAAAGCCCATGTCAAACACTGAATTGTCACCTCCAGTGTAGATCACAAGACTCAATATCCCCGTGACTGTGCCTGGTGGACATAACTTCAACCCTCAGTTCAGTGTCTTGCATCTGTTGCTCACTGTTTGCCACTACTTTGCTTCTGTTAGTGCTAGCTCAGTACGTGTTGCATTATTTTCCCTTTGTGTAGGTCCAAACTGTCCTTTTCTAATCATTTCCCATTTCCTAGAGTGGAATTCTGCACTGTAGTTTTCTAAGAAATGCAACTTAAAAAAATGTGAATTTGCCTTAGTCTGCAAATTCACACTGATAGCTTGAATCATATCTGAGCTTCAAGGGGTTTCAGTGAGTCTACTCTGTCAAATGAAGGCAATGATTGTCGTGCCAGACCTTCACATTGTAAATGCACAAGTGTTCAGACTCCTCTATATAAAGTGCCTAGCTCAGAGCTGAGACTTGGTGAATAATATCTCATTGGTGGGTATAGCGATCCATTTATTTCTTACGGTTACAATTTCCCATGGCCCTGCTTTGGCACTACATCAGTCATGAGATGATCAATGGCAAGTGGAAATAGATGATGTGCCAAGTCAACCCAGTATAACTCAGACAAAAGGCAATTTTAGCACTGTGACAGTATTAGTCTGAAATCAAACTGTAAGGAATTTTATGCTGGAAGAAGGAAGTAAAAACTGCACACAATCATAGAATCATAGAACACTTAGGGTTGGAAAGGACCTTAAGATCATCAAGTTCCAACCCCCCTGCCATGGGCAGGGACACCTCGCTCTAAACCGTATCATCCAAGGCCTTGAACACTGCCAGGGATGGAGCATTCACAACCTCCCTGGGCAACCTATTCCAGTGCCTCACCACCCTAACAGGAAAGAATTTCTTCCTCATATCCAATCTAAACTTCCCCTGTTTAAGTTTTAACCCATTACCCCTTGTCCTATCACTACAGTCCCTACTGAAGAGTCCATCCCCAGCATCCCTATAGGCCCCCTTTAGATACTAGAGGGCTGCTATGAGGTCTCCACGCAGCCTTCTCTTCTCCAGGCTGAACAGCCCCAACTTTCTCAGCCTGTCTTCATACAGGAGGTGCTCCAGTCCCCTGATCATCCTTGTGGCCCTCCTCTGGACTTGTTCCAACAGTTCCATGTCCTTTCTATGTTGAGGACACCAAAACTGCACACAGTACTCCAAGTGAGGTCTCACGAGAGCAATATACCAATATACCAATATACTCTGCTATTTCAAGATAATTGCTTCTTTAGTGATGTGGGATAATGGATTCTTCTAAGGCTTAAAAAAATAATTTAAGGGAATTAAAATATTTGAGGAAATAATTGCTGCCTTTCTTTATGTAGATAAATGGGCAAATACTGTATGGAAGGACTCATCAGAATGCTTCCTCAATAATCAAGTGTGCACCATCTAAAGTAAAAATAATCTTTATTAGGTAAGTTCTGGTTAAAGATCTGTCTGAAAAGAATTATTTTTAATATGCTCAAATTTTGCACAGAGTGTTTCTGGTTTAATTTTCATTTTGTTTTAGATAAGTATCCTTTTGAACCCAGTTCTTGGTAGTTGTTAAATGTGTCTTGTGTTTTCTGGTTTTGATATTTGCAATGTGAGTGCCAGAAATAAAGGAAAGCACTAGACTTAAACTTGTTCTAAGAAATATGGTGCTGTATTACTACATTCTCACTACATTTCTTAACTGAATCTATTGTAGAAATAAAGATGCAGTAAATCAGATGGCTGTTTGCCCTTCAAAGTCAATAGAGGCTTCACAGTGTACCTCAGGGACTCTTCCAGAGGTAAATTTTTGTTTTTCTCATTGACTAAAATATTAACATTGTTCTGAATAAGGGATTGCCCTGTTTGCTTGGCAAATACAAAATAAGGAAATCCAAAGGAAAAACAAATGAGGTTTTAGTAAACCTGCTAAATTTAGTACAGCTGTGCTCAATTCTGTTCTATTTTATATTCATCTAAACTATGAAGTGAATCTCATATTTCCATGAATACAATTATGGCAGTTTAAATGAATCCAGAAAATAACCAGACCCACTTTAAATGTTTGTGTGCTACTTTATGTTGATGGAAAATATTAAATATTGTTGCTCACAGTTACGTTTTCATTTTCTACTAGATTGATATCACTGCTGCAGACTCCAGTGGTTGTTCTGACTTCAGTTCCTGGAAAAACATTCAGTATGTCGAGCTCCCTAAGGTATGTGCTGAAAATTAAATTTATATCAGCCATATTTCTACACACTAGCTTGCTTTTTTGTAATGGACTTTCTTATTGCAAACAAACTTACTGGAAGTCAGAAGAGATTTCTGAGGTCTTTTGTGAACGGACCCCAAAGTTTTCCTGACATAATGACTTTGGCAACCTCATAAGTCTCTTTATATTCACATAAGCTTGCAAGTTACTTTGTGTCTCTGAAGAAGTCACCTATCGCAATTGTCCTATTCGGAAACCTTTTGTTAACCAGCTGGTGGTGGTGCCTCAGGTAAAATCATTGCTATTGTTGTTCAATGTAAATTAACTGGCAAATTATTTAGTGAATGTATTCTTATATTTTCATAAATGCACTACCTAGCCATTTGCTTTTTTTCTATTTGCCCCAGGATCAAGGAGGCTTTGGAATTGCCATTAGTGAAGATGACACAATTCATGGAGTAGTTATTAAGAGTTTAACAGATCATGGTGCAGCAGCAAAGGTGTGAGAACATTTAAAATCCAAATAGAACATTTAAAATCCAAACATTTAAAATGCATAAAGAATGAAAAATGTCTTTTGAAGTAGCATCCAGAGCTCAAAGTTTTCATTCTATGTTTTTTTCCAGGATGGACGAATAAAAGTTGGAGATCGGATCCTGGCGGTGGATGATGAAATTGTTTTGGGATATCCAGTAGAAAAGGTGATTCTGAACTGTCAGGAATGTTGCAGGAATCACACCCCTTAATGTAGGAGGTGACTGTGCCTTAAACAAAGAGTGAGGTTTTCGTGGCTATACTCTGTTCATTTTCAAAGCTGGTTGGAAAAAAAACAAAAAAGATCTGCAGGCATTATCTGGATAAGCAAACTACTGCAGAATTAGCTAAAGCCTGAATTTAAAGCTCAGCTGCTATTTTACATTAATGCACTACATGAATCGTCTGTCTCTGCTACAGTTGTGATTTTTGTTTTCCCTGTGATTCATGTTTGGTGACTGAGGAGCACTTACTTGTGAGAGAAAGCCATGAACTATTGCTTAATAATGATTTTTCATAGCTGCTCAACTTTGAAGCTATTAAAACCAGCAAAAATTAATACCTGTAAATTTACGTGGGTAAGTTGCATCAGTGGTAAACAGATCATGAACTGTGCTTGTATGTGGGGAGTGTCTGTAATAATGGCCTCATTGTATTCCAGGCCTGGTATTCCAGCCCTTTGAAAAAAACAATCTCCTTTCCTAAATAACAAGATTATTTATAACTTCTATCTCTACACACTCAGTTTGAGTTCTCTGTGAATCGAGGAGAGCATTTTGCTAGCTTCTGCCTTGATACAAAGAAAAGTGATTCTTTTGTCATGAGAAGATTACTTTCTGTTTGTTAAAAGGGGAGTTAGGAGATCATTCATCTTACTCTTGGATGCACTGCTGTCTTAGAAGGAGTGAGTAAGAGATAGTACAGTTGTCTGCAGGGAAGTAGGCTTTAGAGATGAGACAGAAAGACTAAGTAGGTAATTTCTGAAAATACTTTTACTGAAATGTAAAATCTCAGACGATTTGGTGTCTTTTTTGTGGGTAGTTGATTTTAAAGGTTTTTCAGTATCCCTTTAACGTAGATTGTGTGTTACACCCTAGTTCCTTCTCTCCCTCCCATAGTTCAGGTAATACTTTCAAATTTTTCTTCCAGCTCTGCGTCTGATTAAGGAGCTAGGATGGCAGTAGCACTTTCATTTTAATCAGTAGATGTTTTGGCATTTAATTCTATGGTATCAGAACTGGGCACCCCCAAGCATTAAAAGACATAAGTTTTACAATTTTTCTAATAATTGCTATAAACATAGTATTTTGTCCAAAGAAGGCATCTGAAGACTAACGCGTTGTCATCCTGGGGTAGTTTGGTGAAGTTTCAAGGAAGCTAATTGATTAACATCAGCTAACTGGCCCACAGTTCTCTCTATTGCTGTTTCTTATAAAAGACATCAATATTTGTCTTGGTTATTAGCAACAAAACCTGCAGGATTGTGACTTGTAGCTCCAGTCTGCAAACAACTCTTCTGCTGTATTTTGTTTTATAACTGAACAGTGCTCTTCATACTCTTCACCAGCTTTTCTCTTTGTCATTCAGTTTATTAATCTGCTGAAGACATCCAAAACTATGGTGAGGCTTACAGTCAACTCAGTGGAGACAGATAGCCTGACTGCAGCACCAGTTCCTCCCAGTACAGCCCCAGTGGAGAGGAGGAGTATGCAGCCACCAGCAAGTTTTCCCTCTTCCAGCTCACCAGAACCAGAAGCCATGAAAAGTAAGGTTCTCCCTGTGTGTCTGTCATGTGACATAAAAAAAAAGACCCAGCCTGTAAACAAGTTCTCTCTTTTTGTATGCTCTCAGCTGTGTTCCGAGTTGCATTTTCTAGTACTTTTGAATTACAAATCCATCTAAAAAAAGCAGGCACCACACCAAAGACCTGCCTCTTGTTTTCTCACTGGCCTGTTACTGAGGCAGGAGGGTGGGCGAATTTCGTCCTACAGCAGGTGCCTTTGTCGTGGTTGTCTGAAACTAAGTGGAAGGCATTCCTTTTACTGAGGGAGAAAAGTCATCTTTCGTAGAACAGGGGAATGGTTGAGACTGTCTTTCCAGTTATATCTATCCACATTTGACTCTCCCCTTTAGAATGGAGAGTTGAGATGTCTGATTGATGATAACTATCAGTTAAGCACTACACTACTAAGAAGCTAATAATAATTGTACACATATCACAGTTTATATGTACATCACTGCAAGTATTACTAAGTCATGTTTCTATTGCTTATTACATGCAGTAGTATAGATATGCAGTTATACTACTATAAAGAATCTGCAGGAGACCTGCTAAGTAATAATTCTGTTGTCTTCTCTTCTGTGTTTAGTTTTGGGGTAAAATCTATTGCTTTGTCCAAGTCTATTCCTTCCATCTCTAGCCTGCCACAGCAAGTCTTAGGGATAAAGACCTGATGGAGATTTTGACAGTGCTGCCTCCAGCATCTTGGGGATTTGTGATTGCAGTTGGGCTTCACTGCCATTTGCAGGCATCCACAACTCAACTGTTGGAAGATCTCCCTCGTCTTTATTTTCCACCTGATTTTATAATTTATTCTCCTGGTTCATTTTACCAGGCCCATCTTTTTTGCTGCCTCTGCACCTTGTTTTCTCTTAATAACCTCCTTCTAAATAAGCAACTCACCTCTAGTGAATTTTTCCCTGTTGGTCTGATTTCTACTACCCCACTTTGTTTTTTCCAGTAGCACTATGTAGGCAATTTTTGGCCTGGTACCGGTGCAGTTGTCTAGGTGAGGTCCAGTCTTCATACCAAGACTCCAGTCCACTTCTTCAGTTCATGTATTTCATATGCATTTTATGTGTTCTGGACAGAAGTACTATACTTTAGCCTTGACTCCTGTACTTAGCTTGAACTAAGCATGAAGTCATCATCTACCTGGATTTGTGTAAAGCGTTCCACACTGTCCCACACGACATCCTCGTCTCTAAATTGGAGAGATATCAATTTGATGAATGGACCACTCAGTGGATAAAGAACTGGCTGGATGGCTGCACACAAAGAGTTAGAATGAATGGCTCAGTGTCCAGCTGGAGACCAGTAATGAGTGGTGTCCGTCAGGGATCGGTGTTGGGACCGGTCTTGTTTAACATCTTCATCACTGACATGACAGTGGGATTGAGTGCGCCCTCAGTAAGTTTGCCGATGACACCAAGCTGTGTCGTTTGGTTGATACACTGGAGGGAAGGAATGCCATCCAGAGGGACCTTGACACACTTGTGAGGTGGGCTGATGCCAACCTCATGAAGTTTAACCATGCCAAGTGCAAAGTCCTACACCTGGGTTGGAGCAATCCCAGACACAGCTACAGGCTGGGCAGAGAAGAGATTCAGAGCAGCCCTGTGGAGAAGGACTTGGGGGTGCTGGTCGATGAGAAAATGAACATAAGCCAGCAGTGTGCACTTGCAGCCCAGAAAACCAGCCGTATCCTGGGCTGCATCAAAAGGAGTGTGATCAGCAGGTCGAAGGACATGATCCTGCCCCTTTATTCTGCTCTCGTGAGACCTCACTTGGAGTATTGTGCGCAGTTCTGGTGTCCTCAACATAAAAAGGACATGGATCTGTTGGAACAAGTCCAGAGGAGGGCCATGAGAATGATCAGGGGACTGGAGCACCTCCCATATGAAGATAGGCTGAGAAAGTTGGGGCTGTTCAGCCTGCAGAAGAGAAGGCTGCGTGGAGACCTCATAGCAGCCTTCCAGTGTCTGAGGGGGGCCTATAGGAATGCTGGGGATGGACTCTTCATTAGGGACTGTAGTGATAGGACAAGGGGTAATGGGTTAAAACTTAAACAGGGAAAGTTTAGATTGGATATAAGGAGGAAATTCTTTCCTGTTAGGGTGGTGAGGCGCTGGAATAGGTTGTCCAGGAAGGTTGTGAATGCTCCATCCTTGGCAGTGTTCAAGACCAGGTTAGATGAAGCCTTGGGTGATATGGTTTAGAGTGAGGTGTCCCTGCCCATGGCAGGGGGCTTGGAACTTGATGATCTTAAGGTCCGTTCCAACCCTAATTATTCTATGATTCTATATGCACAAAGAACTTCTGTTAACAGAGCACTAGAGTAACCTGTTCTATTCTTGCACAGAAGCTTTATCCTTAAAGAGTCTTAACTGGCCTTCTGGTCCCCTTCAGAGGCCAAGACTCTTAGTTTTGAGGCTTACTTTTCCTGCAGGACCCATTGCTCACATGATACCTAAGTATTTGTCTAACATAAAGCCATATATTTGAATGGTCAAGTCCTTTCTTAGTTTCAGTGGAACTTCTTTTAATTAGTGCATTTTAAAGTGCCTCAAAAGGATTTAGATACCTGTTTCTACCTTTTGGAAAAAAAGTAATTTTGGTGTTTCTTTCAAGCACAGGGGACATAAGTAACAGAGATAATCTGAATATCCCAGACATTTCGATTGCTGATTCTTCCATTTAGTTGCAACACGATATCCCCTCCTATTATTTTTGGCTTTTCTTTTCTTTTTTTTTTTTTCTGTGAAGGGTACAGAAGTGACTAAAATGCTAAAGGAAAGACCCATGTGTGACAGACCAGAGATACTGAATTTACAGATAAATTGCTGCATAAGGATGTCACAAATACTTGCACTATGAAAATAAATATTTGCACCACAAAACTTACAGCTTCCAAAAGATGTGTCAGTTAAAATTTCTTTTTGAATGGCACTACATAGTGATTGTATAAAGCCTTTGACTTGACCATGGATTTGTGAAATATCACTACATTTGATTCATACTTAACAATCTTTCTTATTCATCTCATTGTCTGACATGAAATATTTATTTAGATGAACCTTAAGACAAAAGTGCAGGGCTGACATGCCTGAATTCATGTTTTTAATGCATATTATATACCTCATTTGTCTCTGGTCTACATTGCATAATTGCTAGTACTGGTGTTTAAGTTGCATCTAAATAGAATCTGTTGTGTACGACCATGATCTAGATACTTGGTGGTATAAAAATTGGACAGTTGTGACTTAAACTACAGGGCAGTGCTTGTCTGAGGGGAGTAGAGAGCTGGCACCATCATTCTTTGTAGGTCATCTATTCAGCTCTTGCTGTATAGCTCTCAGTGGGCTTTCAAAATGCTGGTTTAAAGTCACTTTTATAATACCAAACGATCTTACTATAACGAGGATGTTTAATTTTTTTCAGACACAAGCAGATCTTCAACTCCAGCCACATTAGTCTCTGACCCAGCTACTTGTCCCATCATTCCTGGATGTGAAACAACCATTGATATCTCCAAAGGGCGGACTGGTCTTGGTCTGAGCATTGTTGGAGGAGCAGACACTTTGCTGGTTGGTTGAAAAAATATATTTGTCACTGAAATTAAATAACTATAATGAAATTAAAATGTCAAAAGAGATTTTTTTCTTCATCTGTTTCTCTAGCATTTATAGAAAGATACCAAAAATACCAGTTGGGGGGCAGAAGAGAGGGAAAGGACTTTTAAAATTGAAAGAATAACTGACCTCCTTTAATATTTTGGTGATCTGTTTATCATACATCTGACTGTTTTGTTTATCACTGATGAATTATAGTAGGAATTTTCAGTTGCTCTTGGTTCAAAGTAGGGGCATGTTTTTTCAACAGGCAATTTATTTTTGTTCTGTGCATTCACAGGGAGCAATTATAATCCATGAAGTATATGAAGAAGGAGCAGCATCTAAAGATGGGAGACTGTGGGCTGGGGATCAGATATTAGAGGTGTGATGATTTCTTTGCTCACTTACCATCATTTGCTACCTAGGCATCTTCTGTTTGTCTGCTGAAAGGTCCTGCACACTTTGTATGTTTTCATTGCAGGTGAACGGAATTGACCTCAGAAATGCCACACATGATGAAGCGATAAATGTCCTCCGACAGACTCCCCAAAAAGTTCGTCTGACTGTATACAGAGATGAGGCCCAGTACAAGGAGGAAGACATGTATGATGTACTCAATATAGAGCTCCAAAAGAAGCCTGGCAAAGGCCTTGGGCTGAGTATTGTTGGGAAAAGGTATGAATGTACCTGCAGAGTCAATATCTGGAACTTGCTGGGTATGCTAAGCATACTCAGCAAGGTGCTTCAATCCTGTGGGCTTGAAGGCCATATCTTAATTTTTATGTTTAAGCTATTTAGCCATTTTAGAGGAGCTAGTGCAACATTACTCAATAGAAAATTGAGACATAAAAATAGGCCTCAAAGAATGCTGTAATGCAAACTCCATGTGTGTATTTGCAGAAATGATACAGGGGTGTTTGTGTCAGACATCGTCAAAGGAGGAATAGCAGATACAGATGGAAGATTGATGCAGGGAGACCAGATACTGACAGTGAATGGAGAAGATGTTCGAAATGCTAACCAGGAGGCTGTTGCAGCTTTGCTAAAGGTATTGGGAAAACAGAAGGTGGATAGAAGTGAAGAATTGTCATCCAGATATTTTGAAAGCTTTAGTTTTGTTCAGACTAAGTTCAGATTGCTATTGAAATACCAGCAAGTATCACCTGGGGATCCAAATTTAAGCTTCCTGTAGTCTAAAGCATTAAGATTTTGATGTTTTGCCTGATGAAAATGGAAGTAGCAGAGGTGCAAAATGTCATATGTTTAAAAGACAACAGAAAACCAGTACCTAGAACAACCTAAAACCTAGCCTGTATTTTTTCCAACAAACTGATAGCTGGTTAACTGTCTCACATTTTCAGAAAGATACACAGAGCTGACTTTAAATAATGGAAAATTCATCACAGTATCTGTGCCAAAAAGTGATTACTTTGATAGTTAACAATGTTCCTCTTTTTTTCTTTTTTTTTTTTTTCTTTGGACATCCAGAGGTCACCTTACATCCATTAAATAATACGAGTTTTTCAGTGACCAAAGCATCTAGTATAAGAAACTGCTTTCTCACAAAGGTAGTTTAAGTACAAATTCCTGTCTGCAGCTACCAGATTTTCTGTTCTCAATAAATTTTGTGTTTCTGATGTCCTCCTGCTATTTAGAAATCAGAATGAAGTCAAATATACGTTTCCTGGCAGGAAGTCCAGCTGGTCAGCTAGCTCATCTATTTCCATCCAGGGTTTTGAATCATTCTTGTTGCATGGTAAGGATTCCATTGAGTCAGCGTTTTCCAATAGAAAACTATTCCACTGGAAAAAAATTAACAGCCACTACTTGTGGCTGACTCTTGGATTACATGGACACACAATCAATGATTCTTTGCACTCAGCATTCAAAGATATGGTTTTCTAGATCTTGAACAGTTCCTCAACCTTTTTCTGGGGGAAAGGGGAGCTAGGAGCAACTCTTCCATATTTTCAGCATTAGCCTGTAAGTGAGAATGCCAGGTCTCTGTTCTGACAGTGAACTCGTTTTAATAGGCTCTTCTGGTGTAATGGTACACCTGATACTTTATCTAAGGACAGTGTGTTTCTTCTTCATGTGCTTCACTTTTACGTTTCTTCTAAATTAAAATGCCATTTTCAACATGTATGTGGAAAGCTTAATTTTGGCACGCATTTTGAACTATCTAATTGAAGATTCTTAGTTCTCACCTGTCATTCTTATATTAATGTATTACATATTTCATCCCACTCAGTGCAGTTAATTGCCCTAGCTATGAGGAATTAGTCTTTAAAAACACCTCAGATATATTATTTTTAATGACTCTGTTTTATTCTCATAATATAAATGGAATAAAGCACAATCACTCACATGTGGGCATTTCCTATTTTTATTTCAGGTGTCGGTTTTCTGTTTCATTCATGAGTGTAAGATCGTGGGAGTGAATTGTCTTGAACGGACTGCAATGTATTTTGCCACAAAATTATTTATAATATTTGGAAAATCCTAATATATTTTAAGTAGCATGAGTTGTCAGGCTGAGAATTCTACTCATTCTTGCAGTGTTTCTTTTTAAGCATCTATAAACCATAAAAAGTTGATCATTTCCCCCCCCCCTCATTTATCTTAGGGATTCATCAAATGGGAGATTTCAGGAATAGGGAGTAAACTGTAATAAAACTAAATGTGAACTGATGTATTCACAAATTCTGTTGGAAAGTGTTACCTCCCACTTTGACACATTATAACTTTAAAATCTCATTTGTGGGTTTACATTCTATGGGAGGATGTGGTAGTTTTAGGTATGTAGGCTACTTCCTCAATTTTCCATTTTGGATAAGGGTTGTCCATATGGTTTAATATAAGCAGGAAAGAATGGTTTTGCCTGAGCTTTGATCAGGTTTTTCCCAGGACACAGTGAAGTCAATTTTATTCAAAAAATGAAGAGCACTTTAGTAATAAGCCTTTTAGTGTCATTCCTAAAAGAATAGCAACAGGATATGAGGTATGGAAACCCTGTTTGAATGGACATGTCCTGCCTATTGGTCTATTACTTACAGTGGTTTTTCTGACAAATACATGAACCTCTCTTAATTCAGTACATCTAAAACATGATAAATAAAATCAAACTTATGTAATACTGAATTATTTGGATACAGGACTTTGTACTAGCAGTTTCGCAATGGAAGAAAGAAAGGAAGGCAAAATAGCAGCAAAACTTTGAAATTTTTCTATTGAGCATGTTGCAGAGGGGTAGCTTTCTATTGACACTACTTGTGTTATTTTGGAAGTTCACTTTTCTAAATACTGTTTGTGATAATGTACCTGTTTTCAAAGTCAGCCTAATATCTTGGTTTCTAAATATTTCATTGCAGGGTGGATTTTCTTCTGGGGCATGCATTTTATGCAGAGATGTAAATACTTAGTCATAATAAAAAGCTTAAAGAGCAGTGGAAGGATTTTCCAATGTGCAAAAAGTCCTTATCACCCAGCTTCCTGCTGGGAGTCAGATGCAGAAGGGCCATGTGAGCTGCGTATATAGATTTTGGGAAAACCACCTGCCCAAAATTTCTTTAGTTACATTGGTATGGGTCCAGAGTAACAGAAAATTTGAAGACTGGGAGAGAGATTACTAACTACCAGTTTAAATTCCACGTTCTTAGTCATATTAACAGAAATAACGATTAATGCTTTCAGGTTTTTTACTATTTTCAGTGCTTATTGTGAAAATAGACAATTTCACTATTCCTTGAAAAATACCATCTTGAAAATATATGTTGGCATTACAGTTGAGAAGCCAAAACTACTCCGTGTTAAGTGGAAGGTAACAGAATTAGTTTTCTTGGGCAATTTTCACATCTGTATTGTAATACTAGTTAATCCAGAAAGTACCCTGCTCAGTATTTAATATCACACTGTACTTCATTTCTGTGTCTCTATCTGGTCAGAGTTCACTGCAGAGCTGGTAGCCTATTTTCCTCTCCAGCCATATTTTTTTCTTCTTTCACCATCTGATAAGTGAGTTAAATATTGTCATAGTCTTTAATGTTGTACACATGGGAGATGTGTTATGAGTGACTGGTTCTTTAGTGTTCTCTAGGTATGGTAAGACTAGAGGTTGGAAGAATAAAAGCTGGTCCATTCCACTCCGAGAGGAGAACATCCCAGAGCAGCCAGGTATGTAACTGTTCAGTTTGGAAGAAACAACAGTTAAATATGAAAGCAAATAAAAAGGGTTGGGTTTATGATGACAGTGATTTTCCAGTTACTGATCCAAGATGAAGAAAAGTAGTTTTTATTGAATATGTTCACTTTAGCATGTTGTATCTCTTAAAGACATGATTTAGCCAAAAATGTAATTCAGAAATGGTTTTGCTGTGTTGCCTAGTCTGATTTTTATGGTTCCAGCCTGAGAAGCAGAAATGGCTATGATTCTCATCGATACCACAAGAAACTGGGAGTCAACTTTTAACTTCTTTGTTACTTTAGGAGAACTTGGTATGCAGTGCAGTATTGTTTCAGTAAATTTAATTAATTTCTTTATTCTTTGCATCTTCTTGCCATAAACTTTGTCATCAGAGCAGGTAACCTGCACCCTTGCCACCAGACTTCTCTCAAGTTCATTTGTTTTATTACTGGTCTCATGGTGGAGTGCTCCAACTTGCATCAGTTTCTGCATTTGAACGTGCATCATTTATGTGGTAGCAGGGCTGTATTTCTGAGAGCTCACAAGTTACCTTAGGAATTTCTCTGGTTATAAGCTGGGTATACAGATCATCAGTCACTGAAAATAAATAGTTTGAAGACAAATCATAACAAAACAGTTTCATGTGATCAGGTTAAGAATGGATAAGACTGAAAGGCTCTCTTCAGAATGGGTAGTGCCAGACAAGATGAAAACATACAGGCTCTGAGTGGTCATAATTGTAAGTACTTAAGAAGAAGCTAACAATGTTGAATGTTTTGAAGAATCTGTAACAGTCAACAAACCAGTCTCACTGGGAGCCATGCTGTTCCTTTACATTGCTATGCTGGTATAGTGAAAATCTGTCTGGGAATTGTGTAGTTTAAACGGAGTGGAGAGCGTTATCTTAGTTTTAGCTGATGCAGTGGGTGAACATGAGATACGCATGAGGATGTATAAAGGTCCATCTTTTATATTCTGTCCCTACCTTGATAATTGTTGCTGACTTTTGCACTAGAAGGTCTTGGTGAGGTTGTAGAAGGTGCAAATACAGGGTCATAGTGCAACCCTCAAAAGCAGTGTTCCGAAGCATTTCATGGGGGTTGTATGCATGCAGTCTCTGTTCAAAAGATGTTTCAAACAAGCAGCCCTCTAGAGTGACCAAGAAATACGTGGAGGTTCACTGTGTCAGCTTCAGCTAGGCACAGAAAAAGTAAAATACAGCAGAATACACAGAATGCCGTGGGTGACAATTTTATTAGCTGGGTGTCTGAAGCTTTTCTCTAACCACTGTGTAACACTGTATTTAGGTCAGTGAAGGAAGCAGCAGTCTCTCATCCTTCACTTTCCCAGTTTCTGGGTCCAGTGCACCTGAGGTCTCCGAAAGTGGTCTAAAGAAGAATACCAGTAAGGTTTCTTTGGTGCTTTCAGTATTTTATACATGTGAACAGAGAGCTGAGATCTTTCACTTTCCCTAAAATGTTATCATTATGTGCTGTAAGCCTGAAAGTTATTTGTTAGTCATTAAAGTGCTGCAGGGGTGGTTATTGTACAGTGGGTCATATATATCTTTGAGTGACTTTTTTATAAACTATCAGCTTGTTATACCAGAAATATCGATATCCAGAATTTAAGTTGTCATAATTTTTATTTAGTCTACATATGTCTTCAGTCAAACTGTCTCATTCATAGAAATCCAGATACTGTAGAATTAAATTAGACTAGATATGGAATAGCTGTCTCATGCTCAAATTTAGAACAAAGTTACTTTGGGCAAAAGTACTACTAGCAAATAATATTTTTTTATATTCAATTCTAGCATGCACAACAGTGTTATTCGTAAAGGTATTTAAATTGAGAGAATGGAATGACTACTTTCACCCATTCTGGAAGGATTTCAATCCTATTAATTTAATGACGGCCCCTTTCAAAATCTGCTTAAAAAATGTCTGCAGTAGACCACCAGAATGTTAGAATCATTGTAGTGGTTTGAATAAATGTCATGTTAAAACTTCCTAAAAATGCTAGTTTTAACTTTTTTTAACTTTTTTTTTTTTCTTTGATTCATTGACAGCAGCTTCTGAAATACAGGGACTAAGAACAGTGGAAATAAAAAAGGTAAATTACAGCATGAAGTGGTATATATCAGCAGCAGCTTTTGTACATTGTTGTCAATAGGTGTGTTTACAGAAAGGAACAAGTCTGGCCCTCCTAGTCGTTTTGAGAGAGGAATTGATATGCCTAATTCATTTGGCTATCTTTTCAGGTCAACACTGTATGATCTCCACTGCCTATATGGTTATGTAAAAGGAGTGTGGTCTATGCTATCACATTCTGTGACCTGAAAGCAAAAGGAGGAAAGACTAGTAAGAGATGATGGGACCTAGTTTTACCATTACGAGACTGAGTTATATCCAGACTGTTTTAGTGAAATGAGTGGAACTGTACCAAAGTTGCAAGCCTATTTTTTGGTATTTCTTTTTTTTTTTTTTTCATATGTATTTTTACTTTGTAAGCTCTTACATGACAGCTGCCACATTTTCAATGTATGGGATCGGACTGTTTCTGATTGTCCAAAATATTTATATTGATTTGACTTTACCCAGCATCTAGTTAACTTGATTACATGTATTATATTTAGGCATTCTCTTTTTTACAGTAGAATCTGCAAATACTAGCTTACAAAAGCCGTTTTTGCAGTTAGGTAGGGTGTTGTACGGTAGTAACAGCTAGTTCTGTTCTTCAATAATAGGACACTAGGGGGAGCATAAAGATTAGTCTTCGGGAGGTTTGTCGCATGAGATTGATACCGACTATATTAAGGACAACCAATTCCTCCCTGTCCAGTTTTCCTTGCCCATGCTTTCTATGCTGACAGTAAAGGTCTGACACTGGGTCCTGTAATTATTTAGTTTGGTTAAGGTAAAACATACATTAAGTCAGCAGATTGTCACCTAACACTTACGGGAAGAAACGTGCTCTTTGCACTTTCTCAAAATGATGTGAAATGGTTAAACTTAAAAAATGGTTTGAGACCTTGGAGTTATAATTTTCATAATATAGGGGCTTTCATAATTATTTGAGATAAGCTTAAAATTCTCTGCATGTGTTTTTCTTTCAAAAAAAATCTAATGTTTTTTTATTATGATAACAGGGCCCTGCAGATTCACTAGGAGTGAGCATTGCTGGAGGTGTAGGAAGTCCTCTTGGGGATGTTCCTATATTTATTGCCATGATGCACCCAAATGGAGTTGCAGCTCAGACTCAAAAACTCAGAGTAAGTTATTGTTAGGAAGGTTGTAAAGATTGCATAGGTAATGCACAGTAATTGCGTTAGGCAGGCAATATGTTAGCAGTTTAATGATGTAGTCATAAGTGCTTCTGGCTGTGACAAGAATTTCTGCCATTTGGATTGATGAAAAGGGAACTTAGATTGCTTTAGGGCTTCCTTCCTCACGTTAGTTACCTTTGAGCAATTACCTCTTACCATGTTAGCAATTCTGGATAACAGAGGTAGTCAGCTTATGAAAATTAAAAGTAGAGAGGGTAGGTGAGAGTGATGGATTCTGTAAGTGAGCTCTGCTGGTGAGCATGGTGGTCTGTGTGTATGCAGTCTGTTTTATCTCTCATGTTTTCCATGCTTATCTGTCGTGGGATAGAGGCAATACTTTTTAGGTTCTGAGTTAAAGTGGGAGCTCTTCTCTATCATACAGCACTTACATGTGTACTGTATTCAGTCGACACTATGTAGTTGAATTTGACTCATGCTCCATTGAAAATGGACAGTGTTATTTCATGATGAATTCAAGCATACAATCTCTGATAATTTACCACTTCAGTTAGATGTCATTCAAAATGCATGTCTTTTTTAAGTGCTGTATATTTCTAGTTTTTAGGATCAATTCTGTAAAGCATAATTACTTTTTTTACACTGAATACACTAAACCAGTGTAATTTGCTGACTGTGATATTGAATTTTCTACTTTTGCAATGGGTCATTATGTAGTTCAAAGATGATTTGCCTTCAAGAGAAAATGTACCATGAACAGTTGCTAATTTCTTTCTTCCTGCAGTGTATCACTAATAAAATCTGGCTAAATACAAATGCACAGATGTGCTATTATTGAAACAACCTGACAAATCTATGTAATGAAAGTTATTGCTAGCTAGATTTTCTACATTTTCTTCTGCAGGTTGGGGACAGGATTGTTAGCATCTGTGGAACATCTACAGAGGGCATGACTCACTCCCAAGCTGTTAGTCTCTTAAAGAATGCTTCAGGCACTATTGAGTTGCAGGTAAAAAAATCTTTGGTGACATTTGAAGTATTTTCTGAATACAGTTTTGCCAGCTGCTACAATGAATTATTTTAGTGTCAGCATTCTTGTTTTACTCATTTCCAAACTCTGTTCCTAGGTTGTAGCTGGAGGAGAAGTGAGTGTCGTAACTGGTCATCAGCAGGATCCACCTACGTCCAGTCTTTCATTTGCAGGACTAACTTCAACCAGCATTTTTCAGGATGAGTTAGGGTCAGTAACTATAGAATATGCAACCTCTGTAACATATTATTTTGGGTGGAACTCAGCCTGGAAAAACTTAACAATTCTAGCAAATGGCTTAACTTAATCATTACTTACACATTTGATATACATGAGCCCTGTAGGCCATAGATCCTCTTCTGCATTCTTCGTGACATGATTTACTGTGCTGCTTTATTTTGCTCCATCATAGACTTGTGATTTGATTTCTTCTCTGTAAATACAGTCTCCTTTGTTTCACTTGGCCTTGGTAGCTGGGATTAATTGATACACTCAAAATTTTTTTTTTTTTCTTAGCAAGGCCCTTTCCACAGTGCTATGTGTGTTTCCATAATGTGCTTTCTAGCAATGATCTATCAAGAGTGTCAGATTTTCCTGGTATACAAGATACACTGCTTGTGGTATACTGCAAGGTACAGCTATGAAAACAAGTTTTGACTCCAACTCAGTTGTAAATCTGAGGCATTATTCTTCTAGGATTAAGGAAAGAGGGAAAGGGGGTTTTTAGCCACACAGATGTATTTCAAAAGATTGAACTTCAAAATTTCTTACAGTAAAGTATATGTGGGGAAATATGCCTATAAATAGTCTGTATGAACACATACATAGAAATACACATTCATATATTAAAGGAAGAGGGAAGCAATTACACCTTACAGAATAAACCATTGGGCTAATTTTAGATGGTTTTTAGGGTGTGTAATGAGTTACAGGATTTTTAAAGTAGATATTTGTTACAAAGATTTGAGGTACAGGTTTTCAACTTCACTACTAAGCACTGTTAGTGGCACATTGCAGTTGTAACTGTGCCCTGAGCTGAGTGGAAGAGGTGTTTGAAATAGCTACCTTTGAGTAATAATGAGGGCATTAGACAGTTACAGTGTTTTATATTAACTAAAGTAGCCAATTCATTATAATAAAAACATTTGTGGTGATGTGGAATAGAGTCATAGAATCATAGAATGGTTTGGGTTGGAAGGGACCTTAAAGGTCATCCAGTTCGAAACCCCCTGCCATTGGCAGGGACACCTTCCACTAGAGCAGGTTGCTCAAAGCCCCATCTGGCCTGGCCTTGAACACTGCCAGCAAATATATTGCTTAACTTGAAATTTTTTTTGGTTTTGTTGTCGACCATTCTACAGATGAAGTCAGAAGTTCAGCCAACATTGCAATACCCTTCTTTCTTTTCTTAGACCTCCTCAGTACAAGACCATTACTCTGGATAGAGGACCAGACGGCCTAGGCTTTAGTATTGTAGGTGGTTATGGCAGTCCCCATGGAGACTTACCTATTTATGTGAAGACGGTGTTTGCAAAGGTAAGTGTAAATTTTAAATTTGTTCAGTCAATTTATTACTTAGTTCATAGCAACTGCTATCTTAAAGAATGGCTTGAGTTTGAAGCCAAAGGATTGTTAGTTTCTCACAGCATTTCTTCCTTGGTACAAATGCTGGTCAGAATGTGCTTGCAGCATTTGAATGCTATAGCCTTAGGAAGATTCAGAATTTCCAAAAGCATGTGACTGCATATGGTAGTCTTCTTCAGCTCTCCAAAATCAAATTGTGCACATACTTAGAAAAAACAGCCCTCTTTGCCGTATGTTTCGAGTGTATTTTCTTCAGGTAGTAGAAGGTACTTTTTTGTTTATTTTGACTCAGAGTCTGAAGGCTAGACCAAAATGAAATAATTAAGGTCAGGTCTGGACTTTTGGAAAAGATTGGTAGATTGGACTGGTAGATTGGACTGTCCTAGGAAACAGCCTTGAGTCAAAGAAAACTGGAATCAAGAATCCCAATCTTTTATAATAAATCAAAGTGCAGAGCTAGGTTTTGATTATTTCTTATACCAATTGCTGAAAACTTCTTCAGGTCCAGAAAATCTTACTTCTGTGATAGTAGAGTTTAATTGTTACACTGGATGGGCGAACAGGGTTAAGAGAACAAAAAGTCCTACAGATCTGATTTCTAAATGTTGTGAAACTTAGAGAAGGCAGGGCATACTGCAGCAGTAGCAGGCTGTACTAAAATTGACTGTATTTTTATCATCGAAATTCAAAAAGCTTTAAGGGGTTTTGTGTACAGAGCCCATCTTACTCAGATCAAAGGGAGAAAAAGAAATGCATGGGTCTGCAGTTACATGTTGTATCATTTCAGGGTGCAGCAGCAGAAGATGGACGCCTGAAGAGAGGGGATCAAATCATTGCTGTGAATGGGCAGAGTTTAGAAGGGGTGACCCATGAGGAAGCTGTTGCTATTCTGAAAAGGACAAAAGGAACAGTCACTTTGACTGTTTTGTCGTGAACTGGCTACCTGAAGGGGTAGGGTCAACAAGACTATGTTATTTACACTCCACATAGCAAAGAGAATGGAAATGTTTGTATAGCCTTCTTGCTTTTTCAGCTTCACAGAACTGTTACAACACTGAAGAATAACAACATTTAATCACGTTTTTGTATACAATAGAAGTATTTCTCTTACTGTCAAGCCACTGGGATGAAGTTATGTCAGCTATGTAAAGACACGGATATTTTTCCTACTAGTGTTATACTTACTGAATGCTTCTAAGTCACGGGGGGGGGGGGGAAGGCAGGGAAGAAAAAAAGAAAGGAATGTTTGCATTAATAACCACACAGCAAAACTGGAATGTTCTGCTAAGAAGCTTTGGATATTTTAAATATGTTGGAAAAATGATAAAGTCAACAAGGGGGTGGCATGATTGGCAATAGTCAGAAAACAGAAAAAAAGGTTATTGAAGAAAGAATTAACAAAATGTCAAACTCTACAAAAAGAAGAAATAGTGTGTAGTCTGGAGGCAGATTATTAGTGGATTTAAGTGGTTATTTGTGTTATTTCACAATGCCCAAGTGGGAGGACCTGAGTGGGTGGCTTGGGTCGGGTTTTTTCTGTGTATTTAAATTTCATAAGCCATGGTGTGTTCAAAAAAAAATAAAACTGTGTTTTAGTTTGGCTTAGGTTTGAGGGTTTTGGTTTCTTTTTTGTTTGGGGTTTTCTTTTGTTTGAGGCAGGGGTGTACATGTGTTTGTTTCAAAAGGAGAGGACTTGTGCTCAAGGCTGAAAAATCCTTTTGCTATGGGAAGCTACTCCTGGCGAATAAGAGTGCCTAGCAACTGCAGTATTGGAACAACTAGAATTCTAATAATAGTGTTTTTAGCCTATATGGATGTGAAAGCAACCTTTCCAATGTGAAAGATGTATAAGGGAATCACAAAATTATTAGGATTGTAAGGGAGCTCAGGAGATCATCCAGTCCAATCACCCTGACACGGCAGGACCACCAGCAGGTTACACAGGAACGCATCCAGGTGGGTTTTAAATGTCTCTATAGAGGGAGACTCCATGACCCCTCTGGGCAGCCTGTTCCAGTGCTCTGCTACCCTCTATGTAAAGAAGTTCTTCCTCATGTTGAGGTGAAACTTGTGTTTTAGGTTATGGCCATTGCTCCGTGTCCTGTTGCTGGGCACCACTGAAAAGATTCTGGCACCATCATCCTGGCACCCACCTTTGAGATATTTAAATATATCAATGAGATTTCCTCTCAGTCTTCTCTAGAACAGAAAGTTGTCCTTTTCCAATGTTTTTCATGTAAGCTACTTGAATCAGAGCCACAAGCAAACCTCTGAGGGCAGGTTTACTTAGCTCGTGGATGTTGGTTAAGCCAAGTTGGAAGAAGTTGATGTTAGTGTTAGAGCAGTTACCAGTAGCAGCAAAGGTCGGGTCCTCCTTTGACTGAGGAGACCTAAAACCAGGAGGTGACAGTAGGTAAATGCTGAAAATTTCCATGGTAGAGGTGAGTAGTAAGACAGCAGTGAAGGTCTTGATGTATCATCATTAAGCAGAAGAGGAGATATGAGGGCCACAAATACTGGTTTGGGCCCTCAGATTTAATTTTAAAGGAACAAACACAAGACAGTGTTTAGTCCATGGAGCAGCTGTTTGAACAGCAGTGTGGTCAATAAATTTATGAACTCAATTTCATAAATTAGGCTGGGAGCTCCAATAAGACTTTATCCAAACCCTTAACTGATTGTAGCCTGCCTTTGCCTCTTCTCCTTTAAACTGGCTCTTAGGAATCTAGCAGATAAAGTGCACTTTGCTTATGATTTACATTCCTGCAGAAAAATGTACTAAGTCTTTTGAGGGAGATTTGTAATTACCAGCAATAACCTTTGTGTTAAATAGCAAAAATAAATCTGTAGCAAGAAGGCCACCATGTCAGTTGTCATTTAAGAGAAACCTGAACTGAAAATGCAGGGAATGGTCAGGCTGTTATTAGGAAGAGATACAAAAGAGTAGCATTTGTTTTAGTGGGACACAAAAGCAGTATTAGGAATGTCTGTGAAATAGTATTAACAGATTGATAGTTATGTCTAAATGAATTAACTAAGTAAACCACCCTCTTTGTCTTTTTAACTATTTCAAAAGTTACACTGTGGTAGCGTAAGATGAGAGAAAACAGATGGTACCATTACTAGATGCTGTTGTTACAGAATTGTTTTTCTATACTTATTCCTTGGTTAAAGTGAGAAATGCCTACATTAGAGTATGTAAAGTCATCTTAAATAATATCTATGTTTGTAACAGAAGTAGTGTACAGATATTTTGTTACTGCTGTTCTGTCTAAATGGAAGTGTTGAGTGAATAAATTCCAAACTGTTACAATGCAAAAGTAAAGTTGCAGGTGTGTTTCTGGTTGCTTTACAATGGCATGCTTGCATCGTTCATTCTGTCGTGAAAGATTTATTTAGAACAATTAAGAAAAAGGCATTTTTCTTTATGTGAACCTTAAAGCATCAGCTAAAAATTGCTTTATTTGGATTTTGAGATTTTATATTCGCTTTCAAACTCTTAGCATGAGACCAGATATCATAACTATCTAGGAATTAATATGAAGCTGCTTTGTCTTTTGAAACAGACAGGATTACTCAGTCTGTTTAAAAAGCATTCTTCTGGGCGTGGGACTTGCCATGAGGAATCAAATCAATGAGCCATGGAGAACGGAACTTTGTGTTTAGTTGTGACCCGCGCTGCTGCTTCAGAGCACAGGATCTCACTGAAGCCCCACGCCAGGAAAGCTATTTCATGACCACTGCTTAGTGGCTGTCATGCACTGGACCATGGTGGGTAATACACTTTGCAGGCGTAGGGTGTTTGATTTACTTTATAATTTGATAATCAGCACAATTCTCATATCACAGGCGTTACTCCTGTGAAGTGGTAGGTACTATGTCCCCAGTTCTAGCAGGTCTTCTGGTTTTGGTTACATTTTTAAGGTGTGACTGTGTTAACTATGGAACTTGACAGTGTTGGAGCTGAAGGGCCTGGTAACTTAAAGATTCCAGGCCATTGTTTGTTCAGATACCCAGTCCTTTCTTTTAACTCTACTTACCTCTCAGCTGTTCAGTGCTGGTAATCTTAGAGTGGTACTGATGAAAAAGATTGGAACTTTGTAAGCATGGGTCTGGACAGAAGACAGCTGGTTCATGGGTATACACATATTTCATTTCTTGGCAATGAGCAGGTATCACACAGACCTATTCAGTCCTCTGCTGGATTCTGCTTCTGAGTTAGCTTTATGGTAACAGTGGTATTGTAATTCTCAATTGCTGGAGTGGGTGTAATTTAGTAGCCATTGAGGATCCTTCCCTTTCACTCTGTATCCAGCCTCTTTAAAGAAAAAGGCAGCTATATATTCTATAGACCTAGACATGTACTATCCTAAAGAAAAAAAAAACAAAAAAAAAACCAAAACAAAAAACCCAACCAAACAGCAACAACAACAAATAAGATGTCGTCATCTTTGTTCTAAATTTGCAAAGAGACATTTTGCTTTATTGACAAATTTGGAAGGAATGTGGAGGAACTTAGTATTTTCATTAGTAGTTTTCAAAGAAATCCTTATCTTAAAGTGAGAGTGACATTGGAAAGTTGCTGGTACTGGTTTCCCATGCGCATTTTTTTCTTGCTTTTTAGAGCAAATTCTTTGATGCATATAAAATATTCACATGTAAGGAACACTTTTGTCTTAGGCACCACATGAATCTACTAAGAGTAGATGAAAAATTTCACTTCCTTTACAAATGATATTAAAACTGTGAACGCTGTTGTCCTTGGCATATTCAACACTTGCAATGTATATAAAAGCTGTTTTTATTTCTCTCTGAATTGTAGATCACGTATCTTTCTCAACAGCTGTGTAGATCTTGATTTTAATGCATTTTAGTTCATAGCCATTGTTGCAGAGTTATGTGTTAGACTAATTTCAAACACTTAATAGTGGTATACCTGCTAATGCAAGATGGTGCTTATATAGATTGAGGTTCTTAATTTTTCCATGTTTTCAGTCTCCTGTGGTAATACCTACTCTCAGTGAAAATGACGACGTGAAATGGGCAGAAAAAAAATGTTTCTTCCCTTATTTCAGTAGAAAAGAGAATAATTTCTGAAAAGCTACTAATCCTGAAATCTGCATACATATCAGTTGAAGATAATGGAATCATCCTAACTGTATTATTAATTTTTAACACAAGCATTTTTTGTTAAATTACAGTGGCAAATTGTTTTCAGAAAGTGAACCAAGCAGGCTTACACTTAGTCTTTCTCATCAAGCTACTTTCTGGTCAGTCCATTGTATTTGACCTTCAAATAGGTAGTTTTAAATATGTAACTTTTAGATACCTATATGTTAGAAAAAGATAATGTTTGAATCACATATGATAAACATTATCTGTGTTCTCAGCTGACAGTGTGACATTACATATTTAAAGTGCTAGCAGTTAGGTGTCCAATTTACTCAGGAATAGAAAAGTGAAAGATTTTTTACTAAGATGGGTGGCTTTGAATTTTTCAGCACTTACTGTTTTCTGTTATTTCAGCCTTTGGCAGTTCAGTAGTTAAGATTACACTTTGAAAGTGTAGGGTATATTTGGACTGAGCAAGGTAAACATTATAGCTAAAAGGGAATGTTCTACGTGAGTATTTCCATGGGACGTGGGATACCTTTTTAAGACTCTCAGCAGTGGTCAACAACAGTATGTCACAATTTGGTGTGTTTTCATAGATTGCACAATATCAGGACTGGGAAGGCTGAGACCACAGGCTACATTTGCAGGGTGCTTTATCAGGTTTCCACACTGCACACCAGATGGAAATAAGGGAGCTTAGGTTTCTATTTGGGCACATCTACAAGCATTAAGGCTGAGGCACATTAAAGGTCTTTGCAGGCTGTAATTTTCAAGTACCTTCTCATCACAAGGATGTATAGCCACCATGCCCAGTGCTTCGAAGTTTCACATTTTTGGGGGTTTTACAAAAAAACAATGGGAGCAGCATCTTGGGTAGTTAAGAAATTAGTTATTCTCTGTTTTGGGAGAATCTTTGTCTGAAACTGTTACAGACATACACATCTTCTTGTGGCTTAAAAAAGCTGTATTTGTTACTCAGTGTTAAATGTGAATATGTCTGTTGGGAGTAGAAAGGTCAGTGTTGCAGATGAGTTACATAAATATCAATATAATCCTAATGGCTAAAGCAGCAAATGTCACTGGAATTC